AAAAAAAAAAAAAAAAAAGAAAAAAAAAAAAAGACGTACGTGACGTTCTGCTGTCTGCGATGGAATCAGAGAGGATCTCAGCGAGATCGAGGAAGACGCGGCACCGCTCGTTGAGGACCTGGATGCGCGGTTTGATTTCGAGATACTCGCGCACGGCGATGTAGAGGGGGTACAGGGTTGGTTCGCTTTCCCAGAAGAAGTTAGGGACATCGAGAACATTGGAGGCTGTAGGATTAGCAAGTTAGAAGTAAAAACGAAGGAAGAAAAAAAAGGGGGGGGATTTACATAGATTCACTTCCACCCGACTCTTGAATAGACGGCCTAGGATTCGAAAGACCTCTTCGCGTTTCATGCCCAGTTGGCCTGTGGTGGCGAGTCGGCGCGGGACATCCTTGGCCTCGGCCATCTGGCGGGCCATCGCCTCCTCGAAGAAGGAAAGTTTCGTGCTCTGGGCGATGCCGTGGCTGATGGCCAGCTTGATCATGTGGTCACTGCTGCGCAAGGTGATCATGTCATTGTAGACGCGCGGGCGCGAGATCTGGGTGGAGTACTCAAAGTGGAACTCCTCGGTCTCAAAGTCCTCCTCGTGCAGCGGCATGGTGGTCAGCGAGACGGGCGAGCGCGTTGTGAACGAGGTGGCAAAGGCTAGATCGGCAAGCAGGTCCTTCTCCTGCCGCTCGGTGAAGTTCCAAAACACCACCACCCCGTAGCTAAACACAAACATCTCGGCGACGGAGAACATGTCGGCGGTGCTGCGCCGCGAGGCCGATGCTGCTGAGCTTGTCGTCGGTAGCTCCTGGCTAGCCGTCGTTGTCAATACCGGGGCAGTGGTTATGTCTTGGGCATCATGATGGTGGGAGTGGTGGTGGTCACTTGTCTCTTGGTCATGCTGCTCCTGTCTAGCGTCTGGGGTGTCCTTTCTGGCGGCCCCTCCAACCGAATGCTCTTCGGTCTCGAGGAACTCGTCGTGGTGATCACGCTGTTCATTGCGTTCGATCTCCTCATCCAGCATGGACTTGCCGCCGGGGTTCTTGATGACGGGACTGCTCTTGAGTCTGTACCCGTCGTGACCCGGTAGTAGAGGCAGATGGTATGCCGTGTAGAGGCAGTCGTCGTAGAGCTTTGCACGGGCGCTGTGCCACTCCTTGACAAACGAGGCAACCGAGCTCATCTTGTAGGCCTGCGCAGTGCAGTATGCGGTCACGCGGGCCAGCTTCTCCGCGCGGCGCGCCTTGGGCAGCCGCTCTGCATAGCTCTTGGCCTTCTCGGGAGGCACCCTACGACGGCGCAGCAGCTCCTCCTCGGCCAGCAGGGGTGCGAGCTCGTTATCGACCGCGAAATCTCCGTCCAGCTTGCGCTGCATCAACACCTGCTGACGCAGGTAATCCGGATCGAGATGTCGTTCCTTTGCGACCCGCTGCACTGCCTCCTCGTCCACGCTCACGTCATCATCATCCTCATCCTCCTCTCCCGCCTCCCTCCCCGCTTCTTCTCCTTCTCCTTCGTCGTCAATCGCCGTCTCGTTCGTCTCCGGGAGGAGAACAAGCTTCTCGCTCACTTTTGTCGTCCGCGGCGGTAACCGCGGCTGCGCCGCCAGTCGACCGATCGTGCCCGCCGCCCCAGCCAAAGCCGTTGAACCGGTACTGCTCGCTCCCGTACTGCTCCCGCCGCCGGCTCCGATCAGGCCGCCCGTGGCGCTGGCCAGCCGCGAGCGGGGACTGCGCGATGACGAAGACGAGGACGACGACGGGGGCGGGTTCCGCTGGTGCATGGAGGGGACATCCGAGGCATACTGCAGCACGTTATCGACGGTGATGAAGCGGGTAGAGGAGGAGGTGGCGGGGGAGCGGCGCCGGCGCTGCTGGCTTTGTTGTTGCTGGTCGCGGGAATCAGTGACCTGGTAATAGAAAGATCAGTTTTTTCCATTGCATTTTGCTTCAGCTTTTGAAGATTTCAAGCAGTATCAAGCTTACAAGCACTGTCGGGCTGCGCTGGTGTCCTGGAGCCCGTGCAGGAGGCATTTTGCAGACCGAAGCGTTGGTATGTAGCAGTTGATAAAACTACCGTAGCCTTGACAGTTGATGTTGGCTAGTTCGATTACGTCATCTCGAGCAAAGTTCAACGGCTACCACGACTTAAGACTTAATAATAATAATATTAATATAATTCCCTTACTCTATTATTTACAATAATCCATTGCCATGAAATAACTAATATATATAACCAGTCTCCTGATTTAGATACAGACTGTAAGTACTATTAATACCTTGGTGATACACTTGATTATAATCAAACCTTACCTTATAGGCAACTAATAGCGATACTTGCATACAAGAGGCATACATATGATTTTCACTCCAATACTTAGGTGCATATACCGCCTACCTACTACTTCGTACCTACTAGTTAACTAGATAATACTACATAACTAGTTACTATACTAACTACTACCTAGTTACCTGCCTACTGGTTATACTACATACTATTATATACAGTATATACTCTCTTCCTAAAAGACCCGGCCAGACTGCCGTACCGTAATTACACAGTACCGCCCTTGTACGCCTCGTCCCATCCGGCGAGCTCCAGCCTCCTTACCGTCCAGCCACGTGCTTGGATCCATGGTCGCAGAGTTACTAGAGCTTACTAGCTCCGGGGTAATTGTAATATTCCATCCTTTTTCTATAGAGCAATATGTATTCCTTGATATTTATGAGAAAGAGGTAGAATAGTCTGATGGAAAGGCAATAGTAGTCAAGTATAGGCTGTCTGTAGATCATAACACAAGTACGGAGTATCAAGGTAACTAGTAAGTAATACCTCATCTAGTGAAACGTCAAAAATAATCATCGTATGATTTATTGGACCCATGTAATGACATTACTGATGGTTTTTTATGTAGTATGGTCTAATTAGAATGCTAGGGAATCAATCATTATCTTAAATGCATGGGGCTTGGCTCTCGCTGCGCCCTGAAGACTACAGCCCCTCTCGCAGTCGACGGTCTTCGTCCCAAATCTCCTTCTTCATCCGTTGCAGACGCGCGTGCTGCTTCTGCAGCCGCTCCAGGTCCGCCCGCGGAGGGTCCGGGTGCGACGCCATCGCGTCGTGCAACGAGCGGTATTTGGCGTAGTTTTGCTTGAACTTTTGTGACTTTTCCCGCAACTGCTGTAGGAGCAGCTCGCGCCCCAACGGCGGCGAAGCACTTCCCGTGCTGCCGCCGCTCGATGCACTGAAGGCGCGACGCCGCTTGTGCTCCAGACTTCCCGTGACACGACCCGCGGTCGGAGGGGGGGCCACGGATGGCCGGTCTTGTTCAGCCTTGCGTTTCAGCGAGTTCTTTATTAAAGGCATGGCAGCAGCAGTAGCAGCAGTAGTAGTGATGGTGGTAGCAGCAGTACTACCACCAGAAGAAAGTAGGGAGGCATCTGCGGTCGATTTAATCGTTGGTTTCGTGGGTCGTGACAGGTGTGCGATCAACGGTGAAGAGGAACTCGACGAGGTGCTGTTGAGGCTCGAGGAGCGATCACCGGCGTGCGAGTCTGACGCATTGGTCGGAGAAGATCCAAGGGGAGAGGGTTTGCGAGGCGAGGTGGAATTGGTCGCGCGAGACGAGGGTAGCCGCTTGGAGGCCTCGACCGAGGGGAGCCTCTTTGAGGCAATGGCGGTGAAGTTGGGTTGGAGGGGTCGGCTGGGTGGGCGAGCGGCGGCGGCAGTGGCAGTGGCAGTGGCAGCGGTAGTGGTAGCCTTAGGCAGTGTTCCTGCTGTGTTGGACGGTTTCGATGTAGGTACCGTCTTGATGCTGGCCGAGGGTTTCTCTATCGCCGGAGGCAGCGGCTGTTTCTTCGTACCTGGGCCCTCGGAGGAGCGAGACTCGAGGTCATCCGAATCCGAATCGTGGACGAATTCGGCGGATTTGAACTTCCCATTCACCTTGGGGCCCACCACTGGTTTCCGCTCCGTCGTCTTCTTCGTCACTCGGCCGGTCAACGTGCTGTTGTTGGTACTCTTGGAGCTAGCGGCTGTAGCGGGGGAAGCGGTTGTGGCCTTGTGGCTGCTTGGAGTCCGTTTGGCCAAGGTCTCCTTCTCACCCGGTCGTTTTTTCTGCGCAGTCGTCGTAGGAGTGCTAGTGGCCGACGACACCCGTGGAGTTGCCGTCCTTTCTGCAATCTGAGGGGTCAGGCCACCCGTGTTCCCACCACCACCACCACCACGGTCTACCGTCTCTGTGCCGGTGCTGTAGCCTTCCTTGCCCGTGTCGTCCGCGCCCTGGACATGGATCCGCGGTGTGGCGGCCTTTTTGATCGGACCAGTCCGCAGGTCTAGCCGTGAAAGGCATTTTCCCTTGCCGCGTTCTTTTGCGGGCAGAAGCATCTGCCACAGCTTGTCGGTCCGGGAGATTCGCATCCGGTCGAACGCGGAGATGGCATTCTCAATGGCCTCCTGTCGGTCCTCCTGGGACTGGTAAGGAAAGTTCCATATATCCAGGTCCCGGTAGACCTTATCTCGGAGATCGAACTTCTCGCGGTCGATCCGATTCTCCACAGCATATTTCCGGGCCAAGATGAGGCAGTCGTCGAGGGAGGAGCGTGTCTGCTTGGCGAGGAACTTGGCAGAGACTGCACGGATGGCGAGCAGGTGAATGAAGGGAACCTTAAGAGCCTCCAAGCGGATGCGGTCTTTATTCTGCGATGGCGGAGCGGAGGTCGGGTGGAGCGGAGGGACGGAGGCGGCGCCCGGCGAGCGAGGAATGCTCAAGGCGGGACTGGAGGGGAGGGAGCGGTGGGCGGCAGCGGCGGCGATGTTGTTGCTACTGTTGTTATTCTTGTTGAAGAAGCGGTCCTTTTCGATTTCGATTCGGCTGGTCGGGGCGCGGGCCAGCAAGGCAGCCTGACGGCCGGTGCTCGAGCGGCTATCACCCGCTTTGAGGGCTCGCACCTCATCGATGCTGGTGATTATATGAGTCTTTTTGAACTCCTTGCCGCGCTCAAAGGCATTCAGGCTCTGTTCAAGATTGGCCAGAGCCTGATCCGTTGCCGCAGTAGCCTCCTTTGCCTTTTGCACCTCCAAAGTATGGCTCAGGACCCCGGTAAAATATAGATTCTCTTTCTCTGCAGTGGCGGTCGAGAGCGAGGAGGAGGTAGTTTGCTGGTATAGCTCCGACCGGTGAGCTTCGGGGGTAGCATGGAAAGGTTGTGATTTGGAGCCGTAGTAGAGGGTTTGGTATTTCCCGAGCCGGATGCGAGCTTTCTGGTCGTTCCGCAGACAATGGATCAGATCGTCAAGAGTACTCTGGGCGAGATTGAGCCGCATGATCTGCGTAGGTTTCGAGGAGGCCGGATCGGCAGGCCGGTGATCTCTGCAAAGCAGCAGGCCACCCTCGGGAACTTCTAGTCCCGTCATGATGCCGGCAGACGAGACAAACAAGTTGAAAGCGTTTAATCAATCAATGAGTTGTTTGTGTGGGGGGGAGGGGGAAGAGAGATGGAGGCAGAGAGAAAGAGAGAGACTCTTGGATGGCGGCGTGCAGAGTGTTTGCTGCAAGTCAGCGGGCGGACAGGGGAGCCGAGCAGCAGCAGCAGCAGCAGCAATCCGCCATAGATTCTCACGACGACCAGACAAAGAGCAAGCCGTCTGCATGTACAGAGACAAGCGGAATGGGCACGGCCGCAAGGCCCATTGCAGACTCGACAAGACGGGGTGAAAGGGAGGCCTGATTCAGCCGGGAGAAAGAATTGTATCTGAGAGAGAAAGAGAGGACAGGAGGAAGAGAAAAGAGAGCGGATGCTAAAGAGCAAGCCAGCGGAGATAGAGAGGGAGGAAGAGGGAAAGAAAGAGAGGGAGGGAGAGAGAGAGAGGGAGGGAGGGAGGGAGGGAGAGAGAGAGAGAGCAAGCGTGAGCGAGAGAGAGAGAGAGAGAGAGGAGAGGAGGAGAGAGACGTGGGTGGGGAGGATGCAGTAACAGTAAGGTACAGGACGGTATGGTACGGTATGGTATGTTAAGTATTAGTTACAGGATAGATACGCACTAGTCAGACCGGGCCGGCCCACATGGTGAGCATGACCAGATAAATTGATAGGTAATTCCGTTGGGACTGGAAAAGATTCTGTGTCTTAAGGTAGGTAGTAATTTACTCTACACAAGACGACAAGACAGGGTGTTTGCTGGCATGTACCGAGGAGTGGACGAGGAGAGGGAAATCCGAGAGGATCAGAACGATCGAGTCCCATGATGGGCTCTGACGTGGGAAGGCAATGTGGCGGGCGAAGAGGAGGAGGAGGGTTTTCCATCCAGTGAAGCGTTCTGGCTGTACTTACTACCTGCTAGGTACCTACTAAGTACCTAAGGTATGTATGCTCTTGTCCTATTGTTGTTACACTAGTACCAGGTCACTAAGGTAACTGACTAGGTGGTTTACTAGGTAGAAAATTAATCAATACTTTAATATAAGTTTCGGTTATGAATAATCTCAGAATATGAGGAGTAGAGTACTCCTATTATATGTAGTAGTTATTGTTAATTAACTACCTGGTAGTACTTAGTACCTTAGGTACCTACTACCTAGTATCAATACACTGTCCCACCAGTCCTGGTATTTGACATCACCCTGCGTGGCTCCGGAGTGGCTGCCCTGAAGTCATGACCGCCTGTGCAACCTTGCCAGGGTTTTATCTAACACTTTTCCAGAGGGCAAGGAGCAAGGGAAAAAAAAAAGAGAGGGGAAAGAGAGAGAGAGAGAGGGAGAGGGAGAGAGAAAGGCTAGCTGAAGTCTAGCAGAACAGAGCTAGAATGCGTCGTCATGTCGTACGAAGACTGTACACTGTACAGTGAGTGTCTACGTTGTCCCGCACCAGGAGACAAGATTATACGGAGCACTCCGCTCGATTTGCTCCACAGGATTATCTATCATACGGTTGGAGATGGGAGAATAGTTGTTTACTGGGAGAGAGAAGACGAAAGGTACCTGACTACGGAGTAATTGAAGTGAGTAACTTGGAGCTGGTGGAGAAAGCAGCTCTCATAATGCCGACCGTGTCTGGAGGACGGACTACGGAGTACTACAGGTAAGAAAGAAACTATTAAGCGTTCTCCTACGAGTTATTAATTTGTAAATATCTAGATACCTCAGTAGTTCTCATTTATAATAGGAGAAATTAGTCCACGCTCGACACTCACTATCTATCTAATGATCGTCGCGATTCAGCCTTCTGATCCGCACCCAAACGCCTGGGATGGCCGATCACCCGTGACACTTGGAGTATGTACCTGGTAGTTAACTACTAAGTACTAGATAGTTAACTACCTGTTATGGAGTACTACATAGGTAATAACTAGACAGTTACTACCTAGGCAGGTAGTTAGGTACTGCGTAGGTAGTAGCAATTAAAGAATACCCATTACTGCCTCTATTATAGATAGCGATAGATATTAACCACAGGTACAATACCTGTGGTTATATACCGTATTTGTATTACGGGGTCGGCCGAGATCTGGCCGACAGGGTCACTCCACTTGACAGTTGAAGTCCCTAACAATAGTAAGAATTGATGAAGGTATACTCTGTATATAGGTACATACCTCATAATATAAATGACCTGAATAGAATAATACTAGGTAGGTAAGGTCAGGCATCTGCCTTCAATGGTGGCAAACTAGTCAGAGCAAGGTACTTTGTACCACCTGGCATGGTAGTAGTTAGTTAGTAACTACCTGTTAGTACCTCATGTAGGTTCCTGGTTTGGGTAATTGTAGTTAATTATGGGAGATTGTCCACTTGTACTCTACCTAATACTCTGTACGGAGTACTCTATACTCCGTACTCTATGCTCTGAAGGTACTCTATACTCTGTACTCTAGACTCAATTTACCTACTACAGCTATAACCGTAGAGCTGTAATAATACACGTGTTACTGTATCTCCATCTCCGCATGTGGCTGCGGCCAAAGCGAAGGTTTTGACTCTTACCCCTCCTGGACCTTCGTGTCCCTCTCCGGATATCGCTTCCTTTTCCCTTGTTTGTCTCCGAAAGTAAGTACTAGTACAATCGTTTGTTCAGATGGTAGAACTGGAATTTAGACTAGACTGCACAGACAAGAAGATTACGTGGAGTTGTAGACCAAGTGGAAGCCCGACCTCGCCACCGAGTTGTATGGAATGTGACCCTGCATATGCAGATACCTAACTTCTATAACGAACCACGGAGAGTCTAGCTATGCCACTCCGTACCTAGCTACTACATAATCTATTGTACCACGCAATGGATCCATTTCTGATTGAAACGTCCCATAAATAGGCGGTTGGAATAGAAACAACGGGATCGACTCGTCCCGGCGTTTCATACCGAGTAAGAGGGAAAAGCTGACCTGACCTAGCACAGGTACCGCCAAAGTGTGCACTGCGAACTCCTCGCATCAGAGTAGAAACAGTAGGGATCAGCGCAGACTAGAGCAGGCAGAATACTAGAATAGAATAAAATAGATTAACTAATCTCTAGCAGTACCTACTAACTGGCTATGTATCACTAATACCATGTATCTAATACTATTCCAGCTACTCCTCCGTACTTTGTACTCCAGTACTCCGTACGACACACTTCTACTCTCTCTACTGCACAGGGTGTATCAGGTTCAATATATAGCTAACAGGCTAATAGCAGATATCAATACAATGCGACCGAGGGTAAATCTCGTGTCATAACCAATCCTGTCGCTTTTTTTGCCTTCCCATAGCGTTATTTGGAAATCTACCCTCTATCTGAGCCCTTTTCTTCTCTCTCTCTTTTATCTAACCGGTGACCTTGAAGATAGACTCGGCCAGTCTCTTGACATTGCCCGAGGTGATACCCGCAACGGAGATACGGCCGTCCTTGGTCGCATACACGGAGTGCTAATCAGATTAGAAACGGAGCTCATCATATAATTCATGTATAGACCCTTGACTTACCTCCTTGGCAAGAGCGTCCATCTGCTCGGGCTTCAGGCCAGTGTAGGCAAACATGCCGATCTACCATCGTCAGCTAGATGTATCACGAAAACGGTTTGCGGAAGTTTCAGGGAGGCTAGTTACCTGGCTGGTGATGTGGGACCAGTCGTGCTTGCTGCCCAGCTCCTCGAGGTTCTTGCGGAGCAGAGAGCGCATCTCGATGATACGGTCCGCCATCCCCTTGACCTCACCCAGCCACTGCTGGTTCAGTTCGGCATCGTTCATGATGGTCGAGGCGATGCGAGCGCCATGGACGGGGGGGTTCGAGTAGAAGGGACGGATGAGGATCTTGACCTGGGAATCGACGCGCTTCTTCTCCTCGGTGTTCTCGCAGACGAGGGAGAACGCACCGACACGTTCACCGTAGAGACCCTAAAAATTCGAAATCAGTGCACAGCTCATACAAGGGTGCCAGAAAAAAAAAAAGAAAAAGAAAAAAATACCATGTTCTTGGCAAACGACTGGCACAGAGCAATGTTGTGGCCCTCCTTGACAAAGTGGCGGGGAGCAAAGGCATCCTGGTCAGCGTTGCCGCTGGCAAAGCCCTGGTAGGCCATGTCGAAGAAGGCAAAGTGGCCCTTCTCCTTCATGACATCGCTGATCTGGCGCCACTGCTCCTGAGTCGGGTCGACACCAGTGGGGTTGTGGGCGCAAGCGTGGAGCAGGATGATGCTGTTGTTCGGGGCGGCCTTGATGTCGGCGATGAGGCCCTCAAAGTCAAGGCCGATGGTGTCCTTGTTGTAGTAGCGGTACTTCTCGACCTCCAGGCCGGAGTCCTTGAAGACGGCATTGTGGTTGGCCCAGCTCGGGTTGGGGAGGTAGATCTTCTTGGCATGGGGGTAGAAGCGCTGCAAAAAGGCACCACCGATTCTCAGGGCACCAGTTCCGGAGATGGACTGCGTGATGACCAGGCGGTCTTCCGTCAGAGCGGGCGAGTCGGTTCCGTAGGCCAGCTCGGCAGCCGCCTTGGTGAAGGAGGGGATACCGGTGATGCCGGCATATTCCTTGTCGAGGCGCGACGCAACAACCTTGTCCTCGGCCGCCCGGACGGAGGGCAGAACGTACGGCTTGCCCTTGTCATCACCTTGACTCCAACATCAGTGGGGAATTCATCAATGCCGCTTTCGCCTTCCCTTTTCTGCTAGATATTTTCGAGCTTCCCGAGGGGGGGGGTGGATTGGACTTACGGTAAGCACCGACACCCAAGTTGATCTTCTCGTTGAACGAATCGGCCTTGAACGCCTCGGTGATACCCAGAATAGCATCCTAGCAACAACCACCACCATCAGCTCCAATCTTTTTTTTCCCCAGGAATCAATTGCAAGCTTACCGGAGGGCCCTGGGGCACGCCAGACCAGGTCGAGCCATAGCGGGCGCCGACCAAGGCAGTACGCATACCCGCCTCGCGGGCAGCAGCCTGGCGGGTAGCAATTCTAAGAGTGGACAACATGGCTGCGATTGATTGATCAATCAAGAAAGAACGAGGAGTGGTTCGTTGGTGAGGGGGCGCGTGAGATAGTAGGACAGACTGCTTCCAAGTCCAGGGAAGTGAGGAGTTATTATTCTTTAGGTTGGGGGTGGTCCGAGTCGGAGATACAGCGAAGTGTTTTCCCTGACTCAATCGAGCAACTTCAAGCTAGGGATATTCCGGGGAGAACTTGCCGCCGGGATTGGCTACAGTCCCCGCACGGTAAATACCTAGTACCATTGGAAGTTTACAACTCTGTCATTGCTGCATCATCGAGAATATTAGAACAATATTACAGAGTACGGAGTACGGAGTATATATAACTAAATAAAATAGAAATGAGAGATGTATATGAACCTCTAATCTTGTGGTGACCTTGACTACCCAGGTGCCGTAGGTAAATACTCCGTACTCGACTCCGTACTCTGTACCTACACTTGGAGAAATTGTTGCCTCAGGCTCGCAGCTAGTTCTCGCTCCTACACTTTCTCTGGCCTTGGATATAATGAGTGTTGTCTCTTCGCCTCTACCTACTCCCTACTCCGTACTACCCCTTAGATACTCAGTGATTGCCTGACTGAGTATGAAGCAGTGAAGGGAGACTCCGTATCAGATCCACAATCGACAACACATGATATTATTAAGGATAGAATTAGAGACACTCCAGAATCCATCGACTCCGTTTGCAAGCGGATTCTCCCGGTGAGCTGATGTGGACAAAATGCTGGTGGGGGCTAACATGGTCTTTTTCCCCTCACAGAATTGGGGTAATTTGGAGATCGTTAGTTGTAGTACCGAGTAGTTAACTATTAACTAATTAGGTGGACAAGTTGAAGTCGGCTGTTCCTTTATATTTGAAGCAAGAAAAGTCAAGTTTACTTGATCGGTTATCGACTGAGAAATGACTGAGAAATCGCTGAGAAATCGCTTCAATGTGTTGTGTATAATACAAGTCAAATGCCGACGGCGGTTAATAGTTCTCTTACCTAGCATTTACCCGCCAGTCGATCATTCATATAGAAAATAAGTAGTCTACTCAATTATTGAATCTACCGTAGAGCTTGAATCAAAAGACAAATATCTCGTAGATGGGAATTCTATACAGGAAATTAAAACTAGGCTAGGCGCACTCCGGCCTGGCGGTTCTTGCGGGCTGTCGCTCCCATCGCGTTGTTCATGCCCGTGTGTTGACTGCTGTCCAGGGCACTCATGGCTTCTTGTTTCTTTTCCTCTTCGATCTTCTTCAGAAGCTTCTCCGTCTTCATCTTGCCGCTGCCCTTGCCGTGGAACTGGTGGCTGAGATGCTTGAACGCCTCCTTCTGGTTCATCAGTCGGCCGTGCTCGTCCACGTACTTGAGCTGCACGTCCGGCTTGTACTCCCGGTTGAACACCTCGGCCATGTGGCGCGCATCCTGCTGGTCTCGCTGTTTGTTCTCCCAGCGGGCATGCTCCTCCCGTTCGCGAGCGGACATCCGGTCCAGTTTCCCAGAGGCCCGATCCCGCTCGCGCTGTTGCCGGGCCCGTTTTTCTGCCTCGGTCTCCAGCCGGGCCTTCTCCTGCAAGAAGCGTTGCCGATCTCGTAGAAGCGAGTTGTTTTCGGCACTCTGTGAGTCCTTGACCAACCCACGCTGCTTTAGCATGCTCAACGTGGCCCCTAAGCCTTGGTCGAGAGTGGATTCTTCTTCCAATCCGGTCCCACTGATCTCCGGGCGTGCCTGGGACAATGCCTCACGCTTCGCTCGCTCCTGGAGATCATCCTCGTCCTCGATCTCGTTGTAGGACCTTTCCATGTCGACATCTTCCTTCTCTGCTCCTTCCTCCTCTTCTTCTTCCTCTCCTCCTCCTCTCTCCTCCTCCTCCTCCTTAGGCCTTATTTCCAAAAGCCTGGTAGGCAGTTTTTCACGTCGGTCGGGAAGAGTGGGTTTTTGCAGATTGGAGACGAATTCAGATGTCTCATCGATGATCAGGCCAGGAGCTTCATCCTGTTCGTCCCCATTTTCCGTCTCCATGGGCGTCTGTGACTCCTCCTCTTTTAGTTGCCGCGCGAGATCCTCAGGCCGGATCCTTTGACGCTTCTTGAAAGCAGCTCGTCTCTGTCGGGTAAGAGAAGCTTGCAGGTCGTCATCGTCAACAAAGGACACTTCTTCACTGGCCCATTTTCGAGGAGCTGGGACCGGCTCTCCATTAGCGGTATCAACCTCCATCGCTGACCCAGCAGGTGTACTGTTGTTTGATAATTCTTCATCCTCGTCGATGATTGTTCTTTGTCTCGTAGCCTTGGCCTTCTTCTTCTTTGGCTTCTTGATTTTGATTTCAGACAGTTCCATGTAATCCGAAATGGGAGTCTCCTCTTCAATATCGAGAGAGATGATGTTCTTGTTGAGCTTCCCTGCCACCTCGAGGCGTTTTGCCTCCCTCTCTTCCACAGTCGAGCCCTGGGCATCTAACGTGAACCTCTTGCGCTTCTTGCCCTCGATCTCTTCATCATATTGGGCCAAGACCCCCGTGTTCTCTTCCGTCGGATCGTAGACCGGTTTCCGCTTCTTCAAATCGAGTCTTTCCCGCAATTTTTCGTGTTCTCTCATCTCGAGATTCTCCAGCTCATCACCCTCCTCCTCGTTTTCATCAATAGTCGCATCCTTGAGGGTCAAGATGTGGTCTTCTCCGCCTGCAAACTCGCCAGCCTCGTGTCCCACCTTGATGCCTGCCAGGTCAGCCGCCGTGTACTCGGCGATACGTTCCCGCTCTGCAAGCTCCTCTGCAAGCTTGCGGGCGCGTTCTTTCTCGATCTTTTTCTGTTTCTTTTTCGTCTGCATCAGCCAGGTCTTGGTGTCGACATCTGCGTCCGCAGCCTCCCCCAGCGTTGAGCCCTGAAGCTTCAAGTTCCGTTGGGCGGCATCACGCGCCTTCTTGATTGCGGCGTTTTTCTCCTCACGCCTCCGCTTTGTCTCTGCTTCATCCTGGAGTTTCTGCCAGTTCGCACCCGCCTGAGCTTCGCGCGACTCAAGCGTGCTACCGGGCTCCTCCTCGTCAGAGGAAACCTCGTCGTCGGGCCCAGACTCGTCGGCGGCGGGCTCTGCGCCGGGAACGGGCAGAGGCTTCAGACCCAGGGCAACGCGGATCTTGTTGTTCTGTTCGATTGAAAGAGCGTCCGCCATGCTGAGCAACTGAAAACAAAGAGATTGGAAAGAAGAGAAACACAACAAATCAAAGATAGATTGAGTTGACAACTACCTCCAAATTCCAACCCGTAATCGTCACGCCTCTTGGAAGTTGCCCGCGCCCAGCCTTGCCGTTACATAAGCCGTTCCATCCCACAAAGGGGATAGCGCATTAAATTCTTAGCGCGGACCCACCGTAAATAAAAACCGACGCTTTTTTCTTCTCGTTCTTTTTTCTCCTTCTCCTTCTCAAGAACACATACGGATCTGTGTCCAGCGATCCCATTCACGAAGACTTTTCTTCCTCTTCGGAGAGGAATTGGATTTGTGTTTTGGTTGAACGCTGGACAGTTCGACGACCACGGAGCCATCACTCTTTCTGGTGTCAATTTCCTGTCGACAGATCTCAGAGAAAATGTCGGTGCTGGGTGTTCGTCTGGTCTTGAGCTCCCTTTTCGGAGGTGAGCTCGGCTGGATTGCCCGGTTGCTGACGGCGTCATATTCCTACTCTCTTTGCCGAATGGCCGTCGGCCAGTGAGGCTAGGGACAAACCATGACAAGCCAACATATCCTGCCATTCCTATGGCTATTAATTTGTAGCATACGGGATTCTTTTTTGCCGCAAGTAATGGGGCAGAGAATAGATGTAGTGGTGCCTCGACTATCAGTCGGCTTGATCCTACGGTCATGTTGTGCATTTCATTATTATACAGGCGCAAGAGCAGGCTTGAGTCTTGTGTCTCATTCCATCACCACCATGCCGTGGTCGTGAATGCCCTGTCATATCTCGATACATGGCTGCAGCCCCCTCATAGTAACTTCAAATGTCCCGTCACGCCGTCAACCACGCTTTTGGGACCCAGCACACCCAGAACCGTCCTGCTCCCGCTCGCAATCTGTGTCCGTCCAGCGTCTTGTATCACGCGGGCGCAGAGGCCGAGGCTGATCGCTTGCGCCTGAAGGAGCATCATCTCCTCCTCCGACTTGAGCTGCAGGGCAATCTTTGCCTGACCGCCGCGCTCCCACCTTCGAAGAATCGGCGAATTCGGTGACTTGGAGAGAAAGTATTTGTAGCAAGCGAGGGTCGCGTGTGAGCATTGGGCGGCGATTTTGCCTGTAGAAGGAAATTGTCAGTCAGTCGCAGCATATATAGCGAAAAAAAAAATGCGGAAAAAATGCGAAAAAAAAAACATCCTTCTTACCCTTTGTCATCCCTAAATCAGTCCTCACAACAAGAACCAGTTTGACCTCCTCGTTGTTCCCATCGAAGCTGGCCAAATCCCCGCTCATATCCTCTTCCTCTTCCCCTTCGCTCTCGGACTCCTCTTCATCTGATTCTTCTGCCTCCTCGTCAGACGAATCCACAGGCACCTTCACATTGTAACTATTCGGCCAGCCCTCCTTCTCCTTTTTCGAGGCGGAGAATAACCCCAGCGCGGACCCTTGACCGATGAAGTAGCCCGTGATACCGGCGATGATAGCCGTCGCAATCACGTAGGCCGTCGTCGTTGGCGGGAGACGGTCAATGGGGACGGGCGCGGCCATTCTTCGTCTGGGAGAGGGGGGGCTATAGTAGTTAAGCAGCCCGGCAAGGGTAGGTAGGGTATGCTTGCAATCCAAGAAATAAATCTTCGTTTTTCGCAGATTCTAGAAGCTCGCAGCCCCGGCGGAATCTTGCCGCTTTAACGGTGAGTTTGTGAGTGAGCAGAACTAGTCAGGTGATCATCTCTTCCATCTGGCATCTGGCATCTGGCATCCTACCCCTACCAGCGTCCGTCACCATAATTTATTTCCTTGGTATTGGATTTTGTCAAGTGCTAGCAGAGATTTTGGCCCTTTCCTTTCATGGTTGAGATTATCCAGCTCTAGCGAACAGACTCCATATACCTATACCCTAATCGTTGAGCCAGTCCAAGGCATCCGGGTACTTACGACACAAACTATTGAACATTTTGATCTATCAAGGATCATAGCTTAAAAGCAGAGTGGATCACAGCTGACAGGCTAGTCAAAAGACATATGTAGGACTGTAATCAAGCAATTTGTCTTGGTGGTCATTCTAAGACAAATATGGAAGGGTATAAACAATCTACTAGATACTGATCAAGGATGAACCTTTAGGCTCGACAAGATATCTCCGAGACCTGTTTCATCGATACTCATGTCATCGACCAAAACAAAGCGAAAAAGCATATTGTCCCCTGTGGGTAGAAATGGATAGAGGATGGAAATCTTGTCCTGATGAAGGGGGTCAATTGTTACCTGAAGTCAGTCGATCTACTGTTGGGGTGAACTGTCCAGTTTAGATTCTAGCATTTCTATTGCGCTTCCCCTTCATCCTTTAAGCCGCAGATCTAATTTTTAATCCAAAAAAGTTCCATTCAGTTAAAGAGTATTCCCTAGTATTATATACAACCCTGTGTTCAACAGAGTTGAAGAAGAACTAAAAAAAAAAACGCATTTTCAAGAAGGAAACGCGCTAACTATGCGTGTCTAGCGAGCGGGCGCAGGGCGAGGAGGCATTCTCCGGCTCCTGTTCTAGTTGTCAGTAAAGGACAATCAATGGGTTCCCGAGGAGGAAACATACACAAAGTTCCGGCTGAACATGCTGATACCGAGCATCATGGCCCAGCTGGGGATCCGGCTGAACGCGTAGATAACGTAGCCAAGGACGATGTTGAGGTTGTACTGAGCGAGCCAGCCATCGGTAGGATGGAAAGCACCCTCGTAGGCCTCAACGTCGGCCCAGGCCTTCTCAGAGTGAACCTCGTAGATCTTCTCGGGAGTGACCGTCGTATAGTTGAAGTAGACGACGTGGAGAGGGGTCGCAGCGCGTTCCTCTCCAATCTGGGCCTGGGGAACCTTGAAGTACCAACCGGAGGGGGCACCGGCAGACCAGATGGCGCAGAGAATCGGCTCAGTGTCACAGTTCACGTATCCAAGATTAGGAGAGGTCGGGTCGGTGGAAAATAGAGCAACGGAGTTCTATTTCGGTTTGATCAGCGGATGATGAAATAAGGGGGGGTGATGGGTGTTGGAAGGAGTGGGCTCATACATTGAACGCCTTCTCAGCCCTCCCACAACGGCCGAAACAGGTCTTGTTACCCCCCGTGATGAACACAAGCCAGTCCTGCGGCTCAGAGGATGGCGTCAAGAGCGACTGCCAGTTGCCGTTGGTGAACGGGGTCACCGTCTTCTCAACCACCACCTTCTCCACCACCTTCTCGACCGGAGCAGCAACCTCAGGGGTAGGGGTCGGGATGTAAGACTTGGCCTTGTTGAACCATCCTTGGACCCGGTCGGCGAGGGGAACCTGTTCTTGCGCAGCAGCAAGCGCTGGCAGGAGAGCGAGGAAGGGAGTGATACGCATGGTGCTTGCTGTTTTGACATGTGTCAGTAAAAGAAAGGAGTTGTTCTGCTAATCGCTCCACAACAATGATGAGGTATACAAACCTAGTGTAGTTTTCTATTTGAGGAACACACTGTAGATTAAAAAAGAGCAAGCGATGGTACCGAGTCTAGACAACGGGCAGCTGAAGGAAAGCAGAGCTGTACAGAAGAAGTCAAAGTTGGACTGGAGCGGCCACGAGGTAATTGAAACGCGAAAGCTGGCCTAAGCGTTAATTACGGAGTATGGGCCGATTTGCTAAGCGGGGCCGTGGTTGCGCAGCACTCTTCACGGCTTACTACATACTTTTCTGCTGAAGATAATCTATACCATTATTCTCGAGTGTTTGGGGTGCTCACAGACTCATTAGGTGATTTTATAAAAAGTTTGTTGTTAATGAACTAAAGATAGATACTAGATTGTAGTTATCTACCTGAGGCACGCCATGTATTATTGTGGCACTTCCCGCTCAGCGACAGCCTCAAGGCTCATAACAGCATACATCAACACTATCGAGGCTATTACAAAAAGCCAGGCAGAGGCGGAGACAATGCAGAGGAGATAACCACCAAGGCAAGTGCCTGGTATCGGGTACCTGTGGTGCAGCGCAAGAGACTCCCTGCCGAGGCTGGACACTGGTGTTATGAGGGGGAAACAGTAGTAAATGATGCTTGCTCCTCGACGGGAAGGTGGTGCGCCTGCTGGTGTTGAGAGGTGAGGGAAGAATGGCATCGACCACCTCGATGGTGCCTTCCATATCGATCTATCTTACCCCTCTCATATTATGAACCATGATTGCTTCTCGCCATTGTAGGTCCTCTCAGAATACGTATACTACAATGTTCTAATTCAATATTCTATCGAGTCACCAGAATACACCGTTCAAATAGCCTACTTAGCAACTGGCTTTTACAGACTGATCCGAAGTTACGATGGCATCGTACTTTTTGGGGTTTCTTACCTTGATCTTCATGGTGACGGCTCTCCTCCAGCAAGGATTATGTGCTGTATTGGATGAGAGATTCGTCAATAAAGGATATCGTAAGCCTTTTTTCTCCTATCGATCTCGCCGCCGTGGATCTGCTTCGGGTTCTTATGTTGCTGTGAATGGTGACTTACGGTCTTGGACCTGTGGGAACAGTGAACAACGTCACGTCTCGTCCAGCCGAGGTCTCTGACACAAATACCACTCATATTGGTTCCGCTGGCGACTTTCCTGTTTGCCATGACCTTGAAGGTCCGATCGCTCCGCTATGCTTGCCTCTGAATGGGGCCAACGTGCTGGTGGATGCGATTTACTATGTGACCTGGAACGCGGACTTTTATCCCCTCAATGCAACCATCACGATAGAAATGAGATACTTGAATTCCTCTGAAGGCGACTCGGCATACACTTCGGAGCGCACAGACAATAGTTATGGCTATCTGCCTCTTGGCATGAGCAAGGAGTGGCTTCAGGACAAGCCGTACAACGATCTGACGCTGTACATCATCGAGCTTGACCCGACATCCGGCAGAAGGGCTAGTGCTCGACAAGGTCCAACCATCAGGCTGCATCCGAAGCCTGTAGAGCACTACCGACCCTCACCCCCTCTGCCATACAACAGGCTAGCCTTGTTTGTCGGATTACCCGTGAGCCTCGGGGCCATCATACTCGTCGTGGGAGGATTGTACTTTGGGATGCGTGATAGCCGGAGAATCAAGGTCGAGAGATTGAGGATAGCCCGCGAGAAAGCTTATGGGATTGGAGAATCAAAAATGGAGCGCTTGGGTGCAATGACTGAGAGAGATATCTCCACCGACCTGTACTCGCCAGGGGAGTATTCCGGGCTCTTTTATGATGTCCTGCCGGAGATGGTGAACTCAGACCTGCTCAGCGAGTTTGAGAGGACGGCAGGCCATGTCTTCAGGCGCGATATTTCTAAACTCAAGAGCTGGAGCGGTTGAGGATCACACTGATCGCTAGTATAATGCTGGCTGAGAGGAGGAGTATTCCTGGGGTCTATCCCAACCGTTCTTTCGAGTTGAGGGTGTATCAGACACCTGAGGATGTTACAACGCTGGCATCGATATACCTATTACAAACAATCAGATCTGACAATGTGGGAAAGCACTTGCCAGTTGCAGCGTTGGCTGTGTTTCTTTTTGCGGCTTTGACTATTCTAAGTTATTAGTAACTAGTAGTAGTTACAATACAGCATTCCTTTGAATCCAAATGCGATAGTAGGCTCTCGAAGACCATCTATTCTCGTACTTTTTGTTCGATATTGATTTAGTAGACTTCACTTCGTGGCCACTGACCACTGGCCGACATTATACTTCTATTATTACTCCGGAGTATTGCCATGATGTCGATCTGTGTTCCACCGACCTGTCGCACCAACCAACACCTGGATGAGAAATCGGTTTGGTGCGACAGGGCGGTGTCGGAGTGACGTCTGCGGTACGGGCGGCGTATCAAGGCTTTACGTACGGCAGAGTATTAATCAACTATGGTTATCATGCCTGACAGCATCATTACCATAGTTTACCAGGTACCAATGTGTCTCCTGGCCATGAATATTTTTATTTATAGTTGAATAGTTATACTTTTTTACCCATCAGTCATGTTGATGTGATCTAGACAGTGGTGACTCTGCGAGTACCGATGGTCATTGGCCTGGTAACATCTACATGGATTAGGAGGTACTACTAAGTAAGCAGGCCCGGTCTGCAGGCTACTTGCTCACTAGGGTGCCGATGTCGGGCTAGTGAATTTCTGGATGCCGTACCTAGTAACTATAAGCACGATCAGAAAGCAGGTGTACGAGAAGACATGCTTGAGCAACAGCGCCAGGCATCATGACAATATTAAAACGCAACGTAGGCTGGGGAGTCTCTGGAGTATAAACTTGACTCATAGTTACTCCTTGAAAGGGCGTAAGTGATGGGCAATTGGGGTTTCCGAATGCGTTCTTGAGCGCCGGTGATCCCCACAAGCCCAGCGTGTGAAAAATTTCCACCCCCAAGCTTTTTTTTTTCGCCGCTGGGAGAGGGGAGCTGGACGAGTCATAGTAATCGGGCCGCCGCCTTTTAAACTCCGCCTGGTCTGCCGAGCGATGACTCCTCCCTCCTCTGATTCAAATTATTAACAAGCTCTATCACATAAATACCTCCGTCCAGGTCACCGGTAGACTCTTTCTGTCTTCATACTTGGCTTGTCTTCCGCTTTCCTACCCCTAGGCTTACATCTTTTGCCTGCAAAGATCCTCCGCCAGTGGTCTCCCCACAGAGATATACAGTCCATACAACATACCCCGCTCTCCCTTCACGAAATGTGTCCCGGCGCAGACAACGAGCCCAGCCGGCCGGTCAACGGCACTGCTGATCAGAGTACGAAATCCGATAGATATATTTATATATATAATTTTTGCAAAACGGAAAACTGACTTGATGGCTGATATAGATGGCGACCATCCCGGTTTCACTGCCGTCCAGACTCGCCAGAACCCTCACCCTTCCTCTCGCAACCCTTACGGCCATAACGTCGGCGTCACCGACTTCCTGAGCAATGTCTCGCGGTTTAAGATTATCGAAAGTACCCTGCGTGAGGGCGAGCAGTTCGCCAACGCCTTTTTTGACACCGAGAAGAAGATTGAGATCGCCAAGGCCCTGGACGACTTTGGTGTCGACTATGTGAGTCATGGTTGCCGTACTGTGCAAAAATCATCTGTAGAGGATGTGTCGAGCTGACTAACATTTTATGGCTTATAGATCGAACTGACTAGCCCCTGTGCTTCTGAGCAGTCGAGGCTTGACTGTGAAGCTATCTGCAAGCTCGGCCTCAAGGCTAAGGTATGTTCTTTTTGAATATATATATATATACATTTCCGAGACCATTGAGGTAATTGACTCTAATGAACTTTCTAGATCCTTACTCACATCCGATGCCACATGGACGATGCCAGAATCGCCGTCGAGACTGGTGTTGACGGAGTGTAAGTGGTTTAAAACAAGGGTCCGACGCTGCATATCTCTAGGCGCTAACATGACTCAAGTGACGTTGTCATCGGAACTTCTTCGTACCTTCGTGAACACTCACACGGCAAGGACATGACGTATATCAAGAACACCGCTATTGAAGTTATCAACTTCGTCAAGTCCAAGGGCATTGAAATCCGATTCTCCAGCGAGGATTCCTTCCGATCCGATCTCGTGGATCTGCTGTCCATCTACTCTGCCGTTGACCAGGTTGGTGTCAACCGTGTCGGTATTGCCGACACTGTCGGCTGTGCCTCTCCCCGCCAAGTCTACGAGCTGGTTCGTGTCCTGAGGGGTGTGGTTGGATGTGATATTGAGACTCACTTCCACAACGATACTGGCTGCGCCATTGCCAATGCTTACTGCGCCCTGGAGGCTGGTGCCACCCACATCGATACCTCCGTCATTGGTATCGGTGAGCGCAACGGTATCACCCCCCTGGGTGGTCTGATGGCCCGTATGATCGTCGCCGACCCCGAGTACGTCAAGGGCAAGTACAAGCTTGAGAAGCTCAAGGAGATCGAGGATCTCGTCGCCGAGGCCGTCCAGGTCAACATCCCCTTCAACAACTACATCACCGGTTTCTGCGCCTTCACCCACAAGGCCGGTATCCACGCCAAGGCCATCCTGAACAACCCCAGCACCTACGAGATCATTAACCCCGCCGACTTCGGCATGACGAGATACGTCCACTTTGCCTCGCGCCTGACGGGCTGGAACGCCATCAAGTCGCGTGCCCAGCAGCTCAACATCGAGATGACAGACGCCCAGTACAAGGAGTGTACCGCCAAGATCAAGGCTCTTGCCGACATCCGCCCCATCGCCGTCGACGACGCCGACAGCATCATCCGCGCCTACCACCGCAACATCAAGCTTGGTGAGAACAAGCCCCTTCTGGACCTCACTGCCGACGAGCAGGCTCAATTCGCCGCCAAGGAGAAGGAGCTGGCTCTGGAGGCTCAATAAAACAGTGGCGGTACTGTATACACACCCCGTCACCTTTCTTCTTCTTCTTCTTCTTCATTGAACTTCTTTCTTTTGTTCCGCATGTTATTAGAAATGGCCGTGTCTCGCTTCGGCAGGCCATTCAATGACCGTCAGTCAAAAGACAACGTCCGGTCTTCGACGACTTCGTGTTTTTATGTACTTGGGATATCTCATGGCTTGGGGGATTTGAAAAGTTGTCACCTTTTTTTCCCTTACAAAAAAAGAGACTTGGTGTTTGGAGAGAGTTGGGACTCTCAGCTTGTATATAACAGCTTTACTAAACCGATGAAAAAGAATCAAAACAGCTGATAATTTCTTACCTTCAAATAGCTTGACATATTACTCATAGACAAGCTTAGCATAGAAACCACGCGTAGATATCATTTCCAACTGCATGCCTCGTGATGGAGTTTTCATTCGTGTAGACTAATTAATTGTCTTTTTGCCTGCGGGGGAGAGCCGAGGCAGCTCATTCCGCGTGCAACTTCTGACTGATTACTATAACTTGGGGGCTCCCCGACCGAGAGTCTATTTGCCGTTGGCTTCCACTTACCTTTCGAGCACCGCCAACCTGGTTCTCTTGTATCCTTATGAGGTTATTCTTCCTGCTCATCCTTTTAGAGTGTCCTTAGGCGACAAAAGTCACGACTTTAATAATGAGGACGCCCTCCTCAATGCTACCAGTCGCCTTGCAGAGCAAGTTGCTGGGGTATACTCGAGCTCCTCATGCGTCGCTCGCGGTTTTGAATCTGGACCTGTGAGTATAAACGTCATGTTTTGCCTCAAGGCCTTTTTTTTTTCTTTTTAATGTTTTCTCTCTAACGGAACTACATAGGATTCGGAACCTGGTGTTCTTCTTCTTTATTCTTCGATATGTCCGCAAGACGTTCTATTTCCTACGCGGGTACGGTCTCTTCGGGGGTATTCGGCATCTCTATGCCGCCGTTCGCCTTTTTTGTTACTCAGTCTTTCTGCGCGCGCCTGGCATCCGTGGCCAATTGAACAAGCAAGTGAGCACGGCGATCGAGAAGCTAGAAACCAGGCTTGTGGTCAGCGGGCCCGATGTGACGAGGCATCTTGTCCTGCCTAAGGAAGGATGGACGCCGGAACAGATTCAAGCGGAGCTCGATAAATTGGCCGGGTTGGAGCATACGCGTTGGGAGGATGGTCGAGTGAGCGGTGCGGTGTATCATGGTGGCCAAGATCTCCTCAAGCTTCAAACCGAGGCCTTTCAACGATTTGGGGTCGCGAACCCGATTCATCCGGATGTGTTTCCCGGGGTTCGAAAGATGGAGGCGGAGGTTGTCGCTATGGTCCGTAGTACAGCTTCTTGTATTTTCTTCTATGAGTTGCGGTTATTGTGTGCTGACCTTGTGGCGTGAAACAGGTCTTGGCCTTATTTAATGGGTCGTCGGAGGGTGCTGGTGTTACTACTAGCGGTGGGACGGAATCAATTTTGATGGCTTGCCTCGCAGCACGACAGAAGGCGTTTCATGAGCGAGGGGTAACTGAGCCAGAGATGTAAGCTATCGATCTGGTCTCAAAGAAAGCAGGGAAGATCTAACATTTCTAGGATCATCCCGGATACGGCCCATGCTGCTTTCATTAAGGCCTGCAGCTACTTTGGGATCAAGCTTCACCGTGTTCCGTGTCCTGCTCCGTCTTACACAGTCCACGTTCCCTCTGTCCGGCGTCTGATCAACCCGAACACTGTTTTGCTTGTTGGGTCGGCACCAAACTTCCCTCACGGCATGGTGGATGATATTCCGGCCTTGTCACGCCTGGCTACCAAGTACAAGATCCCCCTTCATGTCGACTGCTGCTTGGGATCGTTTGTGATCGCCTTCCTTAAAAAGGCTGGCTTTCCCTCTCCATATGAGGAACAGGGTGGCTTCGACTTCCGCCAGCATGGTGTCACCAGCATCAGCGTGGATACCCATAAATATGGTTTCGCCCCGAAGGGTAATTCAGTCCTTTTGTATCGCAATCGGACGTATCGCAGCCACCAGTATTTCATCTATCCCGATTGGTCTGGTGGTGTCTACGCATCTCCCTCTATTGCAGGATCTCGACCGGGGGCTTTGATTGCTGGCTGTTGGACGAGTTTGATGACCGTGGGAGAAGCGGGATACATCAAAAGCTGCCTGGAGATTGTTGGGGCAGCAAAGAAGTTCGAAGCCTCTCTTAACGAGCACCCTGTTCTCTCCAAGCATCTTCAGGTCATCGGAAAGCCGATGGTGAGCGTTGTTGCTTTCCAGAGCAAAAATGGCGCCATTGACACATATGATATTGCGGACGACCTGACCGAAAAGGGCTGGCATCTTAACGCTCTCCAGTCACCTCCTGCGCTCCATATGGCTTTCACTATCCCCACAGCTGCTGCCGTTGACAAACTTACCAGTGATGTAGTGGAAGTGGTGGAAAAGGAACTCGAAAAGGCCGAGGAGAGGAAGAAGCAAGGCAAATCTTATATCCTCAAGCGAGGCGATACGTCAGCCTTGTATGGCGTGGCAGGAAGTTTACCGGACAAGAGCGTTGTCAGCCGTCTTGCGGAAGGATTTCTCGACACCCTCTATAAAGCCTAAGCGGTGCTTTTTGATTGTTAATAGATTTTTCGGAACCTCAGGGTTGACTCAGACTGTATATATGCACCCCACCCTTGTGTAATAATGTTATTAAAGGCGATCAATCGGTTTTCGGGGTTTGGACCTGGCGTTTTGCAATTCAAGTTGAGTACCTAAAGCCTGTCTACAACACTGCCGGTTGATCCCGTCACATCACTATTGATCATGGGAAATAAGCCAGAAATCTGTTGGTACCGAACTGCAATTATATCTATGATACATGGAATAAAACAGGAAATATACATACACAATACATCTTATCAGCCAGTCAGTTCTCATGAAACAAACCCCAGAAATCCAAAAAAAAAAAAAAAAAAAATATGCATCGCTAAGCCATCTGATTGATTGGTTTGGTTGAATCGAATTGAAATGGATGACAGCCTTTTGTACCCTATACCCTCCTGCTCTCGTCAAACTCCGACCTCCCGACCTTCTCAACGTAATATCCCGGGTCCGGCTTCCGTTCCAGATGCACCTCCTGTTTCGTTAGACGCCTCTCAACCTCCCGCACTTCGACGAGCTCCTTGACTTTCATGATCTGACCGGCGACAGAGGGGGAGACGGCGTGGAAGACGGTGGCCATGCGTTTCTTCAGGCCGAGGGCTTTGAGCACGTCGGTGGTTCGGCGGGGGAGACCGATTGCGGAGCGGACGAGGGTGATGCGAAAATAACTCATTTTGAGATCGGGGATGTAAAAAGAAACCGTATATCTCGTTTTATCGTCTTGCCTGTCTTGCTTGTGTTGTTTTGAAGCAGGGTTGAATGGAATGATAACTTGAATGTGGCAGACTCGATCAGGGGGCTTTTTTCAAAAGTAAAACAAGATGTAATACAAAATGAAGCCGTCGGCTATCTCTTGAGATGAATAATGAGTTTGACTGGCTAGTCGAATCGAAATGGATGTTGATCGTGAGGCCTTGCAGAGCTATCGCAAAATTGGCTTCCCGTTCAGGAATGGCCTGAAGTCGGTCTAGATGGCGGTGAGTCACGTGGATACTCAGGTCACGGTTCTGCCGGACGGGGAGCGGAGATGAGGAAACGGGGGACGTATTGCGACTACAAGCTTGGATTCTCTTTATTTGCAAGCACTGATCCGGAACCATAAATCGGCAAATATATCCGATATATAGTCATAATTCCCGAGACACGGTTGAAACCCGATGAGCGCAGCCATTTGACTGAAACGCTGTGCGTTCAGAACAGTCTCTCCAGATTGCTGTTGTCCTAGAGCGGCTGCGCAGAGCAAACACGAGTGCTTGATACTTTGCTTGCTGCTGCATCTCACAGTGCACAACTACTTCGGCACTATCGGATCTGGTCAAACCCAGTCGGCTAGGTGCCAACCTCTCCCACGAGATGGCGCAAGCGGGGGATGCAGACGGAACAGTGGCCATGCCCCGTCTTGGGGATCTCCTACGCCATCCGGAAGACCTTGATAAAATTACCGGCCTCAAAGCGGAATACACACGGAAAAAAGCTGCAGTTGATTCACAACTTCGCGAAGGGCTCAGAGATCAACTGGAGACAGTACAACGGAGCATAAACATTCTCAAGGAGGGCCAACGCCAGGTGTCCAAGTCGAAAGATGAGCTCCAAGGGATCGATAAGCTGTGTGCCGAATCGCAGACCAGTGTGGATGATTTTGCGCAGATTGACAAGCTGGCCCGTGTGCAACGAAACTTCGAAGCAACGCTCATGATGAAGAAGGGACTGGAGAATTTCAGCGCGGACATCGCTGAGGTCGAGAGTCTTCTGAGGGAGGACGACGAGGATATTGAGAACCAACCCAACTTGCTCAAAGTGCACATGCAGATCTCTAGGTTGAGAGACTTTCGCGATGAAGCAATGGACCAGATCCGCAGAGCTCGCGATACCAGCAACGAGGAAACCCTCGCCGATTACTTTCAAGGGTTGGATTCAGTCATTGAATGGTTTGACGAGCATTTGGGCACGGCCTGCATGAATCTCATTCCTCTGGTTCAGTCAGACAACAGGAGTATGGTGGTCAGGTTGGCCGTTGTCGTCATGAACGAAGAAAAGAATGACGACACAGTACGAGCATTGCAAGAAGCGCAGAAGGACCATGAGGACTTGGCTAGCCGTTTCAAGTCGATGAATATCGGCCCTAAGAGCATAAGAGGATACAAGGAGAAATTCATGCAGGCGATTGAATTATATGCACAGAGTCAGTTCGAGAATACCAAGGAGGACTTCCTTGGCGACCCTGACAACCTGGAGAAAGGTTTCAGGTGGTTCTTCAATGACCTGTTCACCGTGCAGCAGGGCATGCAATCGTTGATGCCCAAGAAGTGGAAGATCTATAAGACCTACACGGATATCTACCATCGGATGATGCATGATTTCTTGATTGGGCTCATCGATGACCCAGAGCTACCACCGGATAACCTCCTCGCAATCATCCACTGGAGCGAAAAGTACTACAAGAAGATGGGCAAGCTCGGCTGGAAACAGTCTGCTCTTCGTCCCAACATTCTCGACGACCGTGAGCCTGAGCTTATTCGACAGTGGCAGAATATCATCATCAGCGCCGTCGAAGAATGGATGGAGCGGATCTCAGAGACAGACCGAAAAGGGTTTCTGGAGCGTATCCCCGACTCACTGGATACAAATGCCGAGGGCTACTTCCGTACAAAGACGTTGCCGGACATGTGGCGCATGCTTCATGAGCAGATAGTGGCATCCGGAGCGTCTGCACGGACAGACGTGACGGAGGGTATCATTGATGCGATGTTCAGAGTCCTCAAAAACCGACAGGCCGCTTGGCAGACTCTTATCGACGAGGAATGCAGCAAGTACAATGGACCTGCCGACGAACACGCAGAAGGCCTGCAGTTGATGCAGGATTGGCTCGTCGCCGTTGCTAACGACCAGATTGCCTGCATTGATGACAACGATGAAACCGGCCAGGTTGGGTATCTGACGCGCTTCAAACGTGACTTTGAGCCGTTAGTAAATTCGAATTACATGGCTTCCCGCGCGATGCCTGAATTGGATGCGCTACGCGACGGGTATGTTGACCTGAGCACGCACTGTCTCAATCGGTTCGTCGAGCTTGTCTTTGCCGTCGACTTCCGCACGACCATCCCGGACTTCTTTACGCAGAAATGGTACGGCGAGTTTGCCATCAAGCGTATCACGTCGACGTTCGAAGACTACATGTCCGACTACAGTCCTGTGCTGCATTCGTCCTTGACGGAGATCTTAGTCGAGGAACTGTCTGACGAACTGCTTGTCAGATACCTATCATCTGTTCGTAACAAGGGAGTCAAATTCCGCCGCCACGTTGACCCGTATACGGATAAATTCAAAGACGATGTCTTGACAGTGTTCGCCTTCTTCCAGAAATACCCGGACTCCTTCGAGGGAACCATCAAGCAGAAGTGGCGTCTGGTCGACTGGCTGGTCCGCCTGCTGGAGGCAGAAAAGGGACCCGCCCTCGTGGGTGTCTATGAGAACTTCAAGACGGAGTATTGGGATCTGCAGCTCTCGTGGGTGGAGACCACGCTCCGGACAAGAGACGATTTCGAGAGGAGCATGGTCAGCACAGTCAAAGCGAAAGCGGCCGAGTTGTCCGTGGAGAGAGGCATGGAAACTCTCATGAGCCGTATTCGGTAGGCGAAGACGTATGAGTTCTGTAAATAGCACCTCCATGGAATATACTTTTTGTCGTCCCATAAGATAGACCTAGGAATTGCCTCGATTTAAGTTCGTCGAACCGACGATATCTTCCAAGGCAGTTTTATTACTTGATAGATCTGAGAGTAGTCTACTGTCCTTGAAGGACATCTATATTATTTATATTTGACTCTGACAAGAGCCATAGTTTAAGAATCGAATAAGAGACTCCTCTCACTGACGATTCTATACTCCTCGCCCAAACGAGCACCTAACCCCCCATGGGCGGATGAGTCGAGCTTCTTCGCACCCATCTCGCAAATGCATAATTTCTGTAGAGGAAAGTCTTTGGCCCATACGAAGGGCCTACCTTCCTTGTTGTTGTTGTTGTTGTTTTCAGTCTCATTTTCGCTCCCGTTGAGGCTATTGCTGTCAGAGATCTCGTCTCCATCAATCCGAGTATACGTAGCCGTGTTGCTCTCCAGTGACCCTAGCTGAATGCAGGTATTACCGTCAGTATAGTAGTTCCGATAATGATGTAGGATATCTCTAGCGTCGAATGAGTATTGATTGTTTCGACTGTTGCCCCCGTGGTTCCTGCTATTCTTCCCGGGTCTTCGTCGTCCTCGGACATAAACTGTATTCACAACGGTGGCATGAAGAAGTAGCGGCCTGATCTTGCGTTTCCTGAGCTTTGTATTCTCTTGAGGTCGCGGCTTTGGAGAAGCAGCTTCAACTTGTCCTATATTCTGCTGCGCTGCTTGCTCGTTTTGACCCTCTTCTGCGGGATTATTGCTTCCCTTTTTGTTTTTCTGGTACTCTTCTTGAAGGAAACCAGCATCCAGGAATCTGTCACGCAGCGCAACACAAAACGGATATAGGCGTGATGAGCTATCTACCGGAGCGGCATGCAGAACGGTGGCGAAACGAGTACGCGGGAGCGCATGTAAGGATTCCAAGGAGATGGTAAACCGTTGAGGTGAGCTATTCGAGTCTATCTGGTCTCTCCCAGAGCCTATAGAAGGCTCTGTTTCCACAACATCCGGCTGTCGGGGCCGGGTAGGATTCCCCTTACGCCTTGATCTCGCTAGTTCTTCTGCCTCGTGCATCAGGGAGACTAGATCCAGCGACTGGAAAAACTTGAACGCCTCGTCCTGCCGCTCCTTTGTTGGTAAGCTCATGACACCTAGCGTCAAGTGAAGTGTTCCAACAGGGCGTAATGCACCGTTGGGGATCAGGGGTTGGAAGGGCTGGAAGGCGCTGTTTGTCGCATCCTCTTGCTCTTTTTCCGGGCATAACGGAATTGCCGACCTGAACGTGGCGAGCGAAGATTCCAACTGTGGCAGGGAAACCGAGTTGACCAGCGGTAGGCACAGAAAATGAGTAGGTGGAAGCCTCTTCTGCTGCGAAGCTCCCATGTGGTTTCTCTCGGCCATGGTGAACAAATGCCGAATGCTGGATGCGACTGCAGATGACGATGATGATGGCAGCGGGGCGATGAGGTCGAGCAACGTAGAGTATCTCATGAGAAGGAGCTGTCCTCCAGAGGGAGAAGGTCAAACACAATCCAATAGTGATTTCAATGTCACTTCTCTGATTAGTTCATCTGCTGCCTGGGTGTGGGGTCTGCAACAGACGCAATCATACTAGAATCAAGCATAACTCAAGTTCCACAGGACGAATAATTGTTTCTGCTCAGAGTGCGAGATCGGTAAAGCAAGTTTAGCCTCTGGTACTTAAGTTTAGCTGGAAAACAGAAAGCGTTGGTGTGAAAATGAGCTTCCATCGCAGCCCGAGGAGCTGCCAAAAAGTGGAGAGCTCTGCCGACAATCAAGTATGATGATGTGATTGAAGCTGCTATTTTCCTACTCTTCCTCCCCTTGCCGAACGTCATCCCAACTGGACTCTTCATCAGAACCCTCGACTTCCCGAGCGATTAGAGAAATTTCTCAAGAATATTTGCATCTCGTGAGCTTGAAAAAAAAAAAGATCATCACCATGTTGACCCGCACTGCACCTCGAGCTGCGCTCTCTGCCCTCACTCCCTCACTCCGCCTGACCTGCGTCTCTGCTGCCTCTGCAGCGCTTCAGTTCCAGACCCAGTCGAAAGAAGCCCGTTCCTCGATCCGTTCTTCTCCCTTCCCTTTCAGCAGGAAGTTCCACGCAAGCTCTGCGATCCGCAAGGGCATCTACCCTGACTCCGCAGACCCGCCGGCTCCGAACCCCGAGTCAAATAATGTCGCCGGCGGTGCTTCGCACGTGAAGGAGCCATCTCCATTGACAGACCCGGAGTACCATGAATACTCAGAGCATTATTTCAATGTCCTCTTGTCGGAACTGGAGCAGGCGCAAGAGGATGGTTCCGACGTGGAGGCGGAGTACAGCGTATGTACCTAAAAAAAGAAAAAGAAACAACACCCAACCAAAAACCATTGCTATAAAAAGGGTCCTTTGCTAATGAGAGATTTTCCGATTCCGACAGGCCGGCGTACTGAATATCATCGTCCCAGGAGTAGGCACGTACGTGCTGAACAAGCAGCCTCCAAACAAGCAAATCTGGCTCAGCTCCCCGATCTCCGGACCGAAGAGATTCGATTGGATCCTGGAAGGCGACCAGATGCATGAAAAGCAGGACTCACGGCCCTATATACATGGCCAATGGATCTACTTGCGTGATGGCACGAACCTCACCGATATCCTCAACTCGGAGCTGACGCTGAATCTACCAAAGGATATCTACGGTGAAAGCGAGGAGTAGTGATAAAGAAGACGAAGAAGAAGAGGAAGAGGAAGAGGAAGAAGGGACGGTGGTCTTTTTTCGGTGGATTATCACGTAGATTTCTATTTTCTCGTGAGTGTGATGTATAACACCTAAATACAATCTATGCCTGCGTGGCGCTGTGAACGCCTATCGGCGTCCCGTTTTGTCTCAAGGGCCCGTTCCTGTCCACCGCCATCCCCCGGGGCCTAATCCTTGCAATATATGGGAAACTCCATACAGGCGAAAAGATCACAGCGACATCTCGAGTAACCCATTCTCCCAACCCATGTCGAGAAGAAGACCATTGCATCAGGAAGTAACCTAGACGCGAATGTCTCGTCACCAATCTGTTCGGATGTGGCGTGCTGGGCGATCGAGTCTTTCAAACGATCGTTTAGATATTCGTGTTGCCCGGTCGAGGAAATGGTGTTTCCCTCTTTCTTTTTCCCTTTCCTTCTTCTTCTTCTTCTTTCGCATGCAGTGATCAGAATATGAGATTCATATCCAAGCACTGAGCGCTTGTATGCCCCAAGTAACATCTATTCGATAAGTCGATCAAGCCTGAACTGTAACTGCACCGGCTGATTGCTGCGAGTTCTCCGAGGGAAGATCGGCCTGACCCATCAATATCCAAGGTATATTATACACGAGTAATCGACTATCAAGGAGACAAAGAACGCACCTCGTCAAAGATCACACGGATCATCAGGCTGCAGCTGGGACACACGCCGATATCTTCGCCGTCGCGGAGATCCCCGAGAGAGATCTCGAATCGGTCGCCGCATGGGCATGGGTAATGGTAGAGTTCCAACGTGGGATCGTAGGTCATGTCTTCGATTTCGATTTCGTCATATATGGAAATGCTATCGTCGGCCATGTTGACACGCAGGCTACTTCTGTTAATTAATGCTTTAATCGGGTGCTGAATATGGAAGATTTTTGGAGTGGCGGTTTTTGGGCTCTCGTTTCGGGAATGGTGGCATGTGGCGGGGAAAGTCAGGTGACCCATAAAAATTATATCTAATGCTGACAGGTATTCAAGACGTCGAAGGATAGAAAACGCCCTATTCCAATGCGAAGAGGTGTTTTAAGCCTCTAATCTTGAAATTTCCATCTTCACGGCATCCATCTCTCTGACCAAATCACCATACCGTTCTGCAATCTGAACCATTGGACCTGCCGAATTGGCCTGGTAAGCTTCTAGCTCTTGGACCGCGCGGCGCTGCCTCTCTTCCAGTGAGTCTCGGGTATCGCTCAAATGCTCGCGATAGCGGGTGAGGGCAGAGACGTTCTCGGGCGTGTAGATTGCCGCGGAGATTTCAAGCTTCATGACACTGTTGAGAAACCAGATCAGCCATAACCGTATGCAGTAGAAAAGGCTAGGGTACCAAATCACATACTTGAGCTTTTCCTCTATCCCCTCTGCGACTGTAGCTAGGTGTTCGGCCTTGGCCTTTGTAGCCCGAGCCAGGGCGCCATGTTTCGCCCGCTCCAGCACCATCACCGTCTGTTCGATGATCTCCGCCCGTGTGGCCAGCACCGCTGCCGCCGTAGCGGCCATCTCCCGGCGGGATGCCGGCAACTCGCACAGCTGCAGCTGTCGCAGGGTACGGATGCGCGCCCTTAGCTGTGTAGCCAGTTTGACCTGTGGTTTGGCTTTCGGGGCTGGCTGACGGAGACGTCCCCGAGAAGAACGAGGTGCCGCGGGCGCAGCAGCAGCAGCAGCAGAGACTGCTGCTCCAGAGGACTTCTGCGGAGGCTGCTGCTGCGGGGGCTCGGGGGTTGCCCCCGTCTTAGCCAATGTACGAAGATCATTGATTGTTGCGGAGAGAATATTCGACAGCGGTAATATCAACGCAGGGATGCTCGAGTAGAATGTCTCGATATCGGGTCGTAAAAGCGCCAGCGTATCTTCTCCCAAGGGGGTATCCTCGAGTTCGTCCAGTGGCGTCTCGGAGTCAAGGTAAAGCGAAGTAACCGTCACAGGGTGCTGACACTATAGTTTTCCAATTGGATATGAAATCTACTGTCAGATGACTCTTTTTCTTTCTTTTAAATTCCATTGTGTATTTCATTTTTACCTACCTCGTCTGGCAGTTCGTTCTCTCCATCGAATGCCAACCGCCCGATCGCCTTTTTGATGATTTGCTTCCTGGCATCTCGCATTCGACACTCGTTCAACTCCTAGATAGATGACAATAGATTCTCGTGTCAAAACAGGATCGCTGGAGTCATCCGCAATACGTTCTCTCGGCATGCAGGAGACGGTCGCGAACGTACTTCCAAAACAGCTGTTCTTGCTGGAAGAGCATCATTGGCGCGCGTAGAGCCATCGGGGTTCAACAGGGTCGACGTGAGGGTTTCATAGAGGAGCTTGAATCGAGGGTTCTGTTCGAGTATTGTTGGGTCGCATGGTGGGAGCATCGTGATGGGTTCGGAGGTCTCAAGTGTATGAAGTGCCTTCGGGCGCGGTGACAATCGAGTTCGGTGGGAAGCACGTGCTTGGAGATTTACAGCCTTACAGGACCATCTAGCGGTAGATCAGATCCTACACAGATAAATGCTTTAATTTACGCGGAAGAATTGCATTTTCACTGCCATTTTCACATTTCTTTCGTAATCATACAGATTGCTAATGTTAGCCCAGTTTTCCATCTGCTTGAAACCATTTTGGGTATCGACTTCCAGCTGTCCACCGCAATTACCGACCCCCCTCCCTGAAATACCAACAAGTTTTGGGAGGGCTAAGGGAGGGGGGGAGGGGAGGATGAGAGCAAGAAGAGAGGCATCACAATCCACTCGAAAATTGCATGGCTGTCCTGGAGAAAATCTCCCTTTTGTCCAAGTCCACAGCTCGGCAATTGAGACTCGGGAAAGGAAAATGAAACCTCTCTTAACTTTGATCCAGTAGCAAGCTTCGCCATTGGGGAAATAAAAAAAAAAGGGGGGGGGAGAGGGGTGAAAGGAAGGGGTAAAACAAGGGGAAGAAGAAAATTAAACGCTGTTTCACGCAGAAAAAAACATGTCAATAGAAACACACATGTGAATAATCCGGCAAGCCGCAAGGAAACACCAGAGCCTCGCTAGTCGTCGTACTTGATTGCAATGGTTCTGACGGAATCCAGCAAGCGCGCGCAAAGAACACAGGTTGCCCCTGAGGGGACATATGTACAATATTAAGCTAAAGCAAGGTAGGTCGGGGGGTTGTGGGTGTGGTGTGGTTGTGTAAAGGTGACGATCAGAGTCGGCCATCCTCGTAGCTTAAGCCGAAAACATGTGCTGGGGCTTGTGAATTGGGGGTATCTGACCGGAAAAGGAATCCAAAGACACAGAGAAGAGAGACTCGGTCGAAGGGCAACAGGGTCAGGAAGTCACGACGAGTCGAGGAGTGTAAAGAGAATGGTTAACCGCTCGCAACTTGCCATGCTAAGCGATTGATCATCGGCCCTTTACTCCTCTTCGCTCTCCTCGGTGTCATCCTCTTCGTCGCTGCTCTCAAAGTTCGCCTCGACGGAAGGCATAGGGTCCGGGGAGCGACCACTACCACCGCCCTGGAATCTGGACAAGTTACTTTCAAGCATGTTGATCTGAGCCTCTTGCTCAAATTTGCTCATCGGCTTGTTCTTCTTGGGCTTCGAGGGCGCACTGGCGAGTGGCGCTCCCATGTCCTCGTCATCGACCACATGGGGTGCGTTCTTCTTGACGAATTTCAGCAGCATCAAAAGGACCTCATTCGGAAGCTCATCGATATCCAACTCGATCTCAGTCTCCTGGGTACCCTAAGGGAGAAAAAAAAGTTAGCACTCGAGGAGTTCGTGAAGAGGAAGAAGAAGAAGAAGGATGAGGAAGAGGAGGAGGAAAGATGAACGTACCTTAAGAGAGGGGACATTGTTCTGGATAATCCTGAGAGCCTCCTGCATCTTTTTGTCGGGAAGGCTGCTGATTCCGTTGGAAATGATTTGCTTTTCATGATAGGATACCCAGCGTTTCTCGGACTTGGATGACTTGCTGCCCTTTCTGTCTTTCTTAGAGAAGCCGACAGCACCACTCTTCTTCGAGCCCTCCTTCTTTCCAGACTTGGACTTTCCTAGCTTCTTCGAGCTCGGAGGGGTCTTCTTCTTTTTCTGTGTGATTGCTTCGACCTGACGGGACATCTCCGCAATCTGCTTCTGCAGAAGGGTAAGCTTCTCATCGTCATCGCTATCCTCGACATCCTCTTCGCTTTCGGACTCGGACGAGTCAGCGCTGTGATGCTCGGGATGAGGTTCGTGCGCCTCGAGATAGCGCGCCTTCTGAGCCCACTTGGAGTCAAAGACATCCTGACAAGTCTGGCCGGCCACGTAGGTCGGATCACCGGGGATATTGAACTTGAAGCAGTTTTTGAAGATCAGACGCACGTCTACCTCAAACTCCCGCGAATTCTCGTATTGTCCAGTCTTGAGCTTGCTCTGAATGGTCGAGAGGTCCATAGGCTTTTTGATGATGCTATGATAGGTAGGGATATTGAGTGCAACGGGATCAACAGGATAGTAGAAAGGAGCCGCGTAAGAGTAGTGCTTGGGCTTGTGGAGCTCATCCAGAACTTCTTGGCAGAATCTCAGCTCCCACTGGTACTTCTTCTTCTTGGGCTTGGTGGAGTAGGGCAAATCACGCTTAGGAGGATGGATAGATCGCTTAGGACGACCATCGGCGTTTGTGGAATCACGACGGATGAGCGGGAGGCCCTCGGGTCCCAACGCGAAGGTGGTGGCTTGTGGAGAGACAGCCGTGGGACGACTGGGGGCGGGGGTGGGAACCGCCCGAGGCTCACGTCGCGACGCCTGAGTCTTCGGGGCAGACTTCTTGATTTTCTTCTCCTCCACTTCATCAGGCCTAGGAAGATTGACCAACTGCTTGTTGAAGGTCTCCTTCAGTTTTTGGCCTTCCTTGGTGACCATATGATCGGGACCGTTGAATACCAGGGCATTGCGAACCATCTTATGCAAGTCATCGATGACCAACTGCACAGATGCGTACTCGTTCCTCTTGAGTTTGCGCTCGATCGTTCCCAGGTCCATGGGTTCCGTGATGATGCTAGGGTAATGGGGAATGTTCATCTTGATAGGGTCGACAGGCTCGCGATAGAAACGAGACTCATGCATGCGCTTCAGGCTCTGGACGCTCTTGACAAGGAACTTGTGCTGCATCTTCGTCACACCTTCGTGAGCACCCATCGCATGATCGCGAGACGTCTCCGCCGCCGGTGAGGGCAGCTTGGGAACCTTGAAGTCAGAGGGTTCGACGCCATCGCTTTCAATCTTGGTACGTTTTGCAGCCGGTTCATCGCCGCCATCGGTTTCGCGCTCCCTAGAAACTTTAGTTGGGGACACGGGGATGTCCGACACATCCTTCATCTCGTGATCGACGGATTGTTGCAGGGACAGAGTCGCAGCCTTGGTCGGCACACTGCTGGTGTGTGCAGCGGAGGAAGGCAGTGGTATTTCGGTCTTTGCGGAAGGCTCTGTGGCTTGCGTAGACTTGGAATCATTTTGTACTGGGGCCGCAGAAGGAGGGTTCGGTTTAGGGGTTGCGTTTGCGCTGTCTTGTTGATGGTTGTTTGCCTCCTTCACAGCAGCATCTGGAGCGACCGAGGGCCGAACTACGGTCGGAGCCTTTTCGCCACCGGCACCGTTGTCACCTTCCGACTTGGCGAGGGCGTCTGAGGGTTTCGCGGTCTCTGCTGGAATAGGGGACTTTGGAGGCGACGCAGTCGCACCGTTGGTCAGTGGCGGTTGGTCCACACCGTTCCCATTCACTGAGGATTTGACAGGATCGGTGACCGGATCTGAGTCATGTTTAGGAGAGGGCGCCGTAGCGACCGCCATCGGAGCTTGCACACTGGAGATAGAAACAACATGTCAGTCACAGCGACAGAAAAAAAAAATACCGGCTGTGCACCAACATGCCCTTTTACTTACCCTTTCTGATCGATCTCAACAGCAGTTCCATTCGGTGACGGCGGCAGCTGAGGCTTGTCCTCCTTGAGGACAGGAGTAGCCTCGGGAGGCGGCGTAGCCATGGGAAGGGAGTCACCAAAAGCCCTCGGGGGCGCAGCCGTAATACAAGGTTTTTGTTTTTAACAGACGCAGCGGAAGAGAGGATGATGGATGTAGCAAATCAACTGAATAACTCTTCTGCGCTAACACGAGACTATTGGGGGTCGATTCGGAGTTGCGACGAGCACGAACCACACCGTATTAAGAGAGGACAGATGTGGTGGAGAGGGTAGAGGAATCGCAGTGCCCAGAGCAGAAGCAGATACAGACAGACAGACAGAAGAGATAAACGCGGAATCAGAAGTGGAGAATGCGACAAGGAGACAAAAAGGAATTTATATTGCCAAGAGGTGCCAGGTGACCTGCGATCACGTGGGAGGCAAGGATCAGGGTGGGTGACTAAGCAGGAGGGGAGGCAAGCCCAGGCCGGAAAGGGAAGGCTGGAGGAAGACGCCCAGAAGACGTGAGAGGGAGGGAGGGAAGCGTCAAGCAAGTGAACCTCAGGCAAGAATGCAACAGAGACCGAGACACGTGACTGCCCGGGGGGGTGAATGAGAGCCTGAGGTTCTATCTCGAATTATTACCGCAGGTATTTGTATGCGGGTGGACAGGGCGGGTGGTCCGTGACGCGTTTATGGGATCGAAAAAAAAAATTTTTCGGGAGGGACCAGACAGACCGGGTTAAAAGCTGGAGGAAGCTTTTACCTGGGCGGACCTGAACGCGACGCGAGGACGCGTTGTGGTATTGGAAAGGGATTGGCCCCAGGGTCAAGGAAGAAGGCGGTCAGAGGGGGGGGGAGAGACAACAAGGAAGAGCGTGACCGGCGCGGGCGCAAAGCTCCCAGAAACAGAGACTGAGAAATTGGGAGAGGGTGCTAGAATCCTTTAAGTACGAACGCCGTCTTCGTGCTCGTCCGCCCTCTGCCGTCGGCCCCATCGGTCACACTAGGCCTGATTACGCTGGTTTAGGCGATTTTACGGCGGCTGATTGGCTGTGGTGTGACGCGCTCTACCCATTCGCGGCTGTCATTGGCTGGGAGGGCCTGAGGTGCGGGTACCAGTCTTACCAAAGTCCCAGACTCTCAACCTCCCTTTGAGAGAAGCCTTCCCCTAAAACGGCTCCAGCAGTCGAGCCTCTTTTTTACCATGATGACACCAGACTGGGGAACCTTCGACACACCGCAGTGGGCCGCAGCCTGCCGTAAAGGACTTTTCTTTTTTGGCTGGTAAAAATAAACACGGAAAATCAAATTATTACTTTTTTTTTTTAGCATGGAAATCGTAATACCGTCTAGAAAAGAAAACCAGGGGGGAGCAGGCATACCCGATCCTAGTTAGGCATTCACTCATGGATCTAGGTAGGTACTCCAGTCTGTCTCGAATCACAGTGATGATTTTTCAGTGACATGGATGATTACCTAGTACCTAGTAGTACCTCAGAGTAACTACTAACTAGGTACTACCTACCTCATATAGTGGTTAACCAACGGAGTACAAGTTACGACCGGCCGAACCGGCAGCCACTAGGACGGCTGGGTTCAAGTTGCTAGCAAGTCTGCTGACCAGCGAAACCCCAATATCCAGCCCTGAGCCCTGTATTGATACCGCATTCGGCTAGTAGCCTCCCCTCGGAAGACGTAATCATCGCGTGCCTGCTCAGCCTCATCTTGTCCATCATTCCTCGGCTCCACTGCGATCACCGGCATTTGACGAGAGATCATTCCAACAACACAAGAAGAATACTAATAACAACAGCAGGAGTATACTATTCCTTCATCGGAAAATGGGCTCCGCGGTTTCTATTCAAGTCTTTCAAGGTCAGGAAGAGTACAACGCGTGTTGAACGACCCTTCTCACGACCCTTCTTGACTCTATTTCAGCTACAAATATGTAGTAAATATATACTAATGGAAAACACCATTTATCTAGGTATTAATCTATTAACTAGTTGTGTACGATGTACTCTGTACTCCGTCGTACCACTCTGTTGATGAAGCTTTATATCAAGTCTAGCATCGGCAGCTGCCTCATTGACAGAACAATAAGCAGCCATACTTCTCCCTCCAATATTACACCTGCTTTAAGAAAAGAGACATACTCCGTACCTTCGATAGCAATAAAAAGGCAAGGCTGCAGGATTGATCTACAGAGGAAGATATTACGGAGTACCATTCCCTGCATCAACTCTATCACACTTGAATCTAGGCACTTGCCTCGTAAGCATAGCTGTACGATGTTCCAGCCACCCAGCCCACCTTCTAGAAAGATTCGAACCTGTCTAAAATGATTAAAACATTCGTTCTCATGGACAGACATTATTATTCATACCTGTAGCCTGTAACTAGCCTAACTATAGTTACATGGTAAAGTACATGATTAGATAAACACCGCCCCGAGCGGAACCCAGCGGACTAAGCCGTAACAGGATAAGCGCCTATACAGACTTGGAGAACTTTTTTTTCAGTGTCGCTGCAAAAGTTCCGGCGATAGCTTGCAAGTCAAGATCGGTCCAGCATCCAGGCCTCCTTGCGATCCAGACACCGGGCCAGAGGTTTCCGCTCGCTGACGACCTCAATCAGCAGCCAACACCCGCTCAAGACCCGACTTCCCGTCGCTGATTCGGTTCCAAAATGGGGAACAAGAAGACTTCCCGGCCGGCGTCAAAAATGTCGTCGGCCGCATCTCCTGCAACAAGCGGTCAGACATATACCGGTAACAAGGCCTCGATTCTGCGGGCTGCGTTCTCGCCGTCGGAGTATCAATTGTCGCTTTTCGCATCCGTCATCCAGGGCCTCGATGCTCAGCACATCCGAATCCATGATACGATCACCGGGCGACTGCAGTGCGAGCATGCGCTGTCCCCCAAGGAGACCGTCACCTCGTTAGACTGGGGCTACTATGCCGGTCGGCAAAAGGATCGCGACCAGCAGGCGAAGAAGAAAAGGAAGCGCAATTCGGGTGTCAACGGTGCTGCCGTGGAGGGACTCGACCAGGCCGATCTTGTCGTGGCTTTCGGAACAAGTACATCGGAGATCCGCATGTACTCACCAGCAGAGGACAAGATCGTGGCGACATTCTCTGGTGTGCACGAAAAGGGCATCCGGGATTTCAAGTTCACCGCAAACCGTGGAGGTGAAGAAGGCTGGAGTATTGGCGGCGATAACAAACTCGTCCAGTGGGATCTGTGCACCGGGCAGACTATCAAGTACGAAAAACAACCTGTCCATCTGAATTGTTGGAGATTTGAATTATGCTAACTTGCTTGTCAGAACCATCAATCTGCCAGCCACCTCTTCTTTCACGACGCTCTCGCGTCCTGTCCCCTCGAACCCTCCTGTGATCTGTGCATCCTCCAAGCCCTACATCATCGACATAGAAAACGCAGACAATTCTTCCACGTCACCATTCCCAGCCATGAACACCTCGATACATACAATTCTCTCTTCCTCGAAAGAATCAGTCGCTGAAGGAGCTTTCCTGACCTCCGACAACGGTCGCTATATCACAGTGCTCGATCCTCAGAGCAAGAAGACATCTCCTCTAGTCATGAACCTCGTGGCGGAGAATGAGGTCTCTTCGCTGTCGCTATACAATGGCTCGGGAAATGCAAGTGAAGCCTCCGTGGAAACACAGACGCTTGCCGCTTTAACCGAAGATGGCACAGTCGAGCTCTTCACGAAGCCCTTCTTCCACGCCAAGGACCCGCAAGCAAAGGGCAACAAAGCCAAGAGACAGAACACCAGACGGGCAGACGCTTCTGTCCAGATTGTTCGCTCTGAAGAGTCCAGCAGCCTTGTCCCCGTCGTGATGGCCTCCTTCCAAGGTCAGGATTTGGTCATCGCGTGGGCTGAAGGAGGCGTTGTGCCGGTTTTTGAGCGTGTCAAATGGCTCAAGGAGGGTTCGGATGAACTTTTGTTCACGGGACCGCAAAGAATCGTGAGGACCAAAACGGCGTCGACACTGTCATCCGCAACCACAAACGGATCCACGAAAGCCATCGAAAGCCGCGTCGACGAATCTAAGGCCGTGGTGGAGAGTGGGGTCTTCATGGACGATGACGTTGACATGCAGGACGACGGGGAGGATGCAGTTTCGGTTTCCGGAAGCGAAGTGGACTCGGACGACGAAGCCGCCGTTGTGGCCGCCAAGAAGTCCGGGGCAAAGGAGACCGACAGCGATGTCGAGATGGACAACGCATCGGGCTCCGAGAAAGAGAAGGATGCCGAGGACGATGAGGAAGATGAGGAGGACGAGACAGGAGAGCCTACCTTTGGCGAGCTTCTTCGCGCCCATGACGCCGAAGAGATCGATGTTGAAGCCGAGCTGGAGGACGGGCTTCGGATGGGACCTCTTGTTCCCGGAAAGCCGAACACGGCAGTGTACCAGATCCCCGCCGGGGTTTCCCTCGCGACCGTTCTCACCCAGTCTCTCAAGACCAATGACAACGAGATGCTCGAGTCCTGCTTCCACACCAACGACCTATCCATCATCCGCACAACCATTCAACGGCTGGATTCCTCTCTCGCCGCAACCCTGCTCCAGAAGCTTGCCGAGCGCCTCGCGGCTCGCCCTGGCAGATACGGGCATCTGCTCGTCTGGGTGCAGTGGGCCTGCGTGGCCCACGGCGGGGCCCTGGCGGGCAGACCCGAGCTACTGAATCGGATGTCCAGCCTGTTCAAGATCATGGACCAACGTTCCTCCAGTCTTTCCTCGTTGCTTCTCCTCAAGGGCAAACTCGACATGCTGGACGCGCAACTGGGACTTCGCCAGTCCCTTCGCAGTGGCGCAGAGGGCATGGAGAGCGATGACGAAGACAACGTCATCTACGTGGAGGGCCAGGATGAGGACGAGGACGAGAACAGCGACGCAGAGCCAAAGCAGATCACTGGTGGTGGTGCTACCTCGCGGTCCCGATACGAGGAAGAGGATTCAATGATGAACGGCATCCACTCCGGCATTGACGACTCCGAGGACGAAGAGGAGGACGGCAGCGAGGATGAGGAAGGCGAGGACGACATCCTCCTCGACGTCGAGGCTGAGGAATCCGCGGGATCTTCTGATGCCGAGGAGTCCCTGGAAGAGAACGACGACGATGACGACGACGACGACGAAGAGAGTGTCGGGTCCATGGTTGACTTCATCGCCGACAGCGAAGACGAGGATATCTCCGATGATGACGATGTGTCAGCCCCTCAACCTCCTCCCTCGAAGAAGGCCCGGTTGCAGGGCGGAAAGAGCAAAAAGGCTGGAAAGAGATGAAGGGAGGGGTGAAAAAAAGACGAAATAGATAGATACCAGCTTTTTTGATGATTCACTTCAATGTGTCCGGCGGCTTTGAAAAAACTTGCTCTTTTTTTATTTATTTATTTATTTTTTTGTCTTCTTCTTCTCTCCCTTTTGCACCTCTTGTATTCATCCACCTTTTCCATCGTGCACAGGGAGCCAGGAATACATCGTTTCCACACACACACACCATTGTTTGGATATTCATTGTCTGTCTTATAATAACTATGCATGAGGTTCAATAGAAGGTACCTAGATTGAGAGAGAAAAAAAAAACTATAGACTCTCTGTAGCATTACAAGCACCACTATACAATACCCGATGCTCAGGCACCACCGAGCCAGCAATCGGCAACTCCAATGCAACCGTCACCTCGTTACTAGGATACGTCGTGATATGCCCGTCACTCACGGCCGCCGTGTCCAGCGCAAGAATAACCCCGTCCTCGCCGCCAAGGATCCAGGCATCATCGATTGAATGGGGGAGGGTGATATGTGCCAAGCCAGAGAGGAAAACAACCCATCTATAACACATAAACACCTATTTATATATAATATACACACAGATACATGTGTATATATGTGTAATTCTTACTGTACTGTCGGGGCATTATGTTGCCCCCCGTCATATCTGCCAGGGATCACGACGTATGTCGCGTTCGTGGAGCCTCCCAAGGCCCCCAGCGAGAGAGAAGCCGAGCCAGAGGTCCCAGCCTGGGCGGAGACCGTGAAGCCGGGATCCAGGGACCAGCATTCAAGGGTCGACTGGTTGTTGTGGGCGGTTAGGACGGTGATGTTGAGGGTCGAAGGGGTCGAGGCGGCGGATGCGGCGGGCAGGAGCAAGAGGATGCCTAGCAGGCATGTCCAGATAGGTGATGAGTGCATTCTGTGGTAGTTCTTAATATAAATTAGGTGCTGAGTAGTCACTCTGTAACATAATAGGAGTACTGGTCTGGAGAACTCTATAACTGCTGTAACTGCAGGATAAATATTCATGCGTATGCAGGCAAAGGTACAAAGTTCACGCCTGATGATCCAGATGCAATAATGCCACTATTGAATCGAGATGGCGATCATAACGTAGATCAGAGGAGGGCACTGGTAAAACTTACAGATTACATACAGCACGGTGACTAGGTATTCTGAGAGAAAGATATTTAATTATAACTAGTAAGGATATCATCACAAGAGCAACAACTAGCTTGGAGCTCTGGAATGCCATGAAGGATCAGGGTGTGTAGAAAACGAGTCTTGTTAGGTAGTCCGCGGGCGAGCACCCAAACCCTCAGCGAATGACGTCTCTTCCAGTTTTCTCGATCCCTTCTAACTCCTCCAGAATCTGGCTGCCTCCCAGAAGACCGGATGCCGGAACGATCCCTTTCTTCGATCCGCACCATACTTCATGGAACTTGACGGTCGAGTCGCTCGAAGCCACAATGATGCAACCTTCCTCGGTAGTCCGAGAGCACCACAGACCACCCTCCTTTTCCTTTGGACGCATGAATGTCGACATCCATGACTGGCCTGGCCGGCCTTCCTGCAGCCTGTCTGGGTGATCAGATGTGGCAGGTGCCTGGGACGAGTGCCATTCCGGGTATACAGGGCCATCCTCTGGCATGTCTGGCAGCCAGCCTGGATAGCTAATCGCCCAAATCGCTCGTCCACAGTCACCCACGTAGTTGGTATCCATGTGATCGGAGCTGGTGCCGTGAGGGCCCCAGGGTATTGCAGCGATCTGTTCGCAACTAGGCCACGCAAAGACGGCGATGCGGAAAGGATGTTCTGGCTGAGCATACCCAAATGTGGCGACGATCTCAGGACGCGTTTTGCTCCATATCAGACTGGTAACTTGGGCGAATACGTTAATCGTTGCTAAACAAATACCAGACGGAGTATGGAAGAAGTGGATCGCCCGGTCATTTGAACCTCCCCCAGTAGCAAGCAAAGAAGGTTGCCACGGGGCAAACGCAATCGCTTTGACAGCCGCCGAGTGGGCCAGTCGGTGCTTTTGGCGGTTTGGAGGTACCATTATGGTTCGCCCATGTCCTGAAATCAGGGATCCGGTATGTGTGAGAATCGATGTCGATACAGGTGTGACATGGGGTTGCATCCAAGACGGCAAAACATGGCTGACGAGAGGATGTCGTTCATATGGGTTTCTGTTCCTCCTGACCACAGGGCGAGATCCGCTCCCGTAGGTATTCAATGCCAATTGGGGACTGGCTGACAACCCAGAGGTGATATCAAGTGGAGATGCCGACAGGATTTCACGGATTTCGAAGAGTAGACACGCGTTATCGTTTCCTCCAGTTGCAAGATAGACCCCATCCGGTGACCAAGCTAGGCCACATATTTGCTGCTTATGAGCAGAAACTTTGGCGAGCAGTGTCATCGAGCCGTTCCAGCCTGAATTTTTGCGGGTCTTTTCATCCGTCCACTCTACAGAGTAGTACCACACATTCCCTAGCTCGTCGCCAACCGCAAGATCCTCGGTATATACCAAGATGTTCGGGAATCTCTCTGATAAGCGACGAGTTGTCGACTGCTTGAAGGCGACGCAGGTGATGCTGCCTGGATGGCTTATCTCGAAGCGTGTGTCGGACTCGTAAACACTCCACAATGACAGAAGACCAGACTGCCTGGCAACAGCCAGAATACTATTTCCACCATTGTGAGAAGAGAATGAGAGTGATGTCACAGAATTGGACGGATGTTGGACGCTGAGAGGAGGATATTGGACCCCAAAGTATTCGGACCAGAGGTAAACTCTACTTCCAAGACCGACAGCAAGGAAGCCAGACGTAGAGGAGTAGGCCAGAGGTGAAGAATAGAAGTCATCACGAAGAAAAGGGGCTTCAAGGACTCTAAACGGCCTTGAAGGAAGTGTCCTGTGTCTACTTCTTGGGATAACATTGGTCCCTATATCATCACAAAGACATTAATAACGACTTCTGTTTGAGGTAGAGCAAATGAGCGCAACTCCTCCAGTTCTTACCATGTCATAAATAAGTGATTGTAGATTTTATATTATATATTCATTGCATTCTGTAATTCCAAGCTAAACAAAGGAGACAAAGGCAAGAGTCTAGATTGGATGTATACTTCTTTGTTGAGATGGAAAAGTTGGAACTTACAATCTGTTCTTTCGAGCCTTCTCCAAGCGCCGTCTTTCCAATTGAAAGGAAAGTATGCTTCATGGTCAGGAGAAGAAGGACTAGGCGTTAACTCAAGCAGACGCGGAGACCTTGAAGTCTCGAGGAGCCTGGTTGCTGGATCAATGTCTAATGCAAGGGCAACCCTTGACTCGTGCGTTTCGCGCTGTTCTACCGTCGAATTGGTCTTCTCGAGAAATCGGGCCGTGTACATAGGTGCAGTAGTTCCACTTTCCAGCAGTCCCCCGGTGCCATCAGACACCGCTGCGAGGCGTCTTCCCAAAACCGCAGAGCGGCCGCCAACGTTCCAGACAGCTCCAGCACTGATCTGCCGCAAAGTTTCTGCTGCCCCGATGTGTGCACGAGGGCCGACAATACCTGAATCGTTAACAAGATGGGGACCATAATGAGGGCCCCTTCTATATCGGATTGATCTTTGCAACGCTCTCTGAGTCGCTGCGGCTTTTCGGGAATGTATTGGCATGAAAGGGTCCGCTTTTGGTGACCGCCGTCGCCATAGCCTTTCTTCGGCTGACAAGAAACGAGGACCTTTCGTTACGCGGAAACTCATGGATGTGGGATCCATGTAGGTCCTGGCGGGTATGAATCGATCCGGAAAGGCGCCATTTTGAAGTATTCTTCCTGCAGTGGTGCCTCCGCTCGCATGCTGTCTGGACCTTCTACGGCCGTTATCAGAAGTATCTCGAGCCCTTGCAGTGTCTGGACCAGGAAGAAAACCGGCTGCCTCTTTCATTCCATCGAGAGAATACCACTCGCTAGAGACGTGTGGATAATCAGTCATCGTATTAGCATCTTGATTTCTGCCACATAGAGGTATACTCGGGTCCTTCTTGTAACAAACAGCAAAGACAGTATCTTGAAGGGAAGGGCTGGGAGTTGCGTATGCTGCTGGTTTCAATGGCCCATTCTCTACCGAGATCTTCATATGCGTTCGACCAGGGCCGATAGTAGTATCGATGCTTGAGAGAAATCGTGCAGCATCGAGGAACGAGCTGTTAAAACTATTGCCATCGCTGCTACAGCGAGCTCGAACCTTGGCGCCACAAGGCATATGGAAGTGAAGACTGGCTGTGTCACACCAGACTAACTTACTGAAACCGCCAGATAAGACTATTTGATGGGAAATATGCACGATGAATAAGCCTCTGTGGTGGTGGTGAGATGTGAGATCTTTGATGCCTTTCTCAGTCTTTGATAGTCGCTGTGCACGTGACGTCTCTTTCAACAGGCGCAGGTGGAAGGAACGACTTTCCTGTCAAGGCAACCTCTCACTCTCACACCTCCCAAGGCCTCTAACCTGTAAATTTCGGCTCCCAGGCCCTGGCAGCAGATAAGATGTCCGTGAGTAGCTTGCAACTTCCTACAAATGCTAGAATCCCCTAGACTAACGTCTTTCTTGGCAGCATGGAATTCCCCGCTATGTTCAGGAGAGGACAGAGGAGGCCCGACAGCAGCAACTGCGCAAAATCGAAAAGTACCAGGAGCTAGACAAGCTTGTTCATCAAAAGGTACTGTTTCGTCGTAGCTCATGTGGAACACATATTAATTAGGTTTAATAGATTGCGGAACATGAATACACGACTGAGACTCTTCAGAATATATCTGAGTTACTGACCACAAATCCCGAATATTATACTGTATGGAACTACCGGCGTCAAGTCCTACAGCACCAATTCTCGTTGGCAGCATCAAATGACTCCAACCAAATACCAACACTTATCAAGAATGACCTGATGTTCTTAATTCCCCTCCTCCGTAGCTTCCCCAAGTGCTACTGGATCTGGAACTACAGACTCTGGGTTCTTGATGAGGCCAAACGCTTATTGCCTGCCACAGTGGCCCGCAAATTCTGGCAAGAAGAATTAGTTCTTGTGGGCAAAATGTTGAGTCTTGACAGTAGGAACTTCCATGGTTGGGGGTACCGGCGGTTCGTCATCCAATCACTGGAAAATCTGGGAGCAGACGAGGATGGGAAGCAGAGTCGAGCCCAGGAAGAGTTCGAATATGCAAACAAGATGATAGGCACCAACCTTTCGAACTTCTCAGCCTGGCACTATCGAACGAAGCTCATAAAACGACTCTTAGATGAGAAGTCTGCGGGCGATGAGGAGCGGAAGAAGATGCTTGATGATGGTAACTACTTTGCCCTCACACCTACTATTGGACGAATGCTAACCATGCAACAGAACTGAAGCTCATCCATCGCGCTCTGTGCGACCCTTACGATCAGTCCTTGTGGTTCTATCATCAAAACCTCATGTGCACCTTTGACACAGCAGACTCGGCGCAGACGATGGCGCCGAACCTATCGACCGCAGACCGACTAGAGTATCTCCTTGTGGAGATTGAGGAAATCGAGGAAATGCTAGACGGCGCAGAAGACTGTAAATACATCTACCAGGCACTGATCAACTGCACGCTCCTGGCCTGTAAAATCAGGGGCACGTCATCGTCCCAGGATCGACTGAACGTCACGAAATGGCTCTCGGAATTGAAGACCATCGATCCCCTCCGGAGCAAGCGGTGGTCTGACCTTGAACAAAGGCTGAAGACCGAGCTTAATGATAGATGAAAGCTTACTTCTGTATGAACACTTGGACTTGGGATCTCTCCCGGAGCGTACCTAACTTTGTAGAGAAAAATGTCCTTGGAACCTACTGACGTGGTTTCTTCTATGTTATTATTACAACTAATAGCATTTCCACCAGATTGATAGACGCCATGAATGGGCTAATTCAAAACAACAGCTCAAGAATGCCACATAATAATGAGCTGCGCCTGCAGTGCATAATGCGCCTGTAAGTGTGGCTCAGAAGGGGCAATTGCGCCCCCCATCCAATGGGCCGCGCGGTGTGCCTTAATTAGCGGGCTGCCATTCAACCTACGCGGTTGTTTCGATGCGGAGGCCAGAATTATTTTGAGTCGAGGTCTGCTTCCCCCGATCGACAGTTTCTCTCTTTTGTCGACCCTGAATTCTCATTTCCTCTCCGTGCCCTCTACACTCCACTGCCCTCTGTTTTCTGCCCCTGTCTCCATCCCCACCGAATGAGCTTGCAACACTAGTGCGTCTGCGGAGCTATCGTGCTTCCGCCGAGTGGTGGCCATTAGTTATTATTATCTTCTGCAGTGTCTCCCATGGGACTTTTTTTTCGCATCTGACGCATCTCGAACAATCACCCAAACGTTGTCTGTGATATTTGGCCACGCGTGTTAGTTCCAGGTGGTGGTCAGGCTCACCATGTCGTCCAGCGTGGAAACTAGAGAGTACGAAGGGGTGAGTGTGACATCTGATTTCACTCTGCTATCTGTGGCTGTTCTGAGACATGTCGAACTAATCACGACTGCCGATACCAGGATACCTTTGAGGATGCCTCGGAGCTCTCCAGTCATATTGCGGATTCCTTGCCTCACAGCTCTTCCACACGTTCCTTGACAGACCCGACGCCTTCTCCTGGTTCAACGCCCGTGATCACGGAGCCACCTCCGCTCCCTTCTCCTACCCACGATAACGAGGAGAGAGAACATGAACATGAACATGAACATGAGGATGGCGATGAAGAGGAGCGGGAAGAAGGCTCAGAAACCGCTAGCATCGACCTGCCATCGGAAGCTGAACAGACGCCACGCAAGGCAAAACTGCAAAAGTCGCCGCTGTTGACTGCACACCGTCTGTCAACCACTTCGCTCGATGATGTCAATCTCGCCGGTAACAAAGATGATGAGGACTTGGGAAGTCCCGGTCCTGACCTCGACCCGAGCTCACCTCCTCCTCTGCCCTCAAGAGAGTCATCTCAGTTCCGGGGACTGTCGGGCAACCTCCCTTCGGTTTCATTCCCCCCTCCACCTGTCAAAGATCTTCCTACCCCGCCGCCCCCTCCTCCTCCACCAGCTACTCGAAAGCTCACCGGTCCGTTTGCGTGGTTGACAAGAAGCTCGACGAGCGCTAACAGTATGAAATCGCCGCCTCCACAATCTGCTGCGTTTAACGACCGTAGAAACACCGCAGCCTCGGTCTCTACGATATCCAGCAGCAATGTTGATCTGCTGAGCCGATTGCAAGACGGGGAATATGGGGACAAAAGACCCAGGCGGAATAGCTTAAAGGACCAGTTTAAAATGCTGAGGATGCGGGATGAAGGTGCACTCTCGGAGAACGACCAGGCAAGCGTTGTCTCGGGTCGAACCAGCATTGCCCATTCCGCAGCAGGCAGTCCGCCGAGTATCCCGGAAGAGACGGCAGATGGTCTGGCGCCGGCTGCATCATCTGGCCTCCAGTCGACGGTCAACCCGAACCTGGCACCAGGAACGGTTTCTGGAATATCAACGTCCGCAACCGATGCCTCTGCTCCTGTCGACTGGGAATTATGGCAGCAAGTCGTCAATCACGGACCCCGGGCCCTGACGGGTGCCAACTCAGAGGAAATCAATGCAGCCATCAAAAGAGGCATCCCGCAGACCATTCGGGGAGTGATCTGGCAAGTGCTGGCGGACAGTCGCAACCTTGAACTGGAAGAGGTCTACCGGGAGTTGGTCGCGCGTGGCACAGACAAGGAGAAGGAGCGTCAACGACAAAATGGTCAAGCGAATGGGACAGGGTTCGACAAGGAATCACTGTCCTCCTCACGCTCCTCTATTCGGTCCGATAACTCGGGGTCGGCCACAAATTCCAACGCTAGTGCCGCGGTAAGCCCTTTTAACGAGCTTGATGCCGACAAGTTGGTCAAGGAGCATGCTGCCAACGAGGCTTTGCGGAAGAAGAAAGCCAAGGAGGATGCAGCAGCTTTGCACAAGCTTGAAAAGACCATTAGAAGAGATCTCGGCGCACGTACAAGCTACTCCAAATACTTCATCTCCCAAGGGAGCCAGGAAGCCCTCTTTGGTTTGTGCAAGGCTTATGCACTCTATGACGATGCTGTCGGGTATGCTCAAGGCATGAACTTCATTGTAATGCCGCTACTGTTTAATGTCAGTACCACATCTATGCCCCTTGGTGCTTTTCTCAACCATACGCTAATGTCTACATGCAGACGGATGAAGCCGAAGCATTTACTCTTCTCGTCAAGCTGATGAACAAGTATGGTCTTCGGGAGATGTTCATTCAAGAAATGCCAGGGCTTCACCGCAGCCTGTACCTGTTTGAGCGTCTACTGGAAGACCTCGAGCCGGCTCTTTACTGCCATCTCCGCAGACGTGGCGTTCCACCGCAATTATATGCCACTCAATGGTTCTTGACACTCTTCGCTTATCGTTTCCCCTTGCAACTAGTCCTGCGAATCTACGACCTCATCTTCGAAGAAGGCCTGGAGAGTACGATATTAAAGTTTGCAGTTGCTATCATGCAGCGGAATGCCGAGGCGCTCCTTGGAATGAAGGATATGAGTCCTCTAACAACATTTTTGAAAGAGCGAATCTTCGACGTGTACATCGACAAACAACCATCAGCCTCTTCGATTCTCGAGTCTGGCTTTTTTGGCAGTTCCGGCGCTGCGGACAAGGAGGTGTATCGCGCTGATATCATGGTTCAGGACGCCTGCTCCATCCCCCTTACCAAAGAGATGATCAAGTCGTACACTGCCGAGTGGGAAGAAAAGGTTCGAACGGAAAGGGAGCGCGAGCAGGAGCTAGAAGGGCTGAAGCACACGGTTGGGATGCAGGCGTCCAAGATTCGAACCCTTGAAGAGCGGACAGAGGCATCTGACAAGGAACATGTTCAACTGGCCTCGGAGTTGGTTCGCGTCAAGGTGGAGAATGAAGAACTGCAAGATCTCACTGATGCGCTGAAAATGCAGGTCAAGGAGCTCAAGATTGTCGTGGACAAGCAACCGGCCGAGGTGGAAGAGAAGCTCCGTACAGAGATGGACCGGATCATGCAGCGGAACCTCGAAGTGCAAAACGAGAATAGGGCCATGGAAGAGCAGATGGCCGAGATGGAGAAAGAACTTGTCGAGGCAAAGATGCGATGGGCTGAGGTAAATTGATTCTTCCAAACTAACATACGAAAACAGAAAAAAAAAACAATGAATGATAGCTAATTGGCATGCCCTACAGATCTCTGAGAATCACGAAGCATTGAAGCAAAAGTGGAGTGATCTTCGCAAAGCCCTCGATTGATCTCATGATTTCGAGTCTATGCTTCTGCGAATTCAAGAATACCACGACCCATCTCAACCTTCCGGAGCCCACGTTGGCTCTGACCAACCGCCCCCCCCATCCCCTATGTACAGCTAGGAACATCTACCATCTGCGGCACTGCCTATTGATCTCGCAGGTTGCCAGACGTTATTTCAATTTATTTTCCTTTTTTTTTCGTGAAAGTTCGGGAGACTTTGAGAATCATTCGATTGATGCATTCTGAAAATGAGAGCTGGCATCCATTCGATGCTGCAACATCGATATTACAATTGTGGTTATCATTCCAACATATGTTCTGAATACTTCCTGTCCACTCCTAACCCAGTTCTGTATTCATGTGAAATAGCTTCATGGCCATAAATATAGGAATATTACTATTTACAAGACAAGACAAAAGCTATATAGTTAAGATGTAGATCAGTCTGTCTGTACTGTTAATTTAGATATATTGTCTGCTTGTTTTTGTCTACACCACGCTCTCATAGTATGTGGTCAGCACATCCTCCTTGACGGGCAACAACACCGCCTTGAGCGCCTTGTGCGCCTCACACTCGACATCATAGTACTTCATGTCCTCCATCGAGGCAAACCTCGTCTTCACCGAGAGATTGTACCCCTTGTTCCGCGGGTCGGGGAAGGAACGACCGGCTGCGACGTTGAGGATGTACGGCTTGCCATCCTGGGTTCAGGCATTAGTCAAAAAAAGGGGTTGGTAGTTAATAATAATATAGGTATGCGTTGTAGGCACCTTTTCCGCCGTCTTTGCAAGAACCTTGTACTGCTCCAGGACACGGTCGATAGCTGCATCGTCTGAGATCTTGAAGAGGGTGATGCGTTCGATGGGAGCCATTGTGACGGGGAGAAAGGAGAAATATCTGGGGTTACTTGAGGAGTAGTAGGGATGAGAAAGGCTTCTGATGGTCTTGGAGAAGGACGAGGCGATGAGAAGTTGTCTGGGCATCTAGTCCAGCGCGGAGGTGGGAAAGACTCTCCGATTTATGTGTTTATTTTTCTGCCAGGTGGGATGGGATGGGATGGGATGGGTGCGGGGTAACTGGTTTGATCATTTGGAGATTCTCCGCGGTCCTGAAAACAACCCTATCAACTTTTCATTATTATTTGAAGACCAGGGCCAGGTTGGCGAAAAGAAGATTCCAGCCCACTTGCTCGTTCCGACGGATATCGGGAGGAGAGCGGAATTCCGTCCGGCAAGGATGGGTATGTTCGGAATAGCACTGCAATGACGTCGGCACTTTTTTTTTTTTTCTTTTTCAAGGATCCGAGTGGCATCTTTCCTCCAGGTCATGTCTCGTTATATCTCGTTTCCTTGATGTCTGATAACATCTACCACGGCAGGAGGAATCATTCCCAATGTAGAGACCGCGGAGGATGCTTTAGAGCATCGGGCTCAGCTCGACCCTTCTCCAGCATACCCATCGTCTGACTAGATGTGCAGTTGATCGAACGGTAGCCCTCGAGAAGACTTCGATCCGGGATGCACTTCCAGGGAGTCTGTAGGTGGGCTTGCTTTAACCGTCACGGCGAGTAACATTGCAATTGGTAGCCGTATCACCGAAATGCTCCAATGGATACCTTTATTGGAGTCTCTCTCTCTCTCTCTCTCTCTCTTTCAATCCATTTCAATCGAGGCCATCAACAATCATTCACAGGCTCCGGTCTTGTCTTGAAAAGCAACTTATACTTGACGATCTCGACGATTTCGAGCTCATCCCCCCCTTCCTCCGCTTCTACCTCTGGCCGTCGCCGCTGGATCACCGCCAACGGCATACCTAGCTTCTTTACTTCACCCGTCATCCGCTGGTACCGGCCGACGTATAGATAGACGCGTTTCATCCATTTCGTGTCCCCTTCGGCGCTTTGCGGCGAGTAATCAGGAAACATGAGCTTTCCGACCGGGGTTTCATAAACCGATGGAGAAGAATCAGAGGACTCTATAATCGCTTCGTCGGGGTCGCTTGATTCATCCGGTGATGGGATATTGATCGTGCCTTGGATTTCGAGGATGGCGAGGCCGGAGGGCGTCTGGAGAAGCTGTGGCAGGGGATTGGACGAGGGGTGCACGGCGGAGGAAGTTCCTGCGGGCCGGGGATGGAGGCGAACTGTAGGCATTGTGAGCTTGCACAGTAGTTGTGTACTGAAAATTGAAGATATGCCAAAAAAAAGGGATGGTAGTCGTATCCAGAACTATTACTTAGCGTTGAGTTGGAGGCGCGACGGGAGCGCGTCAAATCGCGTCTCCGCATCTTTATCTCCGAATGGTCCTATCAACCATCGCAAATTGTAGTAGGTATTGATATGACGATTTATTCCAATATCAGTCAGCTAAGCAAGAAGATGGTTACCTTACCTCTATGTAGAGGATAATTTACTATCTACTATACTTGATAATAGCCGCACTGCAATGTTATTTCGATTTTTGATAAGAACCAAACCAAGAAGATGGCTCATCGGATATGGAAGAGTCCTTCGTCAAGACACCCTGATGGAGTTCGCTAATGATACAATAACGGAAATAGCAAAAAGAGGAAATGGCTAAAAAGTATCCGTGCACAACAGAGAAGAACAATGCAAAATGGTTCCTGCGAAAAGCAGCAATGAAGGCCGTAGAAGAATGACGATGGCGATTCAGGCTCCGAAGGCACAGCCTAACCGAGTTGCGACGTGGCCGTTCCAGGAGCAAAATCAAGATTCCCCTTTGCTCTCTGGATATACTCGTTGCTGACATTCACGTAGCCGTCTCCAAAGTACCGCTCGGAGTTCTTGCTCAGCCACATGGTGAACTTGGAGAGCTCCTCGCGAAGTCTGGTTGTGGACTGCAGATCCATATTTGTCTGAGCAATAAGTTCGGGCATTGTAGCTAAAGGAGTGTCAGGGCAATCCAAGTACTCGCGACGTCTTGTAATTGGGAAAAAGAAAGGAAAGGAGGGGATGACATACCGAACAGACGAATCAAGTGCTCTGGGCCATAGACATCCGAAGGAATCTTGCCGGCAATCTCGCCAGATGTTGCATCCATACGCTTCTTGATCGATCGCCACTGCTCGCGTTCAAACCTGTAAAGAAGAATTTTGTCGAGAGCTTTATCGAAATACTCTCTAATGCCTGCCAAAACTTCATCCAGCACATCGAGATCAGATGGCATTGCGCGCTTCGGTTTCTCTTCCTCCCGGTAGGCGTCGAGGATTTGATTGACCGGAGTTCTGGATGGCAGATTAACAGTCTGGTGGTTCTTGGTGATATATTCCCAATCGTCAACCAGAAGACATTTGAGGCTGTCTGGGATGACAATCCTGATAGACGGCCGCATGTAGAAATGTTCTTCCTGTCAGAGATAGTTAGTTTCGTTGTCCAACAAGCATAATAGGAGTAGTAGCGAGTCTTAATTTTTTCTTGTTTGGGTGGAGGGGGAAAAGCACAGGTTGCTTACCTTTTCAATCTCGTTGTCTCTGCCTCTCTTAGTGCCACGAGCCGGAACCGAGCTCTGTCTCTCCTCACTTCCGCGAGCAGAGCTCCGGTCAGAACCTCCCTTCTTCTTGGGGACAGGCTTGCCACTCTTCTGCCGAAAAGTGGCCTCAGCTTCGCGGCGCAGAGTGGATGCGAGTTCCCGGTTCTCATCGGTAAATTTCCGAAGACGATCCTGGGGCACCCAGTCATCCCACCTGAGAAAGTAGAGTCAGCAAGAGATCATGGATCAGACGGCAAGAAGGAAGATTCTAGTCTCCTCGATGGTAGAAAGCAATAAGCCAGGGGCTGGCAGCACACGCCACCTCAAGGGTAGACCTAGTAGTGGAAACCTCAAAATTCACGAAGAGAAAAAAAAAGTGACTTACGTGTTTTTCCAGCCTTTGTAATGGATCAGGTATTCAAACGGACTCTTCCTGTCGTCGGGGTCGACATGCCTCAGGTCCAGGATCTTGGCTTCGTAAAGAATTTCGTGATGGAAACATAATACTCGCTCATCCTTGGTATAACTCATGTGGCTAGCGGGGGCCATTTTCAGTGAGAAAGAAAAAGGAAAGGGTTTCCAAGGCTCTGAATCTGCTCGGCAGCAAGAGTCTTGAGCTTAGGTAGATAAAGCACCGAGATTTCGATGCTCTTTCCCTTGAAGGTGGTTTAAAAGTGGGAAACACAGGCACCACGATAGCTTGACGACACGCAGGAAATCACGACACAAACAGAAAAAGGTAATGAAGAGCTCAAATTACAATATGATTTGCAGCAAGGCACGAGCAGGCTGTGACAGGAGCTCTAGACAAGTGCAGGTCACAGCGCGGCTGGTCAGACGAATGGTCCAGACAGAAACGCCGGACGGAGGAGAGCCAGATGAGCCGAGAAAGCTCGCGAGAACAAGAAGAAAGCAAGCAGATGAATGAGAAGAAGCAAAATCCAAATGAGTACAAGAGAGATCAAGTGCAAATCGAAGGACGTTGTGAAGATACCAGAGTCGAGTACGCGTAGAGGTGGGTGGTGGTGGATGTAGGGGAGAGAAAGACAGGGCAAAAAGGGAATGGGCAGCGGAACGGCGGCGAGCGAACGGGAGGCAAAACGCGTGTGAAGAAGACTAGGGGGACTTTATTACAACTCAACTCATCTCTCAGGAAGTAAATTCTATTAAGGAAGGCAGACAATAACTATTATCCTCTTTATTTCTATATATACAATAGTCTTGGCTTCCTATTGTCAACTCTATTCTCTCTCGATAGAGGGAGGAGGTTCCTATTCAGCCTTTCTTGATACCAGTCACGACGCGTTACCCTATCAGTGCTTTCTGCACGTTATCTGTGGAAATCTGGAACAAAAGAAGTCATCTAATTGATAGTCTTGAGGATAAAAGATCCATCAAGCGGTCCTTTGCTCGCGCGTTGAGTTCAAGGCCAGCTCTACGCTGGGAAAATCTATAGCCATGGCTCCATCAGAGGAATCCATCCTCTGCAACTTCCTGCTGGCGCCGGCGTCCTTGCCGACAATTCTGTCCCTGCAGAAATTCACTGAGCTGTTTCCGAAACGGCTACGAGCTCATCCACAGGTCAAGGTTCTGTACCGTGAGCTGCAAGAGTTAAGAGAGCAAGACATGGACCTGGTCAATAAAAACATCGACCAGGAACTCCAACGTGGCGCGAAGCAGAAGCAAGAGCTCCGCAAGGCGCAGATGAATTCCGGGGTGGATGGGATGGATGCGGATGACCGGCGAGAAATGGACATCGACATCCATCTGTTTGGGGAGCAGCAGCAGTCGTTGCCGGCGGACGAATATCACGGACCCTCGAGTCTACTATCTTCGATCGAGGCCGCATGCGTCAGTGTTGAGCACGAGATCAAAGCCATCGACCAAGAGGCGGCGACGATTTTATCGGGGCTCAACGCGACGGTGGGAGAATTGAGTGACCTCCGGTACGGCAAGTTTCATGGGCCCGGCGGATCGGCAGAGGATGTGGTGGGCGAGGCGATCAAGGGGCTGCAGAATCTGGAGGATATCTGCTATCGCAAGAGCATGTCATGACCTTTTGTCCTGATCTCCTGTTTCATTATGCCTATTCTACTTTACGAATGATATGACACCTTTATGTTAGAGTAAAATCAAAGTCTAAGACTAGAAATATGGAATATGTGGTCTAATCCACATTCACTGTAAATTGATTGGAGTCAATATGACTCCTCCAATGCAAAGCGTGGATCTTAATAGTAGTCATTGATAATGCTAGACATTGAATAGCATTAAAGTTTCTAGGTAGACTGGCTATTTTGTTCCACCAATGGGTCCTAACAACGTTTTGCAAGCCGTATTACACGACCAACTGCCTCGCATCCTCGACCGCACACCTTGCCCCCCGCTTCAGTTCCGGTTTCCAGTCCGCCTCGCGCCATTTGACCCACGTGCTCAGTCCTTCCGGCGCCTGGATGCTCAACGTATCGTACCCTTGTTTGATGATGTGGTGGACCTCCCTGGGACTGAGATGCTTCTTGCGGGCTACCGGGATGGCGACGGGCGTGACGGCAGTGGCAGCAGAGCTACCGTCGGCTTCATCTGCTTTACGTGTAGTACTGGGCTTGGTGCTGTCTTCATGGAACAGCAGGGTGTAGAAATGTGTCGAGACGGAAATCAGCGTCTCGATGGCTGCGGCTTGGTGTTTCTTGTTCTTGTTCGGTAAAGGTGATGCGGTGCCGGCCGAGTCGGCTGCGTGCGGGCTAACGGCAGACGTCGAAGATGGGGCCATAGCGTAAACATCACGGAATTTAGAGATCATGGGACCGGTCTCGACAATCTTGTAGAAGAGATCATCATATGAAGAAGGGTCAGGTAGGAAGGTGTCTCCGCTTGAGACACAAAAGACGAGCACGTCGATCAAAGATGTGGTGAGGGATGGGATGCTTGGATGATGGGATAGATCCGAGGCATATGTCGTTAGAAAGCGCATGAGCGAGAGAAGGGTGCGCCACAACTCTGACCAGTGGTATGAGAGTCGGGTTTTGGTTGCCGAAAGATAGGTGAGGAGACGAAGTAGGATTGCAATGGTATGGCTGAGACAGGTTAGTTTTTAAACAAGATTTTTTTTCCCTCTCAGGGCGACTAGCAACACACCTGTATAATCGAGCATCAAGCCGCCGACGGAGGTTGTGCGTCACAGCGTCGATGACAATATCAAATATGACCGTCGCCAAAACCCGGTCGCCATTGACCAGTGGGAGATACGGCTGTCGCTGTCGACAAAGCCGGACCTTTCGCTTTCCTTCCTCACTGCATATCTGTTTACAGAGCGTGGCATCTTCTACCATGATGCGGAGAGTAAACAGGTTCAGCTCTGCGTAGTGCGCCACTCGCGCCGATCGGTATGCATGCTGAAGTAGGTAGGATGTGAGGGAGAGGAAGCTGGAGAAGGGCGACTCCTCGTTCGACTTTTCTGGAATCAGGGTGACAAAATGAATGCCAAAGAGCTTGTTCGCATTGGCAAAGTCATAGGTGCCCAGAAGAATTGCCGACTCGGGCGCAGGCCTATAGAAATCTATCAGCAAGCTGCGGCCTCTCTTTTCAGGGCAATGTCTCCAGGATCTCCTTACAATGCACCAAACAGTTCCTTTGCCTCTTCCGCAGTCGGAGGATTGGTCCGTCCCTTTGCGCCTGGTGCTAGTATTCCAAGGCCGAAAAAGATAAGAGTGCTGCTTAGAGTCCAGCCTTCGGGGGCATCGTCTTGGACAGCGACATAACCGTTCCGTAATGCGGCGCACGATAGGCCTACCCCCCAGACAATCTTCTGTATGACGTTCTCATTGACAAAGTCATCAAGACGGAGCTGATAGGGGTTCTGGAACTCAAACTTGTTATAATTTGCGAGTAACCCCAGCAACAGAAACGGTTCGAAAACGTCCAGAGGAGCATCAGACTCGTTGATGAACTGTCCCTAGTCAGCAAGACCAGCGCCAACGCAAAAAGAAATTCATGGTCAATGCAAACCTTCATTAGCGAGGGGAAGAGGTCGCGGTGAGTGAAATATGAGATGAGGCCCGTCTTGTAAGCTCCGCTCGTCATTGCGATCGCTGTTCGAATAGCTTTGACGCGAAGGTCGACTGTGTGGTTGTTAAGACACAAAGAATCTTTGTTTTACACACTTTAATATCAAGATAAAACTCACAAGTGCCGCCATTGCGGATGATACTGTCTAGAATGGCAACCAAGTCTGATATCACATGGTCGACTTCGTCGAGGCCAGCCAGGACGGTGATGATGTCTGAGCTTGGGTTGGTATACTTCTTCTTCAATACACTTGCCAGGAAGACCGTCAGAGTCTAGCGAGTCAGCCCGGTTGGCTCTAGAGTCAATTGATCGGTGATCCTCACATCCAAAGCATAGGAGTTATTGGGGGCAACCCCGGACGAAACCTCCCGAATAGCACGGGTAAAGAGATGCTGGGTTTGCGCCTAGCAGCATACTGTCAGCAATGAGATCACTCTCGTTGATAGTAAGTAGATAGATATGCTTCGTACCTGCAGCTCGAGAGTCTCATCGGCACTTAGCTGCTCTAGAATCTCGCGCAGTTGGCCTTTGTCCGGTGGCAGCAGGAAAAACTCCCGCCAGAACCCCTCCGGGGGCTCAGCATAGTCTGGTGTCTAACGAGCGATCGATTAGCACCCGATCTGTGGTCTCTAGTGACTGTTATTGGGATTCCGCGGATCCTACTTTGAACAGGTTCTCATAGAGCTGCACAATCTTAGGCTTGAACGTCTCGGGTCTACTCTGCTGGGTTAGGGGGGAAGCTTCCATGGCGCTGAATGGTGACCGGGCGGCAATATCTATGCATTGCCCGTGCTCTTCTAGGGACAGATCAGGTCGAGGATGGTGACCATGAGCGCTTTTCCCTACTCCTCGAGTCAATTCTTCTGTCTGACTCTTGCCAGGGGAATTAATGTTATCAGTGTATCACAGATCAGTGAGTGATCACCGATGTTCACGTGCATCATTGGCTGTTCTCAGCCACTGTGTGCCCGCCACGTGTGGCTTATTTAGTTATATTTTAGGAATAGTTAATACATATTAATACACTAGTAATGTTCTGGTAATAACATGTATATCTGTAATACAGTACAACACCAGGTTAGGAAGTCATGGTAAGGAAGTAAGCAATCACCTTGAAGTCCATAAGACAGAGAATGTCTCACTATTTTGAGGGATACCCAAGCCCAATAAGATATCAGCTTACTCGCTAGTGTTTTTAGCAAGAAATTAAATATGTTATGCTAGTAGTAGTGGCCCCCAAGGATACTACATAAGCCAATTTAAATTGTCAATCATCCTGGCTGTCAGCAAACAATCCAACTCTTCTTCCAAGTCTCCAGTGTCTATCCTCCCTTATTTCTGTACTTTTGTATCGCATATTATCCGATACCTGCTCCTCAACAGTCGCCATGCCCGTCAGAGCAATCATCATTGTTTACCGCAAGCCCGGCCTGTCGCTCGAGGAGTTCAAGCACCGCTATGAAGCCCACATCCAGCTGATCCGGCGGATAGTGGGGGACGACTTTCCCCTCTTTCACAGACGCAGCTATATTGCCCGCCAAACCGTCGCCACGCCCCCCGAGGGCGCCTCGACGCGCAACGCAACCACGCCGGCGACCCTGCTAGCCGGGCAGCAGGCGGATTTCGACTTTGATGCAATGGCCGAACTCACCTTTGCTGACCAGGCGGCATTCCAGGCCTTTGCAGCCAAGGTCTATGCGCCGGACGCTGCCGCGCAGATAGCTGCCGATGAGGAGGGGTTTTTGGACCGCTCGAAGTTGGCTATCTCCATGCTCGAGGATGTTATTGAAATGACGAAATGAGGGTATAAGCTCGGATGAAAGCTGTAAATAAACAGTGAATATACTCGCCGCTCTAACTCGATATGACGCGAAGATACTGCGAAGTATCTCTTTAGAATACTAGTTTGATAGTGGTATCAAGACAATTGAATATAATCACAGCAGATATATAAGTATAGAAACACCATATCAACCCTATCTACTAGATATCTATTAATTACCTAGGTAATAAGAAGAAGAACAAGGCTTGACACTGGAATAAACCGGAGGCAATTGATATACCATCACGTGATCAGATATACCTTACTAATAGCGATGAGCTTCAAGAACTACAACCACCCATCTCCCCGAGAGAACAAATGGGGTTCCCATCGTGATAAAAGGCCTGTGCCGCCACCGAGATGTCGGAGGTCGGATCCCTAGCACCCGCAGACTCTGTCGCAGCTGCCATCCACGACGGCAAGAAGCACCTCCTGCTCGCCGCGAGCGGTTCCGTCGCGACCATCAAATTACCCCTCATCGTCTCCGCGCTGCAGAATCACAGTGACAACCTCTCGATCCGAATCATCCTCACGAAAGCCGCGGCCGAGTTTCTCAGGGGCCAGACCGCGGAACAGCCTACGGTAGCGAGTCTAGCGGCCCTCCCGGGCGTGGATGGGGTATACCAAGACGAAGACGAGCGGACGGATTCCTGGACACGGGGCGCAGGAATCCTGCACATAAACCTTCGGAAATGGGCGGACATACTGGTCGTCGCGCCGCTGAGCGCAAATACCCTCGCTAAGATCGTCCACGGGGTCTCAGACTCGCTGTTGACAAACGTAATACGCGCATGGGATACCTCTGGGCTGGTCGATGGTGTCAAGAAACGGATCCTGGTGGCCCCCGCCATGAACGCAGCCATGTGGCTGCACCCCGTCACGGCACTGCAGATTCGAGTCCTGGAGGAGGACTGGGGGGTCCGAGACGCAGAAGATCATCCACCATACGATCCGACTAAACAGGGCTGGTTTGAGGTCTTGAAACCTATCGAGGTGTGTAGGAAGGAGATCTTCTTACTAGGTACTAGGTACTTACTAACTTGTCTGTCATCCAGAAATCGCTTGCCTGCGGAGACGTTGGGGTGGGGGGGATGCAAGAGTGGACTGAGATCGTGACGATTATTCAACAGAGAATGGGTCTTACTTCCTAATGTTAGGTAGTTGTTTATTACGAGCTCTACGTACTACATGGCCTGCTACCGACTACAGAGCGCTAGAATGTCCTGGTTAAGCTTAACACTGACAAGCATTCGAGAACTAACCACAGATCAGCCGCTAAATAATCCATCTATGAATTCACCAGCCAACTGTCCTATTCTAAAAACATTTCACTGACACCCTGAATTCAACCATCTCTGGCTGCTTTCTCACAACAAAGTGCTGAATAGCTATGCCTCTATCCTAGGCAGTAGTTACCTATGTAGTAGTTTGTTATTTTCGCGGGTCCTCCAAACCACGTGATCATAGGGATTTTCCGGGTCCGAGCGAAGGTCTTGATTTTGTCCTTGTGCACTTTTGTATCATGAGATAGGTATATTAGGTAGTATGCACCTTATGATGTGTCGCACTGAGGTCTAGATCAATAGCTACCTGACCATATCAATAACCCCCCCCCCTTGGAAATCCCCCAATCCTGATTCGTGCAATGCCGTGTCGGTGATGGTGCAAGCAGGTGGCGCCACAGGAGTAGAAACTGCTCGACGGTGATTGGCCCGCCAGCCCTCCTGGCAGGCAGGTGACTTCGGTCCTTCTTCCCGCCCAAAACAGAGACACTTTCCCGAAGAACTGGCAGAGCCTCTCCGACAATTACACACACTCAACTGACTCACTCTACCGCCATCCACCCAGCTCGAGAGCCTTTCACACATATACACTGCAGAGACCGATCTATTCTTAAGTGTATTACCTTATTGGAATTCCCGACAATGTCTTTCTGCCGCGCTATGCACCCCCCGGTGACATCATCCACATCGCTTTGCCGATTCGTGAGCAAGGCCTCCTCGAGGCAATGTGCCCAGGCGGTGCGGGGTTTCTCGTCTTACGGCCATATCTTCCACTCCTCCAACAAACGTGACATGCAGACGGCGACGGCCTACCGTCCTCACTCGTTGCCCACCTCTTTCCCGCTACCCCGGAGCAGCGGTGTTCCCGATACCTCCATTCCTGCCGACTTCTCCCAACCCATCCCCTACCAGATGCCCGCACAGCAGCCGTCCCCATCGCGGATCAGCATCAGAGAGAACGAAGCGTCTGCCGCAGCGCCCGCGCCCGCTGCGAAGCCTCGGCGCAAGCTGCGTGCCAGGAAGGCCGCCATGACGGTGACCCCCAAGGCGATCGAACAACTGCACAAGCTCCTGTCACAACCGGACCCGAAGTTGATCCGGGTTGGGGTCAAGAACCGGGGATGCTCCGGTCTCGCCTACCATTTGGAGTACGTGGAGAAGCCCGGCACCTTTGACGAGGTCGTCGAGCAGGACGGGGTCAAGGTCTTGATCGATAGCAAGGCCCTCTTTAGCATTATTGGGAGCGAGATGGACTGGCATGAAGACAAACTCAGTCAGAGATTCGTATTCCGGAATCCCAACATAAGTGAGTAATCTTGTGCCTCGGCTTTGGTTTTTTTTTTTTTTTTCTTTCTTTTTTTTCTACTCGACAACGTGGCTAACAGTTCACAGAGGAGCAATGCGGATGCGGCGAATCCTTCATGGTTTAGACCAGTTTTCTTCGTTCCCTAGATCTTCACCCCCTTAAACTAATGATTGGGCTGTACTGGTGCATCGGAAGGCGTTTTAATGGTTGGATTGGTATTGCTTGCTCTACCCGGGCATGTCATTTATTCTACAGGCCTGACTGAGCTTGGTTTGCTGTTACTTTGAGGCAAGGCTACATCAGCCTAAGCTACAAACATTGTACATATCAGTAAAGAATGAAGTTCCTAAATACTGGTGGCCTTCTATACATTTATCCTGTGAATTATCACATTTCGTAGGATGCGCTTTAGTGCCGCTTTTCGGCAGAATCGTTCCTGGCTCCTCCGGTCGACCGTTGCCGATACTCGATAAGCGTATCAGTATCGCAACAGTCAACTAAATACCTAGATAGTACCTACTACCTACTGCACTCTACGAATTTCTACGCATATAGATTTCCATAATGACATCTTCATTCTTCAAACCGATAGAAGCATCTACCACATTCCTCCCCGACCATGACCCGGACCCTCTTCTCCTCACCGTGCGCTTCTCCGCGTCTCTCCCCGACCTCCCCCTAGACGTGCCCCATCCAGAAACCACCACTGCCGCAGGCCTCAAGCAACTAATCCGCTCCCGTCTGCCGACCGATCTCTCTGCTCATCGTCTCCGACTCATCTACGCCGGTCGAGGTCTTGAAGATGCCACTCCGCTGACAGTCTCGTTGAAGCTGCCTCCGCCGCCGCCGCCAGCACAGCTGGTAACCCTACCAGACAGCGACGAGTACGAGATCGGAAACGAGGAAGACAAGGGCAAAGGCAAAGCGCCGGTCCGGAACCAACACCCGCCCCGACCACGCATCTACATTCACTGTTCGATTGGAGATGTGGTCTTATCGGAATCGGAACTCGAACGGGAGGCCCTCTCTGCGTCGACAGTGCAGAAAGACCTGTCCCGTGGTGACGGTACTACAAATGGTATAGATGGCGATAATGAAAGTTCGGCGGCAGCGGCAGCGGCAGCGGCAACAATGACCACGACCCTACCTGCTCCGCGTGGGTTCGACAGGCTCTTATCCGCCGGATTTACTGCCGCGGAAGTCGCTGCGCTGCGCTCACAGTTTCTTGCGCTGCATGCCGTATCGCGAACGCCAGACACCATGCCGACGGGGTCTGAGCTGCGCGAGCTCGAGGACCGATGGATGGATGAAGGGTCGTCGGGGATGGGGGTCGCTGGGATGGCTGGCGGGAGCGGCGGGACGGGGACTACGGTCGCTGCAGCGGGGGAAGGGGGCGGGATCTCCTTTGGCGATGATGATGGCGGGTTTGGAGGGAGCAGCCGCGGCGCAATCGATGATATGCTTTGGGGGGCGGTCATGGGGTTCTTCTGGCCGGTGGGTTGTGCCATGTGGTTGAGACGGGAGGAAGGTGTCTGGAGCTGGCGAAAGGGGTTGGCTGTCTTCATCGGCGTGCTTTTCAATGCCGCATGTGGAACCATGCGCATCGTGAATTGATGGGAAAGATGTTGATGTCTATTTAGGAAGCTGGTCTTCGCGAAGCATGTCGAGTGATTGAATGATACCCCCACCCTATATTCTATATCCCATATTCCATACCTAACCAAGAGCAATAGTAATAATTTAAATGGAAGATTGTAAGTAATCATAATTCAATAATTAAGGATCCTGTATTATCATACAAAGAAATGTCGTACAAGTGTCCCAAGTCAAAGTCAAAGACACTGCAAAGTGCGTTGTGAGTGTAGATAAAACACAACCCTGAGTGCAAAAGAAAAATCAAACGCCGTCTAAAACACCCGCTTAATGGAACTTGCTATAGATGACTGCAAAAATCAACAGGATCAAGACCGTAATGATGGCAATGGTGATCACCCGATTCGTAGCCATCCTATTCAGAAAAGGGACGCATTAGCAAATTAGTCTCGGGAGCCGCCCAGTAAGGCTGGTTCGGGGAAGGTGGGCAAGACATTACCTACGGGCCATACCCCTGAGGGTCTTGATACTTGTGTCCACGTATCCCTCGCTCTGTTGGAGCCCAGTCCGAGCGTGCTCGAGCGTCTCTCGTTGCTGGTAGAGGTCGGTCAGGGTGTTTCGTCCGATATCCTCGGTCTCGAGAGCAATGCGCTGGCTCTCCTGCAGTCGAGCAGAGCTACGCTCCAGGCGCTCAGTCCCCGAGAGAAGCTGCTGCCTCTGTTCCAAATGCTCATCCTGCGGTTCGTCCGTGTACCGATCGCCAAATAGAGCCTTGCGGTCGTCCGAGAGCGATTTAAGTTTCCGTTTGGATTCATCGATGTCGGTAGCGTAGTTTCGGAATCGAATGTTGACCTTGGATCGTGCCGATGAAGGAATGTTCTGCTTCTCCATCCGCATTTGATCGAGCTGCATGTTCACAGAAACCCAGCGTTAAGGACGAGGCTCGCCAAAATTGATTTTGATAATCCCAAACTTACCAACTCAGTAGCTTCATCCAGCGCCCGTTCCGCCTGTCTGATCGCCGACTTTCTCTGTTCTCCGCTCGACTCCGCGATCTGATCGAGCTTCTGGTTCAGGTCGGCCTGAACGAGTTTGAACTCGGCCTCATAGCTAGCGAAGAGCTCAGAGCCAGCATCTGTGTCCAAAGGATTCGACATCCTGTTTATCGTAGGATATTGTTTTTCGACTAGTCTCTGGGATCGAGGAGGATTGCGTGCTGATATGGCACTGTCGGCTCCTTATCACTGTTGCCTCCAAACACTTATCGTGCAACTATGTCCGAAAGCGCTATTATTTTTATCTGTCAGAGGTAGAAATCCACACCGCTGTATTGCTCTATTCCTGTTTTTATGACTGGAGGGGTCTGTTGCAAGGTGGTTGAGAGAGACAAGGTGGGCGTGGGCAGCGAAGAGGAGACGTCAGTGTCTCGACCTTTCCCCATCCGGAATGCCAGGAACCGGCCGGCTCGCCACGTGATACCCCGGTTCAGACTCCCAGGACCTTCAACCTTCACCTTTCCTCTAATCTCAAGACACAAGATGGAATAGCAAGATTTTTAATGTGGCAACTTCTTGTTCTGATGGATCGCTGTTGCGAATTCTCTTAATAAAGAAAGTCAATAAGAAAGAGAGACGGCTTGAGTGACACTTTCGCTGGCTCTCGTCAGCACAAGCAGGTGCAGGAAATACAACCGACGATCAAGGATGTTTCAAGGCTTCACCTCTGCAACATAAGGCTGCTAGATACTTCTTCCGACCTCGGGTCTAGCCAGCTCAAGGCTCGAGCCAACTCAAGTCACGCGACCATGCGGCGCTATATGGCCAGCTTATGTGCAAGATACCTCGGTTCTGTCTGGCAAGGCTGTTAAACCAGCCGCTTCTGACTACTGATTATCTCACCGTGAGAGTACAAATGTCATCACCTCGTGTGTCTTGTTCTCTGTTGTTAATCTGAATATCAGCATTCTGTTCTTTGAGGTAATGCAGTGTTTTTTATGTGTATGCATCTCCAATAATTGAGAGAAGCCCTATTGTCCACCAACGCGAGCATATCCAGGATCTCGCCAACCCTCTTTCCACCTAGAGGCTGAATAAATATCCAGATAAATGATACTCGGGCTTGTTATAATTTATGTGCCGTGCTCGACCGAAACGCGTTGCAGTCATAGGGGGAGGATGCGTTGGGATTACTGCATTCTGGGCTTTGCAACGGTCTGTACATGATGTGCATCTCTATGAGGCTTCTAGCCAACTTGGCGGACGGATCAAATCCCTTTCATTTGAATTCGGTGGCCAAACGGCGCTTGTAGACACAGAGCCCTCTTCGTTCGATGTTCATGCGTCTCGTCAGTATGTCACCACATTCTAATGATTTATACTAATCCACTATTTAGCGAACCTTGTCTCACTGCTCACTGCCCTGGGTGTCCATATATCACATACGCCAGTCAGCTTCGCTGTATCTACTAGTCGTCAAACTATTCAATGGGCACTGGGCGACTTGAACCATATCTTCACTCGTGGGATATCAACCTTCAGACCTAATAACCTCCGATTGCTGTTCGATATGGTCCGCTTCAGATATTTTGTTGCAGACTTTCTCGCCAATGATCAGGTTCTTCTACCCTCAATTATAACACGATTGCTCTAGTCTGACTCTCTCCAGTTGCGAGAGTATATCGATGAATCGACTATCTGTACCCAGGAATATTTATCAAACGAAGGCTTCTCAGATGCGTTTCGTGAGGAGTTTCTTATACCTTTGGTATCTATTCTTTGCAGGGTAAACCTCACTCATGAGCTCTTGAGATTGTCTTTAGGGACTCTTTTCCGTTTATTCTTTCATCAACAATTTCTCTATCCTTCTTCCTCGGAGGATATGTGGTATCATATCGATGGAGGGTCAAGTGGATTCCTACGAGTGTTGGCACAGAACTTTGCCTCTGCAGATTTGCGTCTTAACACGAGGGTCACAGAGGTCAATGCATCAGAAAAAGGAGGCTATGTACTCGTTACATCAACCGGCCAAAAAGAACGATATGATCATATAGTCATAGCCGTTGATAGCCAACAGGGACTTCAGATCCTAGATCCAGTCCTTTCCCATGGGGAACGGGGAATTATGAGAAACCTCCGGACTACCAAGACTATTGCTGTGCTACACTCTGATCATGCCGTCAGTAACAATATCTACCCGTCTCTCTGTCTACCCCCACATTAATTGTCTCACTAAATGTATCAATTGATCTTTGTACAGCTTATGACTGAATCACATCAAGACCGGTCTTCCTACCACTACGTAGTGGCACAGAGCGACAGTTCGCAGTCCTCCAGGAAATCTTGCCTTTCATACAACATAAACGCTCTACAGAACCTCCCTCATAGCCTTCATGGCAATATCACCATCAGCCTGAACGCACTTACCCCTCCCCACCCCCGGCTCGTCCAGAATGTATGGGAATACACCGACCTAGAGATCTGCCCCTCAACGATAAAGGCACTGGCGCTACTCCCGTCTATTCAGAATAAACGGGGGCTCAGCTTCTGCCACGAATGGACAGGACGTGGATTTCTCGAAGACGCCGTCACGGCAGGTCTGAGAGTTGCGATTGAGCATCTAGGAGCCGAGGTGCCTTTTCAGGTCGTTCGACATGGGGATTCCAAATCGTCGAGGCCTCTTCATTACGAACCAGGGTTGGGAGACCATGTGATTCGAACTCTCCTTAGGCTGCTACAGGTATATATCCTCATTTTCGAGATTTCTGTGGCTCTGTTGAGAAGATTTCGGGTTCATAAAACGGGGAAAGTTTGTTGAAGAAGGATTTTTCAAATGGGTTTCAAAGTCCATCTTGGAGCAGTTGCCATTTGCACCTCTTCAACTACGAAGGCCCTATATTGGCATAGAAGGTTTCACTGCTTGATTAAAAGTAGGAAGGGGGGAAATAATAATCCTTGACATCATACGTTGGTATACATGAATACTATGAGTTTTATGGCCAGGTCTGCCACCAAAGCACCTCTTATCCACCAGCACAATAGGAAGCAACAAAGAAAGTGAAAATGCAAAGAAACATCACGACAGGAAATTGCTATTCTCCTGGCCGACAATCGCAGCACTCCTCTTAGCATCCAAGAACAGGTCCTCGCATTCCGCCACATCGGCCTCTTCAATACCACCAGGCCTTCCGTTCACGCGTGCAAGAATACTTGCCGGTGTAAGGAGCTGCAGGGCATAGCGCAAGCTGACCTTGCTACCATGTTCGGAAACCTTGTCAAGAGCAGGATCGGTGATGACGAGACCTTCCGTCTTTGCACGAAGGCGTATGATGGTCTTGATCTCATCGGGGGTGTATGGGTGTGTAGGGATGATGAGGAGACGGGCGAGGAAGTCGGACGGAATGCCGTGCGCACCGGCAATATCATCCGTCCCACGGATCACGGTATGGCCGCGGTTGGAGGCTAGGATAACAATGGGAGAGATCGTCGACTCCAGGGCTCGATTAAGATAGGTGAAGCATTCAATGTCAAGCATGTGTACCTATTTTTTCAATGTAAGAATGACGGATCTTTCAATCAAGATATCGGCGTAGACATGAGACATACCTCGTCAATGAAGAGAACACCCGGAACAAGCTCTGCAACACCTTGGTCGATGTAACGGTTGACAACTTTGTTGATCTCCTGACGGAGCTTCTCCGTGATTTCAGTTTTCTTGGGCTTCATCAACTGGCCCATCATGCTCATCACGTCTTGTCCACCTTGTGGCCGGGCATTGGCCATATCGAGGTCGTGCAGTGTGACGTCCTGCACAATCTCCTTCTTCTTGTGTACTTCTCCCTTGGGAACGGGGACATACTCCTCCGCCTCCAAGTCGAACTCCGTCGCGTACGCATCGGACCGCCCGACCCTCTTGCAAGCTCCCGTGTTGGCCTCGATATAGATGACATCGCCCACCGTCACTCTTTCCTTCTGGATGGCTTCGTAGATGCTGGGGTCGAGACGCAGCTTTTTAACACCCTTGGCCGACTTCAAACCAATGATCAAGTGGCTAATTGTTCGTCCATATCCTCCAAGGGGGTTTTCAGTCTCCTCTGGAGTGAGCTCTGTGACTTCACCTTCGTACACTTCTTTCGTTTCGCGCACTCGTAGACCTATCGGACGTTAAAATCCTAATCGAAAACACCAACAAGCAGTCGTGCCATACCGATTGCCCTCCGGAAGTTCTCCATAAGTGCCTCGGTCTTCTTTACTTCGGCAGAGTATATCTCGCTTCCGACGATGGGACAGAACGGCACTTTCGTTCCCAGTTCCTGGGACACAGCGAGAGCAAGAGCTGTCTTTCCGGTTCCCGGGCCACCAGCAAGAAGAACGGCCCGTCCAGCCATCTTTTTCGCTTTGATAAGATCTACCACGACACCGCATGCCTAGGAAAGTCATTTCTCCCGTCAGCTCTTGCGCTTGATAAAAAATGCGGCATTAAAAACTGCCTGGGGCCATGATTTACCTCTCGTGCAGCAGCCTGCCCGACGAAGCCATCTGAAGAAGTCTCCGCAGTGCCATCGGGACGAAGTCCAAGGCCTCTGATATGCGTATGGGCAGCTGTCCTGTTTTCGCGCGAATTGCCCTTGACTTCGCTGATCTGAACCATGATGGCGTCGTGGCCGCGTCTAAGGGCCGCCGAAAAGAACAAACGAACAACTTGAGCAGCGATAGAAAGCAGGAGCGGTCGTAAGGGAATCAGAAAGCTGATAATGGCTCAATCCCACGCACCCAATTTTTGAGGTCGGTCTTCAGAAAGAGTTGCTTCCAGGCCAGGGCGGATTGGGATCGATCAATGATAGCGACAAACCGCCAAGGCGGTCAGCCCGCCCCAAATTCTTCTTCCAGCGGGAGCTTTGCGGTAACTTGCAAGTCGTCTCCAAACGATTATTATTACTCCTGGCAATCCAGCGGGCGTCTCTGCGAAAGTGCCGTTTCCCCTTGTGATGGTCTGAAATCCTAAGGGTTTCTACATCGACACAATGGCAGGCTTACAGACCAAATCCGCCATCTCCCTCCCATTCTCGCTCACGGCGGCCTTCCGCAACCTCTCGGTATCGTCGAAGCGCTCTTTCTCCACGACGCCGGCGACGCAGAAAACGAAGGTGCTGCCAGACTATATTCCTCCGTATCCTTTCGGACCCAACTATTTCTTCAAGCAGTCGAATTCCGGTCTGTACGGCGGGGCCACGATCCAATTTGGCAACAAGATCTCGCAGGGCCGCAATAAGGGCAAAACCAGGCGATCCTGGCTGCCCAATGTGCGGCGAAAGAAGCTTTACAGCGAAGCTCTCGATGAGCACCTCTTTATTAAGGTCACCCGGAAGGCGTTGCGGACGATCTGGAAATCCGGTGGCCTTGACAAGTATCTGCTGGACGATCGACCGGGGCGTATCAGAGAGCTCGGCGTGTTTGGCTGGGAACTGAGATGGAAAATCATGCAGACGCCAAAGATTCAAGAACAATTCCGGCAAGAGCGCAAGAAGTTAGGCCTTCCAGAGCCCCCGTCTTTTGAGGAATGGGTGAAACAGAAGGAGGCGGAACTCAACTCCCAAGTAGATGAACTGGTCAACATCAAGGAACAGACGAAACCGATCTACAACGAGAAGTTGTATTAGGGAAGAGAGAAGCAAAAGAAGATGGGCGGTTTTGATGAGGATTCTACGAACATCATATCGGCCTCCGGTTCACTCATCTCGACGTGATAAACCCTCTTGTCCTACTATCATTCCAGACAATACACTGTGGAAGCTGCATAGAAACTGGGGTCTGTTGAAATATATGTTGCCAGCGTGCTTGAATCCTCGGGGCCTATAAGGAAAGCTTGGTTCGTTTCATTATTCATGTTATATCTATTGTACTTATATTTTCAATATCAATCATACATTCCTAGCCATTGTGAGTTTCAATACTACTCTCTTTTAGACAGCAGAGTTATTTAATTAGGGTATATCTTTATATAGTCCTTATTATAAAAAGGTGTGGTCTTGGTGGTTCCTCTGTAGAAGCATCAATATTTATATAACTAGTACTAAACATAGTATACACTTTAAATAGACAAAATGTAATTCAATCGTCACCAATCATATAAAATAGAAGAGTTAAACCAAACTAATAGATTAATCTATAAAATCTACTCAGACATGTCATATCAAACTGACTTCAAGGCATGTCTCAGTCTCAAGCATATTAATATCGCGGGTCAAAGATGTTCCATCTAATTTCCGGATTCGGGGATGATGTCCACAGAACATCACGTCGGCGGCGAGGTTGCTTTTCTGAACAGTCTGATATTTCAGAAAATATCTCCAGTCGATCTATTGCGAAAACGCTGGGGGCGACATCCCGTCACCATGCAGTTTGCTGTACCTCCTCGGAAGAGTTACCATACTCCTCCATACGCTCGTTCATCGCGTGTATCCTTGCAGCGTCGCAAACAGCTCAAGGTCGTGGCCATCGCTGGGCTCGGTTTGCTCGCCTTATTCTTCCTAATATCGCGCATTTTCTCTTCGTCAAGTAGCGATCTCGATGATGTATCCATCGCTACTTCGGGTGTCGTGATCGTGACCGTTTTGGATCACGCTCTATACAGCGAGAACTACCTGCACAAGATCATCCAGAACAGGGAGGATTATGCGCGCCGACATGGTCAGTTAATGAGACTTGTATATTATTCCTTTGATGCGTGGGGTGGAGGATCTGACGCAGACCAAAATCAGGGTATACCAACTTCATCGCGAACGTCTCCGATTATGAATCTGCGCTGGATGGCGCCCCTCGAAGCTGGGCCATGGTCCCTGCCCTCCGCCATGCCATGGCGTCGCATTCCCACTCGAAGTATTTCTTCCACCTTGGTCCTCACGCCTTAATCATGAACCCGAGTATATCGCTAGAGTCGCATGTTCTGGACAGCAAGCGAATCGAGTCGTTGATGATGAAGGATGTATCTGTGGTGCCGCCGGACAGCATCATCAAAACCTTTTCACACCTGAAGAGTAACGACGTCGATGTGATTTTCACCCAGGACAAGCAAGACATTAGCCCCGACAGCTTTATCATCAAGCAAGGCGAATTTGCTCGCTTCTTCTTGGACGTTTGGTTTGACCCGCTGTATCGGAAGTACAACTTTGCGAAAGCAGAGATCCATGCCCTGGTAAGTGTTTTGAATGGAAATATCAGTGATCCCAATCTCTCTGTTTTCTTCGTGACTGACAGGACCCGTTCTTACAGGACCACATTGTCCAGTGGCATCCTACTATTCTCGCTAGGCTGGCTCTAGTACCCCAGCGAATCCTGAATGCTTATAGCAGGGACTCACCGCAAGTTGCAGTCGACGGGGCCTATACAGAGGGGGATTTCGTCATCCAGCTGTCCGGATGTGCCAGCGACGCCATGCAGAGCTGCGAGAAAGAAATCGAACCATACTACGCCACATGGACGAAAAAGTTCAGAAACGAACAGTCTCTTCTCTCCTAGAGAAGCTCATGGAAGGGTCACCAACAATACATGGCGTCGCTCCCTCTTTGCATCATACTTGTTCGTCATATGGTCGGCGTTTTTTTCTGGAGTATGGATTGAGCTGTATATCCGGCGGGCCAGATGAGGTTTTTTTTTTAATTTACGATTGGGTTTCTCATGTATTATGTGCTGTACGCTTATGATTGCTTATCATTAGCACTTTAGACTATCTGTTAGAACGAATTGATATTGAAAAGTAGATAAACCTAGGGTACTGTATAAATACATGTTGTACCGAGGTACACAATGATTCAACTAGTTAGGTGAACTCGATGAGCTCGATGAGTGCGATAAGCATATGGCTTGAACACTACCTTTTTGACATGACGAGACATTTGAAACCCCCAGAGCAACATGGCTATGTTTTTGTGTGCTTTTTTTGCTGAAGCCTTGACGGGTATAGATACCTGACTTCAACACCTGCCTCATTATAGGAATTGTGGCCCTCCAGAGGATATATTGTTTTTGATTTTGTTTAGAAGGACAGAATTTCCATGCCCCATCTTTTTAGACAAGACCAGGAAGCATGACGTATCTCTTACGCTTATACTTGTCACCGAATTCCTTGCGATACCGGCGCTCCTTCTTCTGAGCCCAGACGGCCATCTGCGCGCCGCCAACCACAAAGAAGAACAGGACGCTCCAGCTCAGACCGCTGACTAGCCAGACACCGACCCAGGAAAGCACCTCGAACAGGTAGTTCGGACAGGTGACGAGACTGAAGCCGAAGCCGGTGGGGATACCGCGGTCCGTGGTGCCGGGCCGGCGCAGACCGCGGAGCACCAAGTGAGCGTTGAGGTTGGCCAACTCGCCGAAGACGAAGAGAGCCAGACCGGCGTAGAGGATGGGCAGGTTCTGAGTCGAGGCCGCGGCGGCTGCGTCGGGGCGGAACACCCAGTACGCAATGTTGAATCCGGCCAGGGCCCAGTAGTGGCCGCTATTCTTGATGATGTTGAAGGCGGGCATGGTGGCATTGCTGAAGCGGTGTACGAATATGGTCTCAAGCTCGCGCTTGAGGAAGTGGAGGACCAAGAGCGCACAGACGAGAAGCTGCGTGTCGGAGGGTTCGGGGAGCGGCTTGTCGAAGGTGAAGTAGACCAGGTTCCGCAGCGGGAAGAGGAACAGGATGGGGATCACGAGCGGGCCGAAATATTCAACGATGAAGACGGTTCTCCAGCTGATTTGCGGGCCTGTCAAGGGGTCGAATTTCCCAGATTAGCTGCAGCCTCGTTACCCATCTGACAAAACGGGTTGCGGCGTACCCAGGTCCTTGACGTGAACCACACTCTTCTCTTTGAGCCCAGTATCATTGATTGTCACATCCTTTGCATTGGGGATGGCGCTGCGATCGCTTCCCTTGGTCACGCGGAGCCGGTGGATGTCGCATCCCGAGGTCTTTGCCAGTGAAGCATGCAGTTCGTAGCCCGACGCGCTGGCGGCGATCTGGATCTCCTTAGGGAGCCTCCGGATGGGCTTCCCTATAAACCGTATCAGTTGAGACAAAGGCTTGTAATCATGGTGTAGCTTACCCCGAGGTTCAACAACCAGTGTGATGGTGTCCGCCATTGGAGCTGACCACACGGGATGATATTTACGTTTGGCGTTCGGGGATTCGATGCTATCGAGGAGACCAGATGTACCGCGGGAACCGACAACAATTTCAATATCGATTGAACTTGCTGTATCTCAAACCCGGGCAATTTTAAGAAGTGACGCATTTGTTTGGTAAACTTTCCGTAGTGCCTCGGTCAAGGTCACATGACCCGGGATAGCTGGGCAGTGGGCAGCTTGGGCTAATTGGCTACAGTACTCCGTACCTCAGCTAAACTGCTTATTTATATCTAGTGAATCTCCTGTTCAGTATTGCCCTGCATTTACAGATCTCGGCAGGATGTTTCCTGTTCAAAGAGAGGACTGAAGAGTATTCACAGGTTCTAAATTATATTACCAAGATTGCCGTCTGTACCCACTGCGGTCAACATGGTTGAAGATACACGGTCTGCCGACGATATTCTCTGCGAAAAGCAGGTCGGGGTCTCAGTTCTAACCAAGACAACCAAGAAAGTATTTACAGAAACCCGGTGCTCTCTCCTGTGTAGTGACGGAATCGAGTTTCACCGGTATTGAAGGCGTCCAGTCTCACATAGCGCGCACGCCATTCTCTGCTGCTCGTGTCGGAGTCTGCAGTAGTAACTGAATTATAAGATGGAGGGAAAAGTAGTTAAATTTCCCCTCCAAACCAGACAGTTTAGCTCTTCTCTAGCTAAGGGACTGAAGCATCTGACAGACCATTGATTTAATGTGTCACGTAAGCCTTGCTCAAGATAGTATCCTAGTTAATCGGATCCATGTCCGACGAGTCGACACCTCGGTATCCAGTGAATGCAAGTCGCACTGGCAGTATGTAAGGCTAGAGCCCACAGAGGGATTATAATAGCAGCCTGATGTCAGTTGAGGCCGATCGTCACCGTGTACTGTAGCAGGACTCCCGTCTCTTTCTTTCATGGCTCAATGTCACAAACGTAGAATAGAAGACTCAACAGCTGCAACGGTGCAACCAATTATCCACCAGCTCATTCAAAAGAACCTCTGGTTGACGCATTCTTAGTTACAGAGTAACTACTGCCCAGCTGTTGTTGGCAGAGTGTGTTGTAATCCGGCGGGGGAGAAGACCCGCTCCGGGCCCTCTCAAGGTTGGCTAGCCACAGCGGAAGCAGGAAGAGCGCCAAAGCTCCATCATCTTGGGCAGTTGATAATTTCACGAATCTTCCAACTGACACCTCACCTGCCTCTCCCCTTCGCCATCTCTTCTTCTTCCACACCCCCACTTCCTGCTATTTCTAGAGGGGGTTCTAATTTCTTTCCTGTCTATCCTTTTCCCTGCAAAGCTGTCTATTTCTCAGGGTTACAACCTGCACTGTTTCCCTGATCTTTTGACGCTCTCTTCTATCACCCACGCCACATCCTCTTGATACTTCTCTCCATCTCTCCTCTGGGACGTTTTTATCTGGCCGAAACCAGCAGATCGCCGACCTGGACCCTGTTCTACATCGCCAACTACCATATTTCAAGTGGCTGCCGGACTGCTTTGGTGAGGAAGGAGAGAACCTAAAAACGTCATAAGGACTCTCTCGCGACTTTCTCCGCGACCCGGTCGTTTCGACCCCCACACCCCTCTCTGGGACGTGCCCTCTTGGAAAATTTCACCCTCCTCATGATTGCCTGCCTTGCCGACCGTCATCATGGGGAGAATTAAGAAGGTGGCTGGCCAGAAACACGAGGCTACAATCGTAAGCTCCTCCCTATCATACCCCGCGTACCCCCCAAAGTCAGGCTGACCACCTTATTATCTCCAGTCGCCTTTTCTATCAGAATTTGTGTCTCGTACGACGATCGTTTCGATTCCAGAGCTACCCTCACACCTCAATACCTTTCCTCGCATCTGGGACTTCCCCCGAGGTGATCTCTATCATTGGATCAATGTTCTGAACCGTTTCGATGAGATTTTGGCCTCGGTCATTGAGAAATATGATCTCAACAACGGCCCGCAGACCCAGCCCTTTTGCCGACAGTATCTGCTGCAGACCTTGAGTGGTGGTGACGGAAATGAGACCGCCCCCGAGGACGCCGATCTCAAACTCAATACCCTGGGATATGGTCCGGAGGGAGATAGAGAGCTGGTGGAAGCTATCTTGGAGTTCTCGAGACTTCTGCTCGAGAAGTGTGGTAACCGCAGCCTCTACAGCAGTAGTGATCGTCTTGGTGACCTCTTGAATACAACATCGCTGGCTCTCCTCCAAACCACCTTGCGTCTAGCGCTCTCTTTGGCCCAGAGATATCATTCCCGCCAGCGGAGCGGCTCTCACATCCAACAGAGCTTGCTCACGGCCCACTATAACATCGACCTGGAGAAGTTACAGAAGATTGCCGCGCCTATTCCCCGTCCGTTCACCACCGGCAAGACGTCGGTTGCCGCGTCTCCTGCGATAACGACGAAAGAAAAAGACAAAGCCTCTCAGGTCAAGCACAATGCCAACGATCTTCTGTCGTTGACCCGAGAGACTGCTGGATGGGAGGATTGGGGCCACGTGCATATCCTCTACTACCCCTCGGGTGCCCCCGAGCCTTCGAAAACGCATGCCGACACCACTCTGCCGGCTGAACCCCATCCCCAACCCCCCGCCACCCCGACTCCTTTACGCCGAAGCAACACTCACCCAACGCCGCGACTGAGCCGTGTGTCGAATGTAGATGATTCTCCTGCCAGCCTGGTCCATCAGACCCCATCCGGAAAGTTGGACGAGGCTCCGCGCGGTGGCAAGATTCTTGATATCCCGCACTCGGTGCTTTCGACGACCACGGCGGAGAGTATCGTTTCATCTCACCTCGCTGAGATGCCTAACGACTCGAAGTATGAGCTGCTTCATAAAGTGAGAACAGTGCAGGGATTGGTATCCTCCCCGTCGACCCGTGAACAGATCCTGTCCATCAGAATGCTCGCCATCAGCAATCTTGCCTACGTCTATCCAGAGAATATTTTCCAACAAAAGATTCTTCAGCACGACATGGAGCAGCCCAAGCGGCTACAGCTGGCCTATCAACTCGCAGAACTGGTGCACCTTGGAGCAAGCGGCGACATTGATGCTTCGAGAACCGTTCAGACTTTCGCCATGCAGGCCCTTGATGCTCTCGCTAAACACAAAGCGCGTGCCATCGACGTCTGTGCAGCATTGAATGTCAATGTGAACCACGGAATTCTGATGTTTTTGACCCGAAAAGCGATTGATGAGCTGAGTGTTGAGTCCAATGGCCAGGATGAGACGGCCCAGGATGAATGGAGGGATTCTCTGCTGGCGCTCCTGCGTACACTCCCCAGTTCGAGTAATAGAACACCGGAGACGCTGGTCGCCGCTGGTCTGATCCCAATGTTCGTCGATATTATCAATTTGCGAACCGAAAAGGCACGCCGGGTTTATTCGCGTGTCATGGAGTTCCTTGACACATTCGTCCATGCCGTTCGTGATGCCCTCGGCACGCTGGCCAGCGCGAAGGGTTTCGATGCAATCTCGGATCTCATTGCGTTTGAGACTCAGACTGCATTTGAGAATGTGTCAAAGGGCTCTGGCATCCCGTCCCAGTACAAGACTCCATCTGTTGATTACCAGATCCCTTATTTCCAGCAGCAGAGCCTTCGTTGGCTCTTTCGCTTCGTCAACCACATCATGCAGCATAACGGAGGCGGCCTTGACCGCGTGCTTCGCAATCTGATCGATTCACCCCAGTTGCTGACCTCCTTCCGCTTGGTCTTCGAGAATACGCGCCTGTTTGGCTCGCATGTTTGGAGCAGTGCCGTCAACATCCTTAGCAACTTCATCCACAATGAACCCACGAGTTATGCGGTGATCGCCGAAGCCGGTCTCAGCAAAGGTTTCCTGGAGGCGGTCATGCTCGACGAATTGCAGGTCCAAGAAAAGCCAGTCACCGAAGTCGAAAGCCCCGGAAGTGCTGGGGAGCCTTCAACAAGACCGGCCACTGCAAGCACCGGGCCAGGAGCTGAGACAGACATCCAGGCTCGAGAATATTGTCTCTCAAGACCGAAGGACAAGAGACTAGCCCCCGGTATTGTACCGGCTACCGAGGCCATTTCTTGCATCCCCAATGCATTTGGAGCCATCTGTCTCAATTCTTCAGGATTGTCTCTCTTCCAGTCTTCACATGCCCTTGAAAGTTTCTTCGAGATTTTTGAGAGTCCTCAACACGTTAAATGCCTGAAAGATGATCCGAATCTAGTTCGCTCTCTGGGTACTGCTTTCGACGAACTGGTACGCCATCATCCTGCCCTGAAAACGTCAATCATGTCCGCAGTCATAGTCATGGTCGCTCGCGTTGGTCTTTTGTGCAAGCGCAAGGCCTGGGAACATGGCATCGGTGCGAAATTATGGGTTGAAGACTCACAGGGGAAACTCGGTCTCTCTGGGGACCTGTCCTCTCTCTACAAGGCAATTGGCATCCCAGTCGAGGCCCCGGCAGACGATGCACAATGCCTAGGATTGCCGGTACTCAATTCGACCACTCTTCCCAACGGCGGCAAATTAGTTGTTGGTGGTCCAATCGAACCTGTCTCATTAGTGGACCTCTCTCAGGAACCCAAGGAGAAAGATGACTTTGGCCTCACAGTCACCGACTATATTTATCCGGTGGTTCGCTTTTTGGGTGCATTCTTTGAGAACCAGACCAACTGCACGTCCTTTGTCGAGTCCGGCGGTGTCGAATTTGTGCTGGATTTTGCAACCCTGCAGAGTTTGGCTTTTGACTTCCACAACACGGATGCCAACCAGGAGCTTACCGTCCTAGTCCACATGCTAGCGGAGACCAAGCCCCATGTTGTCATGCCTTCCCTGCTTCACCGTGCCCAGACTACAGTTGATTGCCTCTCCAGCTTTTGGGCCGAACCCAAGGATACCGGTTTCTTCACCTCATTGATCAAGCCAGCTGCAGACACGGAACACTCGGAAGACGAGAGATCATCATCCAGCCTTGTGAAACGCCAGGGGACATACATCGCTAAGCATATGGTCTCTGCACTGATACTGACTGATCTTCTTCGAGAGATCTTTTCCATGCCCTTGTACCAGACACGGCCTAGCCAGCAGACTTCTGTCTTTGTGCAAGTAAACCTGGCCGATCGGTACTCTGCCCTGGTGACTTCTCTCGGAAGTTTGCATGCTGCATGCGTCTGGGAAGAGATTCTCCTCGAGAATAACATCCCTGACAAGTGGAACGCGGCAACCAAGGCACAACTTGCGGCCCCTAGACCGGAGGGCTCCAACGAGACGCCAGGCTTTTTGAACCCCCAGCCGCCTGCCTCTGCGGGCGGACCTATGCCTGGGGAGGGCGCCTTAGCAGCCAATGAGCCTGTGCAGAATCCGACTTTGCAGGCAGCTACCACCGGCCCTACGAGCTCATCTGAAGGTGGAGCGGCCTTTCGGAGTGCGCAGACGCTTCGCTACCTGCTTAGCTCCCTTCCCTCTTCTATCACCGGATTCCTTCATAACATGGGCCACAGCCTAATCGGCAAGCGGAGGATGGACTACTATCAAAGACAGAACGCCTCGATGGTTGCAGATTCTATTGCCAGCGTTGTCCTTACCCAATTGCAGTTTGGACCTCCCAATGCCTGTGACAACCACCGAATGCGCTTTGCCTATCTGATTGTGATATTATCTTCATTCTCACATTTGCTGTTTGAAACGACTGGCGAGAGGCCTCACACCCACTACTTGACTCTTGTTCTTTTTGCGTTCAAACGCAAAGACGGAATGAAGGTGATGAAGGAAGTCTGCAGGACTTTTATGCAGGAGGTTAAGGCTCTCACCCCAACTGATCTTAATGCCACTCCAGATAACGATATTTCCGCGCGCTTGACTTCGGCATATGGAGGAATCAAGATTATCCTTGCTTTCTTTGCCGATGTTGCTTCTGGGAAAAACATCATTGATTCAAGCCAAACGCAGGCTATGACCCACACTGATCGGGATCGAGACCGCCCAGATTACTTCCAGCCTGGCCAGTTCCTGGTAGATCTTCGCATGGAAATCATTCCGATGGTACTGGAAATGTGGAACTCTGACTTCGCCATCCATTCTTCCAGCTCTGTCGTGAAATGCCTAGTAGATATCTTGCGTTCTGCCCTTGATGGCGAGTACGAGGCAGGTGCTGCTCGACGATCCGATACGCAGCCGGTGTTGTCTGAGACTACGAAGAAGGTATTCTCCATCAACAGGGATCGATACACGTCGCTACGGGAAAAGAGTTACGATAGAGACCTCTGCAAAGAAGCTCTTTATCGTTGCAACAACGTTTTTTCTGCTGCGGAGGAGTACTGTAGTGCTCAGAACTGGTTGAGAGTGCCGCCACGTCTACCGCCACCTGTGAATGATATTGAATCAAGATCCACTACTACCTCTGGCGGAGAGGCATCAGAGGATACTGTCGTGGGAGACGCCCCATCTTTCGGAAGTGGGTTTTTGGACCGCAATACCCTCGCTATGATCCTTGCTCAAGCTTCAAATCGTTCTACCGACGACGGGTCTCACCAAGACCAAGATCGATCACGGGATGAGCCCGACCTTGGGAATGGAACCGATATTATCACCAGAGCCTTGAATCACATTTTCAACGATGAACACGATATGGCTGGAGAGGACCAAGAAGGATCGGCAAGCCGCGGCCTCCTGGCGCCTTCCTCATCTGAGCCTACCAACCAACCTTCTGGCCAGCCTGCGAAACGGCGGGAGGTCACCAGTGTGGATGATCTGGACTCGGAACGAGAAAAAGTACGATCAAATCTCATTGAACGGTGCCTCGATGTCTTGAACGAACATCACGATGTATCTTTTGAGCTGGCAGACTTGATCGCTGCTGCTACGAGAAAGCATCGCGAGCCCGAAAACTTCCGTCGAGAAGTGGGAGCAACCCTCGTCCAATCCCTCGTTTCTTTACAGATGGAGAATTTCCAGACTGCCGGCAAAAAGATCGCTGCATACGCTCATCTTCTTGCTCTTGTTCTCCAAGACAAGGAAATGTACACCGCAACTATAGACGAGCTGAAAGACTGCTTCTCAACTCTTCTCGCCTTTATCAAGCTTCCAACACCAGACAAGCCCAACGACGAGTCTTTCCCCTGGATTGGACATATCCTGCTCATTCTTGAGAGGTTGCTTTCCGACGACGCTCAGCCGCCTCAGATTCGCTGGAACCCCCCTGCCTTTGACAATATGGTGTCTGCAGAAGAACCGGCCCAGCTTGAGGAGTCACTTGTCTCGTTGGACGAGAAAACGCAGCTCTTTGAAGCTCTTGTTGAAGTCTTGCCAAGGATCGGGAAGGACGATACCTTGGCACTGTCCATGTGCCGGATTCTGGTAATCCTGACCCGTAACCGCTCGATCGCAGCCTCCCTTGGCGAGAAACGAAACTTGCAGCGTCTTTTCGTTATGGTGAAACAACTCTCCAGCTCGGCGAATGAGAAACTCCAGAGTGCCTTCATGTTGATTCTCAGGCATGTTGTTGAGGACGAAGATACTATTCGGCAAATCATGCGAAGTGAAATCGTCGCCAACTTCGAATCCAAATCGTCTCGACAGATCGATACTACCGTTTACGTACGCCAGATGTACCACCTCGTTCTGAGATCACCTGAGATCTTCGTTGAAGTCACAAATGAAAAGCTCAAATTGCAACGATATGATAGCCATCAGCGACCTCAAATATTGACCCTGAAGTCCGACAAGAACACTCCTACATCGGAATCCTCTCGGGAAGAGACGAAGGATACAGGAAAGGGTACCGCTGGCAAAGCTGAGGGTGTGGCCAAGGACAAAACCAAAATCTCAGAGATGAAGCCACCCATCGTGGAAAATCCTGATGGAGTCATTCATTATCTGCTTTCTGAACTCTTGTCATATAAGGATGTAGATGACAAAGAGCCGCCATCGGAGACACTTCAACCCTCTGAAGCTGAGCACATCGAGACTCAGACGGACGTCGAGATGTCTACTGAGGAGCATTCTCCGTCAGCCTCAAGCACTGATCTGCCGGCCACACGCAACGCGAAGAAATCCGAGAAGCCCCCTTTCAAGGCAGACGAGCATCCTATCTATATCTATCGATGCTTCATCCTGCAGTGCTTGACTGAACTTCTTTCATCGTATAACCGGACGAAGGTTGAGTTCATCAACTTCTCCCGCAAAGCTGATCCATTGGCAACTACACCTTCAAAACCGAGATCTGGAATTTTGAACTATCTTCTGAACGTGCTGATCCCCCTGGGTACAATGGAACATGATGAGTCGGTAACATTTAAGAAACGAAGCAACACTTCGTCCTGGACGATGCGTGTTATTGTTGCTCTCTGTACAAAAACCGGCGAATTTGGAGAAGCTGGCCGCCGTCGCAACGACCAGGATGAAGAAGACGAGCCCGAACTTTCATTTGTGCGAAGATTCGTCCTAGAGCACGCTTTGAAGTCATACAAAGACGCGAATGCTTCCACTGAATCTCTTGACATCAAATACTCGAGATTGATGTCACTTGCCGACCTATTCGACAAGATGCTCAGTGGATATACCTTCGTTTCCGGTGACACGGCTTTCCCTTCATCGACAAGACAACTTGCCAAAACCATGTTCGAGAAGCATTTCATTTCGGCACTTACTGCTTCTGTCGCTGAAATTGACCTAAATTTCCCGTCATCTAAAAGAGTGATCAAATACATTCTGCGTCCATTGAATAAACTAACCCAGACTGCCGTACTCTTGAGTGAAACCTCGGACATCTCTTCGCTCGGAGAGACTGACGAAGACGATATTTCTTCAGCGACTTCTGTTTCAGACATGGACGACGAGCGAGAAGAGACACCCGATCTCTTCCGTCATTCGACACTGGGGATGCTAGAGCCTCGCCATGAAGAAGAAACCAGCTCCGAAGAGCTGGAGGAGGAAGATGATGAGATGTACGACGATGAGTACGACGACGAAATGGATTATGAGGAAGAACTTCCAGAAGATGATGGTGAGGTGGTTAGCGACGAAGATGACATCGACGGAATGGGACCCATTGAAGGACTCCCCGGGGATACTGGAATGGACATTGAGGTCGTTGTTGACGATGATGATGAGGACGATGAAGACGATGGAGATGACGAAGATGACGATGAGGACTCGGACATGGACGACGAAATCCTCGCAGGGGAAATCACCGGTGACCATGACAACGAGAGCCTGGGAGAAGGTGAAGATGATGAATGGGAGAGCGAAGATATGTCAGAAGATGACGAAGAAGCGGAAATGATGAATCAAATTGAAAGCGAACTTGCCGACATGAGGCAATCGGATCAACGCGGCGATGTTCAAAGATTTGACGACCTATTCCGTGTTCTTAACGAAGCTGCAGGAGGCGCCGATGTGCTCCACGCCGATAGCCTCGGAGATCTTCAAGATGATATGGGCGAAGATGACTTGAATGAAGACGAAGGTATGTCTTTCTGCCCGATTGAAGCGTCCGTCCCTTCGTGCTGACGTATATTTCAAGAAGATGACGAACTGGATGAGCTCGAGGATGATCTTGACGAGATGGAAAATGACGAAGAGGGATCATATGGTGATTTTGATAACGGTATTGTGCTCTCTTCTAGTGGTTTTCAATCAATAAGACTTCCTCCTAACATGTGATTTGCCAGAGGACATTGACCTGGTTGATCCTTGGGGATGGGAAGGCGATGAGCCTCCTCTGCCCCGTGGACATCATCACCACCACCACCGCTTCCGTGGCACTCAGCCGGCTTGGACTGTGACCGGATTCATGCCTCATCGTCATGGCATCGTTCCTGTCCCACCTTATCGCGTTCATCGCACTCAGATCTCTTCTCGTGGAAATGACGATGGTGTCAATCCCCTCCTTGTTCGCGGTGACCGCGTTCCCGAAGCGGCTGCTCAATCTCGTGCTCCTGGGACCGATGCGTACACGGACTGGGTACATGGGATGGAGCCTATTTCAACTGGACGCTTGCTCATGGATAGTCCTGTCAGTTTCATGAACGCAATCATGCAGGCCATCGGCGGACAGGGTGCTCCAGGACTTGGAGTGTTCAATCGCCCCGATGGCATCCACGTTCATGTTGATCGACGTGCTATCTTCCCTCACCGTATACAGGATCTTTTTGGCCTGGGCAGACCCCAAACTGGTCCTTCCCGGACTCGCGATGACCCCAGTCAGGCTGTCAGCTTTGCGCTGGCAACAACAAGAAGCCGTTGGCAAGAAGAGGCTCGCATTCTGTTCAGCAATAGCTACGTGGAGAAGACCCAACGTGTTGTCAACTCTCTTCTGAAGATTCTCGTTCCTCCGGCGATTGAAGAAGAGAAGAAAAGGCAGAAGCAGATAGAAGAAGAACGCAAGCGCCGGGAAGAGGAGAAAGCAGAAAGAGAGCGCCAAGAGCGCCTTGCCCGGGAAGAGGAGGAGAAGGAGAGAAAGCGCAAAGAGGAGGAGGAGAATGCCAGGCGAGAGCTGGAGAGAGAACAAGAAGCAGAGCAGCCGGCGGAAATCGCGGAGCCAATGGATGATGTTCAGCGTACAGACGAGGGTGCTGCAACTTCCGTGCCCACTGAGCAACCTGAAACTGGCCCGACTGAGCCTGCTCGCCGAGTCCACACGACAATCAGAGGCCAGCCACTTGATATAACCGGTATGGAAATCGATCCTGAATATCTGGAGGCCTTGCCCGAGGAGCTCAGGGAAGAGGTGATTATGCAACAAATCGCAGAACAGCGATCCCAAGCCGTTGCCGCTGGTGAAGAGCCGAGCGAAATCAACCAGGAATTCTTGGAGGCCTTGCCCGCCGACATCAGAGAGGAATTGTTACAACAAGAAGCAGCAGACCGGCGACGACGCGAGCGCGAGAATGCTCGAAGACAAGCTGCTGTTTCCACTGGAGTTCCTGCTCATGGAGGAGACGAAATGGATGCAGCTAGTTTTCTCGCCAGCCTCGACCCATCCTTGCGACAGGCTGTACTTGTTGATCAGCCAGAGGAAGTTCTTGCTACTATTGGTCCGGAATTCCTTTCGGAGGCCCGCGCTCTTACTGGTAGACGAATCGGTCAGTTTGGAGACGTTGGAAGAATTGACCGGCAGAGAAACGAAGCAGAGGAGGGTCAAGAACCTAAAAAACAGCAGCGTCGCCAGATTGTTCAGATGCTGGATAAAGCCGGCGTTGCAACTCTCCTCCGCTTGATGTTTATGCCTCTCCAGGGTAACGCTCGTCACCAGTTGAATGATATCCTACACAATGTCTGCGAAAATCGGCAAAATCGAATGGAAGTTGTCACCTTATTGCTCTCGATCCTTCAAGACGGAAGCGTGGACATTTCTGCCATCGAGCGCAGCTTCGCCCAACTGTCACTGCGTGCAAAGACAATTTCAACACAGAAAACCCCTCAATCCGTCAAGCGCAATCTCGGCTTCCAGACATCTGCGATCAGCAGCGACGTGACGCCGATGATGGTTGTGCAACAGTGTTTGGGAACGCTTTCCTTCTTAACTCAATACAACCCTCACATTGCGTGGTTCTTCTTGACCGAACATGAGTCCGCCTCTACGCTGAAGCTGAAGGCCTTGCGCAAGGGTAAGGGGAAAGAAAATCGGGCGAATAAGTTTGCTTTGAATGCTCTCCTGTCACTGCTCGACCGTAAACTTATCATGGAGAGCCCGGGCTGCATGGAACAATTGTCAAGTCTTCTCAGCAGCATCACTCAGCCGCTGACTTTACTCCTCCGCCGTGAAAAAGAGAAGCAAGACGAGGACAAGGGCAAGGCACCAGAAGGAGCCGAAACCCCCGACCAGCCTATCCAGACTTCTGAAACCGCAGAAACTACAGTTGTCACCAGTGGAGATGCTACTATGACTGACGTTGCGCCTCTGGAAACAGCTGAAACTCGAGGGGCCGAGGAAGCGACGGGTCAGACCGAGGACGACAAGGCTGTAAAGGCGACCAAGGAGGCTCCGGAGGACGACAAACACAAGAAGAAGACCATCGAACCTCCAGTCGTTCCCGAGGCCAATCTTCGCCTGGTTGTCCACATACTGGCTGCTCGCGAATGCAATGGAAAGACATTCAGGGATACTTTGTCGACAATCAATAATCTGTCTGCTATTCCTGATGCCAGGGACGTCATCGGCAACGAGCTGGTTAGCCAAGCTCAGAATTTGACCACGACCATCCATTCTGATCTGGGTGATCTTCTGTCTCATGTCCACCAAGCTCAAACCGGTACCGATATGCAAGGTCTGGCACTATCCAAGTTTTCTCCTGCCAGCTCTGATCAGGCGAAACTTCTTCGTATCTTGACGGCTCTTGACTACTTGTTTGATCCTAACCGCACGGACAAGATCAAGGGAGGAGAGCCGGAATCTGCTGCCAAGGAAACCATGCTCAAAACACTCTACGAGAGTTCAACTTTCGGGCCACTCTGGGCTAAGCTGAGTGATTGCCTCACTGTCATCCGACAGAAGGAGAACATGTTGAATGTGGCCACAATCCTGCTTCCTTTGATCGAGGCATTAATGGTCGTCTGCAAGAACACCACCTTGAAGGACTCTTCTCTTTCCCGGAACAGTCGCGAGTTATCTGTCTCAAGCACGTCGCCCGATGCTGGCGTGAGCATGGAAGGTCTGTTTTTCAAGTTCACCGAGGAACACCGCAAGATTCTCAATGAACTGGTTCGCCAAAATCCTCGACTCATGAGCGGCACCTTCTCGTTGCTGGTGAAAAACCCCAAGGTCCTGGAGTTTGACAACAAGCGCAATTACTTCACTCGCCGTATTCATTCACGTGGCGCTGAGCCACGCCATCCCCATCCGCCGCTCCAGCTTTCTGTTCGGAGAGACCAAGTCTTCCTTGACTCGTTCAAATCTCTTTACTTCAAGACGGCCGATGAGATGAAATATGGCAAGCTGAATATTCGGTTCCATGGTGAAGAAGGTGTTGATGCTGGCGGTGTAACGCGAGAGTGGTTCCAAGTCCTTGCCCGAGGAATGTTCAATCCCAACTACGCCTTATTTATCCCCGTTGCCGCCGACCGGACCACTTTTCATCCCAATCGACTCAGCGGAGTCAACTCGGAACATTTGATGTTCTTCAAGTTTATCGGACGAATCATCGGAAAGGCATTGTACGAGGGCCGTGTTCTGGACTGTCACTTCAGTCGAGCAGTCTACAAGTCCATTCTCGGACGATCTGTATCGATCAAAGATATGGAGACCCTTGATCTCGACTATTACAAATCTCTCCTATGGATGCTTGAGAATGATATCACCGACATCATCACCGAGACTTTCTCTCTTGAGACGGACGCTTTCGGAGAGAAGCAAGTGATTGATCTAGTGGAGAACGGCCACAATATCCCGGTCACCCAGGAGAACAAGGAAGAATACATTCAGCGTGTTGTTGAATATCGCCTGGTCGGCTCTGTCAAGGAACAGCTGGATAACTTCCTCAAAGGTATGTTCAGTCACTCTGCATTTTTTGGTAAAATAGGAGGGAGGACTAACCAACTTTCTGCATAGGTTTCCATGAAATTATTCCACCTGATCTGATTTCCATTTTCAATGAACAAGAGCTCGAACTGTTGATTTCCGGTCTTCCTGAGATCGAAGTCGATGACTGGAAGAACAACACCGAGTACCACAACTATTCCGCCTCGTCGCCACAGATCCAATGGTTCTGGCGTGCAGTCCGTTCGTTCGACAAGGAAGAGCGTGCTAAGCTTCTCCAGTTCGTCACTGGTACCAGCAAGGTTCCTCTCAATGGTTTCAAAGAACTTGAAGGTATGAACGGCGTGAGCAAGTTTAATATCCATCGCGACTATGGCAATAAGGATCGTCTGCCTAGCTCTCACACATGCTTCAACCGTAAGTCACTCCCGCAGGCAGTATACCGCCTCCTCTCCACTCGTGATGATTGACTAACCCGTCAACCAGAACTTGATCTCCCCGAATATGAGAGTTACGAAACTCTGCGGCAGCGCCTCTATACTGCCATGACGGCCGGTAGTGAATACTTCGGATTTGCATAGGCTGATGATTTTCTTCTTCCTGGCACGAATGTTATGGTTCTTCTTTTTCATGACCGAAGCATCCGGCGGCGTTCAGCTTTTCTTCTCCTTCTTCTTCCCCAAACAGCTTGTACAATTCGCGTCTATGGTTGATATGGATCAAGACTTACACAGGATGAGATGGTTTGCGCTTCTACGAAGATGAACCTTTTTATTAGTCCGACCTGAGACGAGTCCGAAGTGCAGGTCAGCTCGCAATCTCAGGACGGCAATAGACTGATTCCTCCAGTGACAGTCTCGTCCTTTCTTCATTCATGTATTTAACCTCAAGTTTTGTTTTGTTCTTTCGTTGTTTTTTTTTTTTTTTACTTCGGCTATCACGGCTGAGGGTTCTGTTCCATAAAAAGAGGTTTTTATTTTAATCCGAAACTGTTTTTACCTACTTACCTTGTCAAAGTAGACAACTGTAGATTCTAGTTGTAGCTAGGTAGTTAAGTTATTCTTATAGATTGTACTATATGGAGATGATCTAATTAAAGCAACCCGAAAGCTGCTGACGACGGGGAAGGAAGGCGGTGTGGGCCGTTGAGATTTCCCCCGAGGCAAGTCACGGGATACAGCGTTTTTGTCCGCAAAAAAAAGTGGTCGCTGCTTGGCGGGGTATCATAGCGTGCTGCCTGCACTCCGTCTATCGCAGCTCCTGCAGAACCTGGATTTCTGTCTCGTTGCGACAGTGGCTTTGAACGCTTAAGACCGCTCGCTATCTGCATCGGATCTTGGGTCCCATTTGCGTCCTCTTTCAGTGTTGCAACATCCCCAGATTGACGAGTCACAATGGCGACGAATTCCATCAAGCTTCTGACTGGCAACAGTCACCCAGAGCTTGCCAATCTTGTTGCTGATCGGTATGTGTCTTGTATTTAATAGTCATCCTGATCTTCTCTGCCCTGCTCTGTTCCGCTCCGCTCTGGTGAACGCTTCTTTTTTACAACCTCGGCGGTGGAGTCATCTCAGTGCTTTCTTTTCCGTCTGTGCAAATGCGCGAAAATTCTACTAACAGTGGCGTTCGACGGGTTTCTAGGCTCGGGATCGAGTTAACAAAGATCATGGTCCTGCAGTATTCGAACCAAGAAACGAGTGTCACAATCGGTGAAAGCGTACGAGATGAGGATGGTACGGTCTTGCTCTTGCTTTCGGTCTTGGGCTTCCTGTGAGATCAAGGTTCTGACAGCTATTGCCTACCTAAAGTTTTCATTCTCCAATCCACGCGACCCAATGACATTAACGATGGGCTGATGGAGCTGCTCATCATGATCAATGCCTGCAAGACCGCATCGGCGAGACGCATCACCGCCGTGATCCCTAACTTCCCATATGCTCGTCAAGACAAGAAGGACAAGAGCCGCGCTCCGATCACCGCCAAGCTCATGGCCAACATGCTTCAGACCGCTGGATGTAACCATGTGATCACCATGGATCTACATGCCAGCCAGATCCAGGGATTCTTCAACGTCCCCGTTGACAATCTGTACGCCGAGCCTAGCATACTCAAGTGGATCAGAGAGCACCTTGACGTGAGCAACTGTATCATCGTGAGTCCGGATGCTGGAGGCGCTAAACGGTCAGTTCCATGATGATTGTCGAGAGGTCGGGTGACTAACATGGTGTTAACAGAGCCACCGCCATCGCCGACCGTCTGGACCTGCAGTTTGCTCTGATCCACAAGGAACGCGCTCGTCCCAACGAAGTGTCTCGTATGGTCTTGGTCGGCAGTGTCAAGGACAAGGTCGCAATCATCGTGGACGACATGGCTGATACCTGCGGGACCCTGGTCAAGGCTGCCGACACCGTGATGCAGCACGGGGCCAAGGAAGTCAACGCCATCGTTGTCCACGGCATTCTTTCTGGCAACGCCATTGAAAATCTGAACAACAGCTGCCTGAGCCGCATCGTCGTCACTAACACTGTTCCCCACCAGGAAAAGAAGGAGCTTTGCGACAAGATCGAGACCATTGACATCAGCCCTACGCTAGCCGAGGCTTGCAGACGTACACACAACGGCGAGTCCGTCAGTTTCTTGTTCTCTCACACGGTCGCCTAAACACGTAAAAGAAAGAAACCCTCGTACGAAGGGTGTTTACAAAAAAAAAAAAAAACACAAAAAGGGTGTCGCTCGCTGATCGAATGATGCGGTTTCTGGTGATCTTATTTTTCTGAGCAACCAATTTCCTTGTCTACATTTCCGGTTCAGGTGGATTTTATAACCTGATAGCATTCTGTGTTTCCATCTTATTTATATGCGATCAAGATGATGATCTCAATCTCTATGTTTCTTTTATTATTTCTCTAGCAGACTCTTTACGATGATCATGAAGTGCAGGGCGAAAAAAGGAGAGAAAACACCGGTCCTGTGGCTGCAAGGTTTAGCAGCAAAATGTATATTCTACCATTCCAATATACAAGGATCAAATCTGTTTTATGGGTTGACCTTGTTTTCCTTGTCATCTTGCTATATAGAGTATAGGATATCATGAGAGGTGGAGTTTTTGTGTTTTTTTTTTTAAAATTCGAAGTATCTACAAAACTTGACGTTAGGTAGAGTAGGATAGATGCTGTGTAATACAGTGTTGACGAGAGTAGGACAGTATCCACTATCAATAGTAGGCTCGGATGAGATGGGGAGTACGGAGTACAAGAGAGGCTTCATTCATTCGGAAGAGAAAAGAGAAGAAGAAAAAAAAGATGATATTTCATAGATTTGCTTTCCCCCATCACTCCAATCCCTTTTTTGAATCCCCCTCCTCCCTTCTCTCTTACACCCCCCGGGCAAGATGGTTACTAACGTTGGCCGACAGAAGAAAAAAAAAAGGAAGAAAAAAGGAAGTTCCATTTGTTTCATTCAATGGTTGGGGGGTTTTTTTCTTTTAAATAATTTCCCCCTAGGATCGTCTTTTCAAAACTTCAGAAAGTCTCTCCGTAGCCGAGGAAATTGATTCCCTTTTTTTTTTGTTTCCCAAGCCAGCGTAGTAATAGAGACGTAACCCGACCATTAAATCACACCCATCCCCCGGGAAGAAACGAACAGACGGATTTACTTGCGCATGGAAGAGGCCCTCCGCTTGCGGAGCTCGTCACGCTTGGCCTTCTCCTCGTGGACGCGGGAAGCAAGGAGCTTGGCGTAGTCGTTACTGGAAAATGTTAGTCATACTTCTAGATTATGTAAATTAGGATTGAAGAAAAGAAAAAGAACTTACGCAGCCTCGCGGGCAGACTCAGCGCGGCGGCGCTTGATGGCGATCCTGTGACGCTTGCGCTGGAGACGCTGGGGGGTGACCAGGCGCTGGATCTTGGGGGCCTTGGTGTAGTCGGGCTTGCCCTCACGGGTGACAGTGCGGCGGATGACGAACTTGCGGACATCATCCTTCTTGTCGAGGCCGAAGAAGCGGCGGATCTTGGTGGCACGCTTGGGGCCGAGTCTCTTGGGGACGACGGTGTCGGTGAGGCCAGGAAGCTCGCCCTCGCCCTGCTTGACGATGCTCAGGGCCAGGACGGAGAGATCCTGTCCAGTGATGGCTGTGGGGGAACAAGTCAACATCTCTGATCTTCTTTTCTTCTTCTTCTTCCCCTTGACTTCTTTCTTTCCCCCCTCTTCTTCATCATTTAGGGTCGTACATACCACCACGGATACTCTTGCGCTTGCGCTCGCCGGTGCGACGGGCGCGGTAGCAGCTGTGGCCGTCGCTGAGGAGGAGTCTGGTACGGGTGGGGAGGAGGACTGTAGGGAAAAAAAAGAAAGGATGAGTTTTCGATTTATCGCGACCGTGGGTTGTTAGATGTGTTTCTTCAGTTGGTACATACCACCCTGCTTCATGGGGAAACCTGTAGTCATTAAGATTAGCCATTTATTGGGAATTTTCCTTTTCTAGTTGAAGTAGTGGTTTCCTTTATCGTACCTTGCTTGTCGTTACCACCGGTGATCTTGAAGATGTATCCCTTGAACTCATCACCAAGGGAGTCGCCGGCAACCTAATTGAAGCGAAAAAAAATCCCAATCAGCTTTCCGTTCGTATTTCTTTTTTTTTGTTCCTCTTTCTTCTTCTTCTCAAGGCGTGTGTTCCAGGCTCGTAGCGAAATAGACACAGGGGTAGGAATTGCTAACTTCGGTTCCCATGCGCTTCTCCATGAAGGGACGGAGCTTGCGGTCATCGTCGATCTCGATGATCTTCTGCGACCCATTGGCCGGGTAGGAGATGTTGAGCTTCATCTTGACGGGGCAGCGCGGTCAAGACGGGCGCAAGTGTTGTCGACTGGTCGAGGGAGGTTTTGAGGTCGTCGGAGATTCGGTCGGCGGGTTGGATTTTTTGGTGTTGGTGTAGCGAGATTTCCATGTGTGGGCGGATGACTAAGACGCCCTAGCTTCTTCGGGACCGTGTCCATTTTCGGCAGGTAGGGCTTGCTTGCTTAGTCATGTTTGTCTCTCACTCAAACTCCAGAGATGGATGAGTAATACTGAACCCTTACTGAGTACCACTCTATCCACTCCGTACAATATAAATGCTGTAAGAAGTATTTTCTCTTACACAATGATATAATACATTCACATAATTTGAAGCCTAATACTATGAATTTTTATTAGCCATGAGGCTGAAAGAGAGTCAATATATGCTTATCCTCCAAAATACTCTTCAATAGAAGTATCTATAAAGTAGTTGACTACTCCATAGTTACTCTAACTGACACGTTGTAAGAGTTACTTACTACTCTGAATTTACTAGTTACTACGGAGTAGTTACTCCATAGAGTACAGGTAGGGTAGTCTTGGCTGGCCATCCTTACGACATAAGCCTACGAATCCTACTCTACAAGTACCCACATGACGATCTTTGATATTCTGTACGGGTAAGAATATACCTCACTAACTACAGGATACTAATATCATAATACTATGTAGTATAATGATTAACATTTAAGTACCTAGGTAGTCAGGGTAAGTACTCCTACTGTAAATGGAGACTCCCCCGGTATTCCGTCTTATAATATAAGTGTTACCGTAATTACCAGTACCAACTAGTACCACCTGTAAGTAATCCTGTTCTCCGTAGTGAAAGTTCCAAATTACCGCGTACAGTACTGTATCTGGCGTAATTCTCTTCCTGCTGACGCAAGAAGCACGCGACAGGCTGCCGCGCGGCCCTTTTGCGCTTATCGACGACTGGGACTTTCTCCTCCTCAACCTTCGCTCGTCTTACGGGGAAGTAACTTTCTTGTACATATATCTATCCTTTGTCTATATATTAATATCAAGTACATACTACATACTACACACACACACACACATCTCGCATCATCCCGCATCATCTCATCGTCGCTATCTATTACCGCCTGCATATACGGAGTCCCGATACCCTGATCCCTCCGCACCTCCCTCCGGCCGACGACCGTGTTCTTTTCGAGGCCCAATACCCCTGAGTGGGAACCGATTCGTCCGAATAATAATATCAACCAGGTGCCGGGGAGGAAGTCTCTAGTCCGAGTGATTGATCAATTATTTATATACAGACGGCTCTGGTCTGGGAAGGGGAGAAGAAAAAAACGCCGCAGCAGGCTTCCTTTGTTCTCTTTTCTTTCGGCGGTTGCGATTGCCCCCCGGCTTACGAGTCATTTTACCAAACAAATCAAGAGCAGGGAAGGGGAAAAAAAAAGAAGCAAAGAAAAAGAAAAGAAAAAGAAAGGGAAAAGATGCGCCTCTTCAATAAACTCTACGTGCTGTTCTCCCTCGCCGCCTGCAGTCTTCTGTATTCGGGCTGGATTCTGGCTTCACACCATTATAAGGTCGTGCCGACAATGTCGACTCCCAGCTTCCGCGTTGCGCCGACTTTTCAACACCGACTAGTCGTGTTTGGGGATTCGTGGAGCGATAACGATGCAGAGGGACTGCCGGGCTTTGTTTGGACAGACTGGCTCTGTTCATTGGTGAGTTGGCCCTACATGAAAGAAATGGGAGGGGTGCCGGAATGCTGATTTTTATGATTACAGTACTCATGCCATCATGAAAACATGGCCCAGACAGTCCAATCATCGTCGCTCAGCCTGACGTCGTCCAAAGGCAAATATGTGGGCGCGGTGGTGGATAACTCGCAGCTCGACTCGTCAGGCAGTCTGCTGGAAGGCTTGTACAAACAGCCGCTGGCGGACTTTGGGGAACAGGCGGACCAGTGGCTGACGGCGGAGCTGAATACGTTCAAGGGTCTGTCGGCAGACGCGATCTCGGAGCGGCAGAACAACACGATCGTGGCCGTTTCGTTTGGGGTCTGGGACCTGTGGAATCTGATCGGCAAGGACATAGACACGGCCAAGCAGTCGGCCGAGGCCAGCATCGCGACCTTGATGGACCAGCTGACCGTGGTCGCGGAGCGCTGGGGCACCAACGACATGAAGGTCATCCTGACGCTGGCGCCGGATGTCACTTTCCTCCCGGCGTTCGAGCCGACCGCCGACCGGCACAAGGACACGATCCAGGTGTTTAACCACTGGAACAAGAAGCTGCGGGACTCCGCCCAGGACTGGGCCAGGGGCACGGTCTACCTGTTCGACACCAACGCCTTCCTGCTGGACGTCCTGCGCGACTGGCAGCTGTTCGCCGCGGGCATCGAGGAGGAGAATGGCCTGGGCAAGAACGAGGACCCAGGCTGGGAGAATGTAGAGGACCCATGTGTGCAGGACACTCAGAAATTCCGTCTGATGTCATCCGGAAGCGACCAATGTGACAAGCCCGACAAGTATCTCTTCTGGTAAGTTTCATCCTTCTTTACCTCCGTTCGTTCTAGACTCACCTCTTCTCTAGGGATGAAATGCATCTGGGCCCATCCGCTCACCGGTTAATGGGGACGGAGATCTTCCATGGGATCGAAGAAATGTGGTTGAAACAGAAGGAGACCACTTCGCGCACCTGACGGACGGCAGAAATGATCTCGTCGTCATCACTGCTACTACCACCACCCGCAGTACTACATAGATCCATTCCTCCCCCGCGCGGTGTGTTTCCGATGATCAAACGACCGACCCGAAGCAGCAAGCACTGAATCAGGGATCCAGATCGTCTCTCTCTCCGACCATGTCTCTCTGACTACGTCTCTCCGACTGTGTCTCTCTGACTATGTCTCTCTGACCATGTCTCTCCGACCATGTCTAAGACCCATTCCGGAGCTACCCCTCTGTTTGACTGGCGATGTAGCTACGGGAGAGAGACCAGATTTGCCGCCGACGGTGGTATTCAAGGGGGTGGGGGGGGGGGTAATGGGGGATAGTATTCGAGAGCCGTAGCACGCGTCAAGCTCGGCGCAAGGGTAGCAGCTGGGGTGGGCTGGATCCACCCCTGGTCAAGCCCACGGCAAAGAGTCCAGACAAGGAGGGAGAAAGAAAGAAAGAAAAAAAAAAAAGAAGATGGACAGATCCACTGGGGTCGATCTCCGCCTTGTCATCGGAATGCGATCGTTGTCTTGTACTACATGTGTGTCCTCCGTCCGACGATATGCTCGGTCGAAGAGGAGTTCCAGCAATTCCATCCCAATTATCCCTTTGAATCGAAGAGATAAAAAAAAAAAAAGGATCATAATTAATAGATGACTGCCTAACTCTCTTCTTCCCAATAACGAGCAGACAAAGGACAAGGGGGCATCTGTTGACGCGGAATCCCTGCGGCACGCCGCATCCGGCCAGCTGGGAGGGAACAAAGGAAACCTAAAACAATTGTTCCTCCGACCAGCTAAGCAGGGTGAGTCTGTGATTGTTGTTTGCCCCCAGTTGGGCTCTTTTCCTGCCTGGCCCGGTGCAAGACAAAGAAAAAAAAAATATGGTCTGGTCTGGACGGCCTGGGGGGGGAGGGGGAAGAGGAGGTTTCGGTTCAGCAGCAGCAGCAGGACAACAAAGGGCTTGACGGCCGTATTTGATTGCTAGCCATGGAAGATAAAGAGAGAGAGAGAGGGGAGGGGGGGAGAGAAAAGAAAGTAGAAAGAGATAGAGTGTGAGAAAGAGAGAGAGAGAAAGTGTGTAGAGAGAGAGGGTGATAAATATTGTTTGTCCTCGTACCTTCTCATTCCTCATTCTCACCACCTCCCGCCAACTTCTCCTTCTCCTTCTCCTTGGCCTTCTTACTATTACTATTATCATCTTAGTATTGCCATCAAGTCAACAAGTCAATTCTACCATTCATGTCGTACGACCGCGTCCTCCCCAAGCCAGCCGCCCTGCACTATGACTCGCCAGTTGTCGTCGTCCCCCGCAAATCGTCGACTCTCCTCGAGCACAAAATCATGCACGACAGTCCGGTCTCGTCGGCGGCGGCGTCTTCCTTTGCTCTGGTCTCACCCCATGCCTCGTCGTCGGCCTCCTCCTCGTCGTCGTCATCGTCTTCGGAGGCAGAGGGAGCCAGTGCTGAGAGGGTGTCCGTGTCTGTCCCTCGCAAGCAGTCGACCTCGTCCGACGACACGGTCAAGTCTCGCTCGACGGGCGTGCATTTTTGTCTGTGCCAGCCGGACCCGAAGATTCCTAGACCACGCAATGGTAATCTCTTCTCTCTATCTAATCGGGTGAATCTGTTGGATCAATGTTGAAGCGTGGTAGCCTTTATTCTCTACCGCCAACACCACCAGGCCGCTGTCGTGGCTCAGAACCCAGGCCTGGCGAACCCGGAAATCTCCAAGATCATAGGCGAGCAGTGGAATTCCTTACCGGAGGACACCAAGAAGGACTGGAAGGCTCTAGCGGAGGTATTGCCCTTCAAACCTTGCCTTGAGACCACTCTTTATACTGGATGGTTAATTGATGATGTGTAGGAAGAAAAAGTCCGCCATGCCCTGCAGTATCCGGAATACAAGTACCAGCCCAAACGGACAGGACGGGATGGGAATCCACGCAGCGCAGGCCCAGGATTAGGCCTGCACCCGCCCTCGTCGTCGACCGTGTGTCACCGGTGTGGCGGCCGGCCGATGAACCCTCCCCCATCGCCGGAGACGCCCTTCACGCCCACGGGGCGAGGCGGGGGGGGATTCAGCGCGGCTGCGGGAGCAACCATCACCATGAGAAGCCACCAGCGGCGTGAGCGAGATCCTACCCGCGTCCCGAGTCCTATTCGCGTTATGGACCTCGGGTCTGAGAGCGGCAGCGGCAGCAGCAGCAGTAAGCAGGCGCGTGCCCGGCTCTGGGGGGAGGACGGGGCCGTGGTTCGCTCGCCAGACACTAAGCGACGACGACATAATCATACCCAGAATCCAATCCATATCTCTCTTCGGCCCAACCTCGTCGGTAGCCACCGTCATCGGGATAAGAGTCCTGACACACCGTACCCGCATTCACCGTACGGAGCCTCACGCACGCAGCTGGCTCAGGCCCGGACTTTATTGCAGGCATTGCACCATCATCAGCAACAACAACAACAGCAGCAGCAGTCGCCGTATCGAACGCTCAAGGACCACTCGGCTCAGGATCTTAGTTTGAAACTGCCGCCGTTGCAAACCGTCACCGTCAGCGCTGGCGGGGTCGGTCCTGCCACCGGCACACCTACTTCTGGATCTGCATTTCCCAAAGAGAGCGCGGGGGCAGGGGTGGAAGCGACGGTGATGACCATCCCGTTCATCAACAAGATCAAAGTGCTGGCCAAGATCTCCCCACCGTTGGAACCCAGCTTCCGCGAGGCGTCGCCGACCTCCCAGCCACGCGGGGCGGTCATCGCCGTCGAGGGCCGCGACGCAGCACAGGTGAAGGTCATGACGGAGTATCTGGCCGCAGCATTCGCCCGGGAGCCCCGATACCAAGTCCGTACCTTTGAAGGGCCCAACGTCAAGCCACGCGAGGGGTCCCCGCAGGCTGGGCACATGAATGAAGCGACAGTAGACTACCTCAACACCATCTCTGTATGGCATCGCATCTCGGAAGAGATTATGGGGTTTGTCCGGCCTGCGGTGGACGATGACTCTGTCTCGCCGAGATCCATCATTCCGGGGACCGCCAATTTGAACATCTCAGACACTACCACTACTGCTACAACAACTAATACTGCTGCTACAAATACTTCTAATAAAACTGCTGCTACGACCACTACTAATACAACTGCTGCTACGACTACTACTAATGCAACTAATGCAACCAATGCAACTACGGCAACTCCCATAGCCCTCGTCCCCCGGTACCAACTCACAACGGCCGACGCCTTCGCCTGCTCCATCCCAATCATGGACTCGTACGCCCCCCTCGACCACTGGCAATGGATGGCATCTCTCTGGCGCGCCTGCGTCGGCCCAGATATAACCATCTACATCCGCGACTGTGAGCCCGACGAGGTCGACCGGCACGCCAAGAACCCCGTCGAGGTGCGGCTGCAGGATGCGCGGACGGTCGTCATGCGTCGCGCGCCGGGCAAGAAGGATCTCGAAGAGCGCGTCTTGAAGAGGGTGGGCTTTGAGGTCGAGGACTTCCTGGCTCAGGTTTACTTGCCTTGACCGGCATGAGTCTTATCTACTTTACATATAGTTACCTCGGTTGTTTATACGAGTGCATTGGAGTTATCACTTATTATCATGAATAGTCTATCTATACTATACTTACTCTATCTTATTCTATACTATTATATTCTATACTATTCTATACTATACTAAAGTTACTCTATGCTGTACTCTACGATAAGAGCTGACTAAGCGTTAATCTTATCGATTGGGAGCTTCAGTCTTACTTCATCTCCTGTTCACCTTCGAACAGAAACTGGGAGACAGGCTTCTCGATAGTGTGTCTCCCTGTTAGAGATTCTCTGTTAGACCCCTTGATTCATCTACAGAAGAAGGCATCGCATACGCTGACAGACAAGCCGATGAGGACTCGCTGGATGGCTGGAGAGTCTACAGGTGACGACGACGTTCAGGTAGATTCTCGCTTTGAGGAGTCAGTTATCACTTCAAAGTATTGCGATGCTGATCTTTTAGTATGAATGCAGAGACTGACCTGCTGGCTCCTACGGATCCTCTCTCATCCCCCTCGGACCTCCCGTATATTGCAGTGGGAGCGTTGAGAAACCATGGCGATTCAGGGACCGGGTATCCGCACGCAGAGATCAGCAGTCTACAAAGCCATGGATGGATTCGAACAGAGACAGTGTCTTCCAACTGCGTCTGTATCAGGGTGTATGCCTTGCCTGACGATGCAGGCCGCACGTCCATCCCCCGATCGAGTACCTCGTTGAGAAGAGCGCTGAGGCTGGTCATGTCACGGCTGGACCGATCTGTGGAAGCGTGGAAGGGAGTCAACACGAAAGAACAGACACAGGGAGAACAAGGAGAACAAGGAGAAGAAGAAGAACAAGAAGAACAAGAAGAACAAGAAGAACAAGAAGAATCGCTGTGGTATATCTTCAACACTCTCGACAATCCCACCCCCGAGCCGGAGATCGTCCACGACCCCTACGCGAGGAGGGCAATGGAGGACCTGCTATCAGGAGGCCAGGTCCAGGGCCTCACGGTGCCGCTGTATCCCTACCAGCGCCGCTCGGCGGCAACAATGGTCCAGCGCGAGGCGCAGCCGGCCCAGGTCCTGGACCCGCGGCTGCAGCCGTTTAGGGGCCCGACGGGCCAGGAGTACTACTACGACAAGGAAGAGGGCAGTCTTGTCCGGGAGAAGAGGCTGTATTCCGAGGCATGTGGGGGGATTCTGGCCGAGACCATGGGCTGTGGGAAGACGCTGATCAGTCTGGCGGTCGTGCTGGCCACGCGCGGTCACCTCCCTCGCATCCCGACCGAGCACCAGGAATTCGGGCCCCCATGCCGTCCGCGCACGGCATCGCTGGTCGACATGGCTGCCGCGGCGGCAGGCCGGCTGTCGCTCCCCTGGAAGCGGCATTTCGACGATACCCGCCGTCAGTCGGGGGCTTTCTACCACCGCTGCGTGCAGGCGTGCGAGGCCAACCGCGGGGATTACACGATCCAGCCTCCGACCCCGAAATACAGCGGCCGCAAGGCCATGGCGTATCCGCGAGACCCGCCGCGACGGATCCTTCTCTGCTCCGGGACGCTGATCATCGTGCCGCCCAACTTGGTCGACCACTGGATGAACGAGATCGCCAGCCATACCGAGGGGTTAACCGTCTGCTTGCTGCGCACGGGCGCCGACAAGACTCCTTCGCCCGAGGCACTGCTCGAGTACGACATTGTCCTGTTTTCCCGCACCCGGTTCGAGAAGGAGGCCGGCGAGGCCTACAACAACCGGCGGTCCCCCGCCGTCTCCGCCCGTCGGCCGGACGACTCCCCCTTGTCGAAGCTGCACTGGCTGCGCATCATCGTGGACGAGGGTCACAATGTTGCGGGACACGGCCATCGGACCAGTATGATGCATCTGCTGGACCAGCTGCACATCGAGCGTCGCTGGGTCGTCTCGGGCACGCCCTCGAACGGTCTGTACGGGGTAGAGGTTAGCCTGGCGTCGCAGGAGGCCAACACGAGCGACACCGAGCTGACCGAGGCGACGGCCAAGGCCATCCAGCACCGCAAGAAGACGGCCGGCCATGCGGTGGCGAACGAGCTCAAGGATCTCGACAAGCTGCGGTTGATCGTGATCGAGTTCCTGCGCGTCCGGCCGTGGGCAAACTCGCGCGCCGCCGACCCTGCCAACTGGACCAAGTACATCAAGCCCGTGGGCGAGGACGGCAAGCGGCGCAAGGCCCCCTCGCTGCGAGCCACCTTGCAGAGCCTGGTCGTCCGCCATCGCCTGGACGTCATCAACGACGAGACCCCGCTGCCGCGCCTGTACAACCGCGTTGTCCGGCTCCAGCCGACGCTGTACGACAAGCTCTCCGTCAACAGCTTCGTCTTCATCCTCGCCGTCAACGCCATCACCTCCCAGCGCACCGACCAGGACTACATGTTTCACCCGCAGAACAGGAAGCATCTCAGCCTCCTTGTGCGCAACCTGCGCGAGGCCGGTTTCTGGTGGGCTGGTTCCGAGTCCAACGCGCAGGTGCAGGCCTCCTTGGACTCCGCCGTCGAGTACCTCGACAAACACGGGGGGGACGACACCATCTCCGCGGCGGACCGACATACCTTGATGCAGGGGATTGAGATTGCGCGCCTGGCTCTCGGCAGCGCAGCCCGCAATGCCTTTCTGCGCTTCCAGGAGCTCGGCGTGTATGTCACACGCTTCCCCGACGAGGCCCGCGGCCTGTGGGCACTCGACCCGTCTTTAGCTCACGACTCCTCCTCCTCCTCCTCCTCCTCCTCCCCTTTGCTGTTGGGGATCTCGCAGGCGCGCCTGGCACAGAAACATGTCATGACGCATCTGGACGCGTGGGATCCGGCCGAGGGGCTTGCGGGGGCGGGCATTCGGGCTCGCCATGAGTTGGCTGAGCGAGCGGGCCATAAGACTGCTGAGAAGCAGCCTGAACAGTTGATTCACAAGACTAAACCGGACATTGGTTTGAACAGCATGATTAGCATCAGCAGTGCTAGCAGTGCTAGCAGTGGCAACAACCAACCGCAGTCACCGCAACCACTCACTCTCCCACCCAACTCGCCGCTGGCCCAGACGAAACTGGTGGCCACCGCGTCGGCGAAGCTGACGTACCTATTAAACCGGGTACGAGAGCTACACACGAGCGAGAAGATCATCATCTTCTACGACAACAACAACGCGGCGTTTTGGATCGCCGAGGGGCTGGAGGTGCTAGGGATCGACTTCCGCATCTACGCCAGCAAGCTGCAGACAAGCCTGCGGACGACGTACCTGGCGCAGTTCAACGAGGACGGCGCCAGCGTGCGCGTGCTCCTCATGGACCTCCGGCAGGCCTCGCACGGTCTACACGTCGCGCGGGCCTCGCGCGTCTTCATCATCAACCCGATCTGGCATCCTACCGTGGAGAGCCAGGCGATCAAGCGCGCACATCGGATCGGCCAGACCCGCCCTGTCTATGTTGAAACGCTCGTGCTCGAGGACACCCTCGAGGACCGCATGCTGCAGCGCCGCAAGGAGATGTCCGACACGGAGATGCAGCAGGCGGATCGCGACTTGCTCGATGATAGCACCATGAGCGCCATCATCCGCAACGAGCGCTTCATCCCGATCGACCAGGAAGCTCCCACTTTTGCTTCTTTGGAGTCTCCGTCGGGGTTTTTCGACAGACATACCCTGCCAATATGTGATACTCTGCCAGAGAAGACGAAGAAGAAGAAGAAGCGTATATCCAAGACAGACCTCGACCTCGCCCCGAAGCGACGAAAGTCCCAAGCCATCGAATTCGTCACGGAGGACGGTCTTCTGATGAACGCCGAGGTTCCTTTCTCTAGTCCCGTACAGTCGTTATTCGGTTGATGGAATAATAAATGAATTCTAGATTATCTGCGTAGAGACACTGTTCCAACTGTAGATACCAGATAGTTACTGATAAGACCCCTCTTTGTTCCCACAATCCTCATCACCCAGACAATCCAGAATCCAATCCAGAATCCAATCCAGAATCTGAATCCAGACATGGCCACCGTTGTGATTGGGATCTCCGGTCCATCTTCCAGCGGGAAAACGACGCTCGCGCGTCTGCTGCAAAGCGTCTTCTCAGGCGTCGAGGCCTTTCGCTCCTTCATCATCCACGAAGACGACTTTTACTATCCAGACGATAAGTAATTCTCCCGAGGAAAAGAGCAGGAAAAAGAGGGGGAAAACGCAAAACTAACAAGATAGGATTCCATGGACAACCACCTCCTCAGGAAGAGTTCAAGACTGGGACACCGCCGAGGCGATCGATCTGTCTTTCCTGTCGTCGTCGCTGCGTTACGTGAGGGAACATGGCAGTCTCCCGCCCGTGCTGAAGAGCAAAGAGGATCTCAACGAAGCAAGTGACTCGGGTGTCAGCGCGGAGACCATCCTACGATTGAAAGAAAGGGTATCTACTCTTTTATCTTCAAGGGGGAACGGCAACGAAACCGGAAAAGGAAAAGGAGTAGTATCTACCATGGCTCTCCTGGAGGGATTCCTCTTATTCAGTCCGCCGGAATCCGAACGCGACGAACACGTCCTCCGTCCTGTTCATCGGGAGATCGATCTTCCCATCTTCTTGCCTGCTGCGTATGATGTTGTCAAGGCCCGTCGAGAGGGGCGATCGGGCTACGTGACTATCGGGCCTGCATTGGAACCACCTCTTTCTCAGCGAGAATCTACCGAAAAGAAAGAAGAAGAAGAAGGAGAAGGAGAAGTAGATCTTCAAGCGGAGGATGAACGCCCTCCGCAGAACTTCTGGGTCGATCCGCCCGGGTACGTCGATGATATCGTCTGGCCGCGATATGTCCGCGACCATGCATGGCTGTTGTTGCCGGAGGGAGGCGCCCCTGCAACGACCGACGACGCAGAGCTGGTCAGGATGGTAGGTCAGGGAGTCGACGTCCGCATGGATGCGGGCGTGCTTGTTGCGCCGGGCATGGGTGCGCGCTCGATGGCCGAGACCTTGGATTGGGCTGTGGAGGAGATTGTCCGGTTTTTATCAAGTAGATAATAGCATCCTTTGCTTTGATTTTGCTTCCATATAAATGAGATAATGAGTTTTATTAAATCTATTCTCTTACTGGTCACCCCTCCATCCAAGCAGGTAATCGATCCGATCTCGGATAGACGGTAGACTGGGCACTGTTTCGATCTCAATCATCTCATCTGCTTCCACTTGGGGCATGTCGTGCAGCTGACACTGGCCGATATCGAAGAACTCGCCTAGGATGGTGTCCACGTTGTCTTGGAGTTCAAGTCGAGGCATCGGTGCGACTGGATGGTCCGTTCTGGCTGGCTGTGATATCGATCTCCTGCTGTACGCAAGGCCTGTGAGAGCGATCCCGAGAAGTAGAAGCAAAATCCTGTACACGCCCCATCTGGTACCTTTGGCGCTGCTTTCGATACTGGTGTGGGATATAGAAGGATCGGAATCCGTGACTTCGTCTACTAGACTGTCTTGGAGGCCGTCCTGAGTATCACAAGCCTCTTCAGGGTAACGCTCTTCAGAGCAACGCTCTTCAGGGTGCCGCTCCTCAATACAACGCTCTTCAAGGCACCGACTTTCTTCAAGGCACTGCCTCTCTGCGGTGGAACGATCCTCTTCGGGGCAACGCTCTTCATGGTGCCGCTCCTCGATACAATCAAGGGGAACCCCCGGAGAGTCCTTTTCAACTACAGTGTCTGTCGTCCGCTCTGCACTCTCGCCAGACCCAGTCTCAGCAGTGAGTTTCCTATGTTCAACAAGGCGGTAAACCCCCGGGTAGATGCGCGGCAGCCAGTGGAGGGACCCGGCCTCGTCGCGATGCATCTCCGCCTCCCAACGGATGCAGAACCGGTCTAGATCCTTGATCGAACAGATCAGCCGGATTGTCGACACGCCAATCGACCGCCGGTCCTCCTTTTCCAGACGGATGGTCTGCATACCGTCGTCTCCGGTCTTGTCCGGGTCGAGCCGGATCTTGAAGAACCCATCCGGGCCGCCCTCGATATGGAGAAAGAGCCCACATTTGTCTGCAGAGAAAAATCGGTTCGGGGTTCGCACCGAGCAGACCGCGTTGTATTTCACTAGTAGTCGCTTGCTCTCTCTTTCTTCTTCTTTTTCTTTTTGGATGTCGTCGGCAGTCGTGCTTACCTCGTACTCGGCGCGAATCTCTTGGTCCACAGTAAAGTCCTTGAGAAGGTAGAAGCGTTTATCACACACGCGCAGCGGGACGGTAAAGCTGGCCGAGTCGGTGAACTCGGCGCAGAAACAGTTCTCCACAATCTTGTAGCGTGGTAGGTTGGCCGTGCGGATCTCGAGCCCATGGCGCTCGGGAGGCAGGAAGATGAACATGCCGCTTTCCTCTGGCTTCAAGTGCGGCAGGCCGGGGATCCGCAGTTCGTGCCACCCCCTTGGCTTCAGCTTGTCCAGAGTACAGGAGATGGTGATCCCGATTCTGTACGTTCCTGGTTTGGCCAGATAGTGACACTGGAGTAACAGGATTCCATCCAAGAGCACGAGCTCTGGTTCCTCGGGGCTCAAGTCGTCACTTCCATCGCCGTGTGCTGCGACTCGGTCACTTCGGTCAAGGATATTCTTGCGGTATGGTGAATTGGTGAGGTTTGCTGGCACCACATCATAGGGACTCGTCTCATCCTTGCACGCTGTGTTCACGTCTTGTCCAAATAGGTCACTCCCCTGTGATAGAACCGGGGTTGAAGGTGGTGGCACAGACACCGGCTTCTCCGTCTCGGTTCTCCGGTGATTGTTCACTCGAACAGGGATCAAACTTGGCCTCCCCTGGCTGTGGGTTTGTTTGAACGGACTCTTGGCGGGGGACGGGGCGTCAGTAGTACCAGGTTCGGATTCCTTGCTAGAGCTTCTCTTCTCGGTTCGCGGATCCGATTCTACATCTGATAGGCACGCGTCTTTCGCGCTTCTTTTCAGGAGACTCGGGTTCTCCTCGCATTTTGCGACGCTGATGCGCAGACCCGTTGAGAGGCTGTACCGAGAAGATGCTTCCGGAGACACAGATTCGCTTTTTTGAGCATTCAGCTCCGGTCCAGCGACGCCCGATTCGCCTGGTGTAAGCTCATTCTGTACACCCGTGCTGGAAAAGGCAAACAGAGGGCTTGCTGGTGACGGAAGCCTGGTCTCGGGTTCTCCAGTTTCTGATCCCTTGGACACACAGATGACAGACGTCCTGATAAGCTTGATCTTTGGCGACTGCAGATCAAGCAGCTGTAACTGAGAAGATGGCACACATCGGGCCTAAATTCGTTCCACTGGACGTCAGCACTGTTCGATGAGGGGACGGCAACGACGAGGCATTCTTCGACTCACCTCGAGCAATATCTTGATCTCTACAGGGTCGTCTGACTGGCCAGTCCATGTTCCTCGGATTTCCAAATCTTTGAACTCGGTCTGTCTGCGTGTTGACTGGTCGCTCTTGTCCTTGGCCTCACCGGAGGTCATGTTGACACGGATCGGCGAGGGTTCAAGGGAATACTAGAAGAAGAAGAAAAAAGCGATGAGAGCCCATAGAATTCAGATGCAAGAGATGAAATATGGATGGAAAGAAGGCGCGAGGAAGAGAGGACAAAAGACGGAGGAGAAATGTTTTTGTGCGTCCAGGAGAGGAAAGGAAAACATTCACTCAATACCTACTCTGAAGGCCTCTCTTGTTATTAAATATCAAGATTCTGATCCAGTCTATTGACCTTAGATGACCTATCACACTGATCTGACTGCCTTACTGTAATATCAGGAGAATGTGCACTCGTCATGGTGTGTGACTGACAACCTGCAGGTGAGGCTATCCACAACTTTTTGTACTGTTTGTCTACTTGCAGATGGCGGCCTCAGGCCACTACGGGGGATGGATGGATAGAAAATAAAAAAAACCTCAACTCAACAAGAGCTTCAAGTAAGAATATTGCATTCGTGTTTGGTGGCGACGTGTCAGCCTCCGTCCTCGGTCGTTCACACGTCCCTCATCATCACAATTAAACAATTACCGTCGAGCAGCATCACCAGAATAGCCAAAAAAAAAAAAATCCAGGCCAAAGACTGGGATATCCCTGCGCCAAAGCCCACAGTATATATATACAAGGGAAAAAAAGGTGAAACGTCACTTTTGCTCCCCACAAAATAAGGATCTCTTTTTTGGTTTCCAAGCTCCCAGGCGCCTTGTATCCCCCCGCGAACAAGTAACCAGAATGATATAGTTTTCATCCCGAATAAAAACACCCATCCGACGCTGTCTATCCAGAAAAAAAAACCCAATCAGTTAAACAAACACCAGGCATGCTGCATACCCAAAACGATGAGCGCCGCGATGCACCATTTCCCGGGATATCGACACAAAAAAAAAGAAAAGACGTGAGAAGAATATAAGAGAGAGAGAAAACGAGAATCGTTGAAGAGCAAAAGAAAAGATGTCGTCCAAGGCTTTTTTTATTTTTTTTGTTTTTTTTGATTCCTTTTGAGAGAGAGAAAAGGGGGGGTTCAATGGTCATCTGGGGGTTCCATTCGACGATCCGGGATGGTCGTATACCGGTTGGCCTGCAGAGGTGACTCCATAACGATCTGCGTCTGTGGGGGTCATCTGCTGCGACGGAAGGATGGGCGTCGTCACCTGGCCTTGATCGAAGTACGGGCGAGTGGCCGTACCGTTACTTCCTTGGGAATAGGGACGGCCACGCTGCTGCTGAAGGGGGGGGAGGACGGTCGAGCTTGCTTGGTATTGTGGCCGAGGATATCCTTGCATCAAAGTTTGGTCCGCAGTCTATTCACAGGAAACAAAAAAAATTACCCCAAGTCTTTAGCTTTTGTCTCGAGGCCTTATTGAATGATTCGGGTTCCATACAGGAGTCGCCTGCTGATTCACAGGCTGGCCGGGGACCATGGGTTGCATTGTGGCTTGCTGGGCGGATCGACTCTGCGCTCCCGGATCCCCCATGGAAGGGATTTGCGCGGACGCGGGGATGCCGTAGGACATCTAGACAGCAGTGTCAGCAGGATCACGTTCTTTTTGCGCCACGTCTCTAGCACCTGGAGATCTCACGGCAATCATGGGATCCTCCAGGGAACCGTACGAGGCGGTGGTCGGCACGGGCAATGGCTGACGAACCGCATAGTCTGGAACCCCAGCATGCCCCGTAGGGTAGCCTTGCATGATTGGGGTCTGATATGTCCCTGGTTGACCCGGGTACATGGTGGCAGCTTGCGAGTACGCATCCATTGGGCGTGTAATCCGACCCTCCGCGTCGTACATGCCCCGGGTAGGATACTCCTCCGACGTGCGCTGACGCTTTACAGGGGCGCTGTAGTAGCCATAGTCGCGACTGGTCGGAGGATAGCCGCTATAGGGAGAACCTTGAATCTGCACCGATGTCCGATCTGGGGAACGCGAGGGAATCGGGGCATGAAACTCTTCAGGCCGGGGGTTCGTCCGTTTCCTGAATTTCCAAGGGTTAGTTTCACACCTCCCTGGTATGAAGATAGCTGTTTTTTTTTCTTCGGGGGGGAAGGGAGGGGAAGAGGGCTCACAGCATGGTCCGCGGCTCCTTCCGGATTCTTAGCTTGACACCCTGGTCTGCAAACGACCTGGACAAGAATGTCGACTCAGCCATGCCTGGAAAACTTTTCGGTGGCAAGACTAGCACGCGGTCAGCGGTCGGGCATTCCCTGTGAGAGAGACACTGGCAGAGACGCGCTCACCTGTAAATCGTTCGGAGATGATGGACTTGAGGTACGTGACAACATCCCTGGAATCACTACATCAGCTCAGTTCAACTTTTCCCCTTTTGCCTGGGAACAAATAAAAGAAGAGGAAAATATGACCTACTTTCGCATTTCAAACAGGGTGAATTTCAACCGAAAATCCCCCTCGATCTTCACGGAAAGATCCCCGAAGACAAAGAAGCCGCCATCTGACCGAAATCACAACGCGTTAGTCCACCGTTTTCGAGAAGCGTTTCCCCAGGGAACCAAAGGTTCAATATACCATTGTTGTCCACATCTTTCAGTCGATGAAGAGACGATACTAATGTTCCTGCCAATGCTGTCGAAGGAGCCACGGGTACTGGATGGTCTTCTGTTGGATCGTATAGGCTACAGCACATGAAGTAGTACGGGCTCTGGAGGTAATGTCTGGCCAATGCTGTCAGCGAGGAGGTCCGAGAAGAGACGAGCTGGACAAGACCTACTGTGCGAGGTAGCTACTCTCCTCCCTCACACGGAGCTGAACAATCGGTGGGGGATCCACAGGTTTGCGTTCTGCACAAAGAGGAAAAGGTAAAAATCCATCCATTTCAATCGGCACTTTGCCTCCTCCGCCGGAAGGAAAAAAAAAAAAAAAAACTTGATTTTCGCAGGAGGAGGGGAGAGGGAAGAGATGACACGTACCTTTCTCCTTCCCTCCAGCCACGCGGGCCCGTACGGGCTGCTGGCGAATAGTCAACTCGAAGTCAGAACTGCCGCTTGTCAACATGGTCAGTGGGAAATCCTGAACAGTTGAGTAAGAGCTGTAGACCGGTCGAAACCCCAAGGGGACGAGAATAGAGAAGCAGGTAGGGGGAGAATGAAGGAAAGAGGGGGGGGAGGGGGGAGTCAAGGGAGAAGCAACGAACCTCTGTGATTCACGAGCAACAGAGGCGTCTGGAAACGTCGACGCACTCATCAAGGCGAGCTTGGGGGAGACGCTGGCACTGGACCGAGCGGCGGAGCCAGACGGACTCGAGGCAGCGTTTCAGCAGAATGACGAGGGAAAGAGGGGGGAGGGGGAAGGGAAAGACGGATATCAGGGCAGCAACCAGGAGACGGCGGATGAAGCAGACAAGGACCAGAAAAGCCGGGCGATGAGCAACAATCTGTGGTTTGTCTCACAGGAAGAATAAGGATGGGTCTCTGGAACTGCGCGAAGTTGGTGGTAGTTGTTGGTGGTGGGGGTGTGGTAACGACAGAGAGCTGGTGAGATAAGGGTAAGAATGTCACCCGATCACAACCATGGGTTGGGATACCGTGGGAATAAATCGATCCTGGCCGGCGGGCGATGACAGCTGCTCGACCTTGGTGCTTGACCGGACGGTGCGAGGGAGATTACGAAAACGGCGCCGGAGAGACGATGGTGTCGTCAGATCGCAAGCGGCAAGACTCAACCGAAGCACGGTTCAGACACAAACCTTAAACCGGACAGACGGACCAGAGAAATGAGAGAGGTAGAGAAAAACACAATAAAAGGAGCCCCGATTCCCTGCCCCAGAGAGACCAAGCTGAGCAGGGGCAATAATAATACTTGCGCGGGTGGGAGAAAAATATCGCGGTCGTCCCCAGCCTGCGTCGCCCGTTCCAAGTCTATCTACCACGGCCAACCCAAGAGATCCCAGGAGAAAAATTAGCCACTCCTCGCAACAAGTAATGACAATAAAAAAAATCCAGTAGATTTTTTGTTGGTCCAAGTAGGGGAGAGATGGAAGGCAGCTGAATTGGTAAATGAAAAAAAAAAGAAAAAAAGACCAAAAACCAAAAGAGAGATCAAGGGAATATCCACCCCGACCGTGGTGGTTCTTTCATCGAAGATACCAGATGGACTCTTCTAGGCACACGCAGGGACCGATCAGCCGCAGTGAATCAGTGCGATTTCCAGGTGAAGGGTGGGCATGAAAAAAAATTGGCTGTGTGTGTGCGTGTGTTTGTGTGGTAGTGGTGGAGCAGAGGTTGCAGCCGGCAGGTCGACCGTTGGATGTCGAGGAGACCGTCGACCACGGTTGAGGAGAGGAGCTAGGGCGAGTGAGTATGACGATCCGACAGGAACCGCCACGACGGTCTGGAGAGAGATGATGCGCACATTTGTGACGATGACAGGGGCATCCACACCCCAGCTGAGGAGAGCCCCTCCGATCTGGCTTTGGCACTAGCAGACCGGCGACCTGCGCAAGAGCCAAAGCCTACCTCGGCGATCGACCTCGCAGCTCTGCGAATGACAGGCGCGGACGGATGAGCGGCATCCACCGCCGCGTTTGCGGCAACAGGCAGGGTTATTGCGGCCGAGCCCACTGGTGCTCTAATCGTGCTCGTGCGTGGAGATGGAGCCGGGCATATGCACGTAAGTTCAAAGATGGAGTCCGACGCTGGGCTCTCTGACCCTCCCCCGTAGACGCCTAGTCCGACTAGTTAGCACTATCGTCGCTCGTAGTGGACGCCTCCGTATCGCTGGTGCTGGTGCTTGGGCCGGGGACGCTTTGGTCTAGCTAGCACTCAGCATTCCAGTCAAAAGCTGCATCCGTCAGCTACCTTTGAACCTGATCCGGCCTTGGAGCTCGCCAGCTAGCACGTACCTCGATCTCTTTCCTGTAGCATCCAGCCCGTTCCGTGTCGCCCGTCCAGTTGCAACCAGCGGTCGAGCAAGAGGGAGAGGGGGGGGGGAGGGGGAAGACCCAAGGGATGAGAGGGCCCACGTGATCCAGGAGGTCAACTCACTTGACTTCACTGCCTTCAACTCAACGGCTTCCAGGCCAGGAATCTTTCTTTCTCCGTCGTTCTCTCTCGTTTCCTTCCTTCCGGACTGTTGCTATCCTTTCTTACTTTCGCTCCGTCGGCTGCTGTGTTCTGGAATATTGCCAGAGATCAATCGAACCAGCTGCTGCGACTTGTACGTTGGGTTCTGTACTGAATTCGATTCAACCAAGGAACGGACAGCGCACACCGCGGTTTAATGATGCAGAGCTATCGATTCGACTCGAAGGCGGATGAGGTCTCCCGCGGTTACCAGCCACTGCCAGAGTCGAAGCCTGAAGGGCAAGACCATCACGGGGGAAGAGAGGGGAGCGGACCTTTATCAACGTGCGACCGAAGAAGAAAACATCCAGGGAAAAAAAAATTGGAAATGGTGAAAACAAAAATAGGGAAAAATAAAACATGTCAGATCCTTTCCCAGCAGCTAGGAGTCAAGCAGATGGATCACATTTCGAGGATCTGACATGCAGAGCAGGGATCTTGGCCAGAACGAAGGCATACTGCGTACAGAGTGCTTCGCACGCACATACACTCGACGGACACTGGTTGGAGGAGGAGGGGGGTTCCAGACTAGGCGTCTAGAGCCTTACTTGGAAGTTGTTTTGTTGGGCTACGGATAATCTCAAGATGGAGAGCGCGCACACATGCACTTACACAGACACAAGAGACGGACACTAGCAAAGTTTTCAACAGAAAAAGACGAAGCCAATTCGGCAAAGCGAATGCTCCTTGGCCTGCCCCGGATGTACGTCTCCATGCATCGTTTGGTGTGGACGGCGAAGCGGATCTTGGGAGCTTCATAGGTGGCAGACTGCACCTAGCCGGATCGGTAGCGACGTGCATGCATTATAAACCCCGTAAAGGCCTTCGGCCACCGGTGGGGAACACCGATCCCAACGGGGATGTTCGGGCATCAAGGACAGCAGCCGAAGCACGAAGTACGGAGAAGAAAAGTCTCTCCTCTCTGGCAGAGCATCATCATTGCTGCTAGCATGGGGGTACTGGCACAGGTGTGCACCGCCTCACTCAGCAAGAGGCACAGGAGCAGTGTGCCCTTTTTCCAGATATAGAAGGGAGAGAGAAGAATGGCAGGATTGTACACAGGACACTGCAAGGGCGGCCAGATCTGAATACCGCGACCACGTTGTACTCATTTCTTGGCCCAAGATCTCTCTACGATGGGATTAGCGACGTGCCAAGCGAGGGAGAGAGACGGTTCTGTTTCTTGGTGGAAGGGCGATACCACCATCGTGCTGGTTGCATGCAATCCCCCTCATTCTTAGTACGGAGTAACTAGAGAGAATCGCGATGATGGCGCCACGCCATCTCTAAGCGACAGCGACTTGTTCCATGATTTGTCAAGCCATGTATGTACCTTGGACCTGCACATCACACCCGGGTTCCTTTCTCTCCAGGATGCTTTGCGCTCTCCTTGGCTCGCTACCCGCCTATCAGGGGGTAGTTCCATGGAGATCAACCAACAACGGCAGAGGTAGAGGGGAAAGCAGAGAAAAGGCAAAAAAGCAAAATGAAAAAAAAAAAAAAAGATAACCCAGAGGCCCAACAGCTCTCGGTCAAAAGAGCAGCAACCCTCGCATGCACATGGAATGGCAAGAAAAAAAAAAGAGCAGAATACTCTGTAAAAGAGGATAAAAAGAGAGCGAGGGAGAAAGAGAGAGAGAGAGAAAAAGAAAAATCAAGACCAGGGGGGCCAGGGCCAGGACCACCACTTTTTCCCACCCTCATTTCAGGCCAACCTGGCTGGGGGGGGCGGCTAAGACGGTGCACGATGAATTGGCTATTATTATGATTACTATCAGTCCAGACTCCATGGTGTCATCCTGCGTTGCAAGTGACAGCACAGGGTCTCCATCGTGAACCACAGTTTGCGCCGCGCTACGCATTTATGCTTATTCTCGACCTTGGTTCCAAGCCCGGCAGTACAGACGGAGTACGCCGGCTTGTACGAGTCTGTGCTACAATAATAACGGAGTACGTCTCGTACCGAAGTGTGGCTTTTTCACCAGAAAACTAAAAATGCTAGGCGGAGTCCATTATCTCTCTTGAACTCCCCCCCCTCTCTCTCTCTCCATCTCTTTTTTTTTCCCCCCTTCCCTTGCGGACAAATCCGTCCGGAGCCGACGGCTGACAGGTCATAAATCTGATATGCTAGGCAGTTCTATTCTCGGCGCTGCTAGATACAACGGACTAGAGAGAGAGAGAGAGAGAAGGCTGTCTCTGAGTCACTGGCTTAAAGGATTGTGCATGCATGATCAACAGTACAGATACTGACATGTAGTTTTGAACACATCGACAGTTGTCTAATCTTGTACCATGACAGAAGAAGAAGGAAGCTCTACCTTTGAGAGCACTCATTGACTACTCATATGGATTCTTCTATCTGCGCCCGATGGCATTCCATTTGATATCTATCATGCAGCCATGCTGCATCGTCCATTCCCGGATTTCACCGCTGCTACGCCACGATGCTTGCATGCTTGGCACTGGGAAAGCTCAGATTCTATCCATAAGTACAGTATAGATAGACAGAGACCAACTGCATAACACAGAAATAAGTACGGAGTACATACTGACTGTTAAACCTACTATTTGAACGATTATAATCTACACTGATCCATCAATATTCGTCTACATACTCGTAAAGGTACACCACACCGGCTGCAAAGGAATTAATCAGCCCAACCAGGAGGGTGAGGGAAGAAAGAAAAAAGGGTAGAAAAATGCAATGGTCGAATCGAAACATGGGCTCTCACAGACTCCAGAACTTCCTTGAGCGCCATCCCTTGCAGACAATCAAAATAAAAACCCCCCTTTTCCCTCCAAGAGGAAAATAATAATAAAAAAAAAGAAAAGGGCCGGGAGGGGGTTCAAAAGAAAAACAATTCACATCATCCCGTAGGAGGGAGGTAAGGTAGTAAGGGTAAAACCGACTGTAGTAGGTCAGTCAATGGAACGATCACGACTGTTCGATACCATCCATCTGCGGCCCCTGATCGGCATCAAGGGCCCCCGCTTCGTCATCCGCAGCAATCATAACCTCCAACTTCTCCACCAAGGCTTTCTTGCTCAGAGACCGTGAGATCCGCGTCGCGCCCTCCGGGCCGCGACTCTTGGTCACCGCCAGCTGCTTCGGGCTCGAAGCTGTCTCCTCCTCTTCTTCTTTGTCCTCCATGGCATCGCCGTTCTCCTCCGCTGCAGGCTTAGGATACCCGTTGGCGTCGGTGAGATCGGGTGTTGCCTTGCCATTCTTCAACGCTTCTGCCTCACTATTCAGCCGCGAGGGCTGCGAGGGCTGCATTTCCGGTTTCCAGGTGGCTTCAGTCTTGTCAGAAGGTTCCTGTTGTGCCTGCAGCGGTGGCGGTGGCGGTGGCTCTTGGGTTTGATCGGTGGCTCCGTTGGTTATCATCTCCCCGCCAGCACTGGACTCGGTCCTAGTACTCCGGCCACGTCGCACGCGAGGGGTGTAGCCTAGTGGAGAAGCATACGATGTGAGCGCAGAAGCGCGCCTAGGCGTGCCACGACCGTTGAGAACCCGGTTGGCCAGCGGGGTAGCCTCGCTGGCTCCATTTGTGGCAGCACTGGCATTGTGTGCGACTGTGCTGGTCGTGTCGGGAATGACTTCGCCGGCCGCTGCTGCTGCCGCTGCTGCTGCCGCCGCCGCCGCCGCAGCAGCAGCAGCGGCAATATTCTTCTTCGTCGAGCCAAACGGTCGGCCAGGTCGGCGCTTGAAGATGGGACCTTGCACCGGTGGCCAAATTTCAAACCGAGTGGGCGGGATCCCCGCTGCAGGGTTCTGAGAGGTGGCGGTGGTGAAGCTTGCAGGGGTGGAAGAAGCGTGACGGAGACCATTCATGCTAGTGGATAGGACACTTGTTGACGGCGGCCCGGCAGGCTCGCCCAGAGCGCTTTTCCTGCTACCCTCAGCATCAGGCTGGGACTGCTTGCCGTCGCCGTTGGCAGCAGTCTTCCTCCCGTCTTGTTCTTCTTCTTCTTCCTCTTCTTCTTCTTCTTCTACTTCCTCCTCCTCCTCATCTGCACCTTCTCGCTGCGCCACAGTGTGGATCGGGGCGCGGTCGAATTGAGAATGGTTGCTTCGACCCATGATGTACGGGGTCCACACGAGCGCATCCGGGTTCAATTGCACGTATCGCTTGCTCTCCCAGTTGCCAATACATTCTTCAAAGTATGCATGGTTGAGGCGCAGCGCGTAGGTCTTGGTCACGGGGTCACGCACAAGGGCACGCAGACCCTCTAGGCCCGACACGATGTCGTCGGCCGTCATGCCCGTCCGTTCTGATAGTTCCACGATGCTGATCGGGGTCTTCTGGTTTCGGAGTTGATACGATAGGATCAGTCGCCAGTAGTTCCGGTATGACACCAGGCCCATGTCGGAGAGGGGCTTCTCCGGAGACCCGGTCTTGCCCTCAATGCGGGTCAGCAGGTAGGAGAAATCAATAAGAAGGTTGCCGTAGCCCTTGCGCTGGTGGATCGGGAGCGTGAGGATGCAAGACACATTGTTGGCGGAGCTGGGTCGTTTTTCCTTGCTGAAATATCCGACAAAGTGGCAGCCGAGATCATCGTACTCGGTCATGACGTAGAACAGGAATGGTTCCACATCGTAATAAAGGGTCTTGGACCCTAGAAAGAGCTTGGCCAGGAGACAGAGGTTCTGGCAGTAGACTGGATTCTTGCGCCCATCGACTTCATAGATCGAGATGGATCCTTCGCGGTAGATCTCGTCACCCGGGGGGTGCTTGGCCGGACACTTGAGCTTATGCCGCCAGGCGACGAAGTCGGAGTTCATGTATTTCAGACAAAACTCGCAGATATAAAGCACCCGGTTGCGACTATACTCTTCAGGGTAGGGTGCAGCATACCAGGTCTCGATTTCGTATCCGCCAAAGTTGATGTATTTGATCTTGGACGGCGGACCAGAGACCTTTTGCGAGGCGCGCTGGATCGATTCCCCGCCCAACTCCGCCTCACGAACCTTACGTTGCCATGCATCTTCGGCCCGTTGGCGGGCAGACTCGAAGCGTTCGCGGTCAATTTGTAAGGGGAGCGTCTTGGTCGTGTCCGCGTCCGTTTCCGACAGGATACCACCGTACGGTTTCGACTTGGACTCATCGTGTTCGCGGTCCGGAAAGGAATAGAAGGGAGAGATGAAAGAGGCGGGCGTGATGGGAAGGAAATGGGTTTGAGGCTCTTCCGGGGCCGGTGGAGGATTGGCGATCTTTCGCTTCTTGTGCAGCCGCTTCCGCCGCGAGCTGAGGATCCTCGCGAGCTTGTGCTCGTTCAGGCGAAAGGCCATGACCAGCTTGTCAAGCTGTTTAGAGATTATCCGGCAACCCTCAGGTCCCGACCGGCGAGCCCGGCGCGTGCGTGTTCGAAGCGGACCCCCCCCCTCAACACCATCAACCGTCGCGAGGGCGCCGCTGTCGACTGCTGCGTGATCATCCGACAGCCCAGAGTCTGCACCGGCTGTCGTCTGCTTCCGCCGTTTGCGAAGAACTGGCACATGCTCGTCTGCTTCCGCTGACGAGGCCTTCCTTTTGCGAAGGGCCCGCGAACCATGGAGTGCGTCGTCACCAATGATCTCGGTATTGAAAATGGAATTCGGTTGGTCGTGTGCTGGTAGGAGCTCCCGAGTCAATAGCGAGCCGGTTCTGCGCCGGGGAGTAGCCATAACAGTCGTGTCGGGCTCCGATTTGTCCTTGAAGCAGGCTGGGCAGCGCCACGTGGAAACATCTATTGAATCAGCATGCCTTCCCTCTCAACAAGACAGAATTAAGTTAAATTTGGACGCAGTACCTTCTTCGCCGAGGGCGTTTTGCTCGCGCGCGCATTGCCGATGGGCTGTTCGGGTTGCCGAGTTAGTTGGTTTGCCGATCCAGTAGATAGATCAAAGGAAAAAAAAAAAAAAAGAGGGTCCGACATACAGTGATCGCCACAAACAATGCAGGTCAGATATTCCTCAAACTCATCGCTCGGGTCATGTTCTTCATCTTGGTGGCAGAAACTACAAATTTGGTAAGCAGACGGGCTTCGACAGCGAGGAAAGATTAAGAAAAAAAAAAAAAAAAAAAAGAAGAGGCCACTCACATGCAATCAGTGCGGCTAGGAATTTCCGCCTCGCCCTCGCGATCACTTTCGGCCTCCCACTCCTCTTCCTCGGCATCGGATTCGGAGCTGCTGCTTGACCCGGACTCGGATTCGCCGTGATGCTCGTCGCTGTGGCCATCGTGGCGGAAAGCCGGGTCTGCATCGAGGTCCGCCTCCGCCTCGGCGTCTTCATCTTCGTCATCGGATGAAGCTGCGCCGTTCGGCAGCTTGACCGCGCCCACGGGTTCCGCATCATCATGATCATCCGGACCCGATATGCTTGCGTCTTCCTCGTCTTCCTCCGCATTATCATCATCTTCTTCTTCTCCGTCTCCAGCCCGACGCTTCCCCACGACCTCTTCCCCGGAGTACGCTCGATGGGCCGCATCTTGAAGCTGCTGGTCCATGTGGTAAAAGTCGGTCTCGTCGTCCTCCCCCTCAGCGTCCTGGTCGCTGTCGACCATGTCTGCGTGCGGGTGTGTCTCTGTCGTATCATCGGCGGGCAAAACCGTTGCCGCCATCGTGTAAGCCACCGTAGTCGCCAGTTTGATCATAGATCCCCGTCAAGCTGCCTTCTCTACACGTTGTCCTTCCTGTTCTCGTAACACCGTGGTGCTCATAGGTTCTCCGCGGAGGGGACAGAGCGAGTAAAACGAACGAAAATGAGCGTCGGGGTTTCACCTCTGCGCGTCGCAATACAAGTTTCTCAACACGCTAAAACTAGAGCTTCACAAAAGAAAACCTCCCCCCCATCAGCCAGCACTCCTTCCAAAGGAAACAAAAAAGGGTTTGGCGCAGCGCGCCACTTGAGAGGAGCTATTCAAACCTACCGCGAAAAGCAACTCGAAGCCCCAGCCAGCCAGATCCAAGACGCGTGAGAATCAGCGACGCAAGCACGGCCGTTGCCCCCATCCGCAAACATTCAACTCGTTTCGTGTTCGGACGTGTACAGGGGAGACGGAGGAGGAGAGGGGGGGAGGGGGAGGGGATCTTGTTTGATTGCCCCCTTCTCCTTGTAGCCGTGAGGTCGCTTTGAATGTCGCTGACTCAGCCGGCGGCTCCGACCCCCCAACCCGCGCTAATCCCTTTGCGGCCCATCAGAAACTCAGACACCAACTCCGTACTGAAAGACATTGGACAACCACCTTCCTTGTTATTCGTTCTTCATTGCGTATCCAACAACTGTCACAATGGGTGTTCCCTTCGAGGCTCTCATCCCCTATGGGATCATCGTCGCCGTACGTTTCCGATTTATTCGTCTCGACCAACCTCTTTTTCGTTCTGTTCGCTAACCTGAAGGAAAGATGTTCGGCGTCACCGGCATCGGGTTGAGCGCCACGAAATATCTTGGAAACGAGGGCAAGGCCGCCCGCTGGAACAGAGATACCTGGGACAAAGTGAGTTATCGCTTAGATTTTTGAATTGTTCGCTATACTGACTTTCCCAGCAAAGTAGGAACAATACCGAGATACCCCATACCCTCCCCCTCTCAATACTATATTGTTTGGCGAATGCTAACGGCTCAGTGATGGAGCGCGATCTCCGCATCACAGGCACGCTGCGTGGTCAATACGGGGGCGTCGAGGCGCCGAAGGGGTTCGAAGTCAGCAACCCGTGGAAGGTATGTTGGAGCCATACTCTGCTATTTCGATATAGCAAGAAGCTAAGAAACAGGTCGAAAAACGCATTTTCTAGTTCTCAATGTATTATACCAATTCAAGTCTCAAGTCTTCAATGTTTAGTTGAATGTATCAAATGTGTAGAGTATCTTAAGATATAGAGGACTGATGGTGTGTGTACGGATAGTGTGTAGAGTATCTTTATTAAGAGTCTGATAGTGTGTCTGCTTTGGATACTTAGACAGGACTAAGCTACTCCCTCGTCAAAATGGCCGCGGTGGGAGTCCCGCGCGGCTTCTTCTTGGCGGCGGCCTCCTCCTGCTTCTCCGTCTCGATGTTCTTGACGTACGCCTCGATCTGCTCGTCGGGGAGCATCTCGATGCCCTTGCCGGGCGCCATGATGGCGACCTCGATATTCTTGGCTCCCGTCTGCACGACCTCGAGCAGTGATTTGATGGTTAACTGGATGGTGGCTTCGCGGTCCATCTCGTCTTGATGGTTGCGTTCGAGGAATTCGCGGACCGTCTTGCTCGACCGGCCGATGGCATTTGCTTTCCTACCATCATTAATACAGGAGTGTATAAAGTATAAAGAGAGAGAGGTACCAAGCAGAATAAATCCCCGACGGCTCCGTCTGGTAAAGTCTAGGCAGTTTATCGTTCGGATCGAACCCGACAACCAACGTACTGATTCCAAACGGCCGCACGCCTCCGCTCTGCGTATACCGCTGCTGCACTCCGGCAATGTACTTGGTGATGTACTCGACCGTGACGGGGTCCTCGACCGTCAACCGGTGCGACTGGGCCTCCAGCCTCGCTTTATCGATCAGGATGCGGGCGTCGGCGTTCAAGCCCGCGAACGCCAGGCACACGTGGTTGTCCACCAGGGCGATCTTGGAGGGTGTGATGCGCGTGTCTTGTAGTTTCAGCGCCGACCGTTTCTCGCAGCCCAGCACGACGATATCTTTGCCCTTGACGCCGACCGCACAGGTTCCTTCCTAGTGAGCTTAACCGTTTTCGGGCCGAGAGGTACGCCAGAGAGAATTAAGGAAAAGGATTACCTCGCTTCACTGCCTCTGTGGCATATTCCACCTGGAATACATGCCCGTCGGGGCTGACAATCAGCAGAGTCGTCCCGGAATCGATGATATATCCCTACCTAAACACTAGACATTGTTAGAACCATCCATCAAAGCAAGGTAGCTAAGGCTAGCTTACCTGAGAGAGCTCGATCGTATCCGGAGGCCATTTTGTTGAGATCGTGTCAATCGTAAAGCAGCAGATGGTGAAAAGATAGAAAGAGGAGAGAAATCAGAGATCAAATATCAGAGAGAGAGGGAGAGAGAGAGAGAGAGTAGGTAGAAGATGGAGATAGAGAGAGGTATAATAGAGCTAGGTAATGTGGAGTGAGTGATGCTGGGACACGCATCCGCGGCTGCCTCCAGCTCAAGCGCAGCCGCGCGCTAATTTCTGCCTTGGTGCCTGGCGACATCAGAACTACTCCGGACTGGGTACATAGTTACCAGTTAGGTACCAGTTACAGTACTTCAAGACAACTAGAATAATGTATAATACGCGATTGATAAGTAACAGGCAAAACAAGCTCCGAGGACAACATGCCCCAAGGGACTCCAACCCCGACCATGACCCAGCATTCGAGCCAGCCAGCCCGAAAGAAGAACACATAACAAGAATAGACAGGTAAAAAAAAAAAAAAAAAAATAACAACAGGGGGGGGAAATAGGCAAGATAATGAACAGAACCGTATAGAGCCAGAAACCATCAACGCTCTCTATCAGACATGCCAGCCGTTTGGCTCAATGATCCTCCTGTACACAACATTCGCTCAGAGAGCCGTGTATCATGCATTGATACTGACTTTTACAACCAATATGAACGATAAAAAAAAAGTAAACACAGGGGGGAAATGATGGGGAAGTGAGGGGGGAAATGACGAATAAGAAAAAAGGAGAAGAAGAAATGAAAAGATAGGGGGAGAGAGGCGAGAAGAAGAAAAAAAAAAAAAAAAAAAAAAAAAAAAAAAAAAAAGGTGAAATATAGACAACGCACAATCATGCGAGGTATGTCCCCCCGAGTCGCTGGCGCAAAAGTAAATCCCCCAACACCGCCGACAAGGTCCGTTCCAGTGTATTCCCACCCCGTGTGTGTGTGTGTGTGTGTATGTGTGCATCATGCCGTGATTCTCCAGAGATTCCCGCTGCATCGTGCTGAAATAGACATTGAAAACAAATGTAAATGCAACAGGTTCTTCCCGAATCCCTCATGGATCCATAATCGATGGGAAGTGAGTTCGTCTCGGTTGATTGGAAACCTCCACGGTCCTGCGCCGTAACTTTTTCTTTCGTTTGCGTGCTCATCCATCCCAAATGTGCCTCCAGTGCTTCGCATAATGCTGAAAATGACCGAATCCCTTCCCCGAGAAACCCCGCAAGCTCCTCCCTCCCAAAATAATAATAAAAAAAAAAAAAAAAGGAAAACTGAGAATTTGAAAAAAAGAAAGAAAAAAAGTGATGCTCCAGCAGAAATGCCCTTATACAAATACGCTTTCCCATGAAGAAAATCAACGTCACAATATACCAAAATAGACATGCTTATTGACAGACCGGCGAACCCGTGGATAAGGTGGCTCGTGGGGAATGTTTGTTCTGATCTTTTGTTTTCTTCTTTTCTTCTTTGATTTTTTTTTTTTTTTTGTTTCTTCTCTCTTCGTACAGAGGGTCTAAGCGGGAGACTTGTTAGCGTTGGCTCCATTGCGGCGGGCGTGGGCGTGAGCGTGAGCGTGAGCGTGAGAGTGGGCGTCATCGGAGACGGTCAGGCCGCCAAGACCGCTAGAGAGGAAGGCAAAGGGATCGTTGGTGGCATCGGAGCCGTAAAAGGTGCCGTTGGGGCCAGCGGGGGAGACCGCATGGTCGGCGCCGCTGAAGGCCGCCTGGGCCGCCGGGTTGGCAAAGGCGGCGGCGGAGTGCGAGGCACCGGAGGAACCGTAACCACCGGTGGTGGCCGACATCTGTCCCATGGAGGGCGGGTAGGCCGGGCTGGGAACACCGCTTCCGCCGAGGGCGGAGGGCAGAGCACCGTAGGTGTTGGGAGGGTGGTGATGATGGGGCGGGCCGCCGCCAGCAAACTGTTGGGCGCCAAAGGCCGCGGCGCCGGCGGCGGCGGCGGCACCAAAGCCACCGGCGGTGGAAGCAAAGGGACCGGGGCCCGGAGTGCTGGTCATGGAGTTGGGACCCATACCGAAGCCCGTCGGAGGGGGGGGATCCATCGGGGAGGGAAAGGCGGAAGAGTCAGCGATGACGGCGGCGCCAGAACGCGGGGCGCCACAGCGCAGACAGTTGATGTTCTTGGCGAAATTGTGGTAGCCGCAGCCCTCGGAGCCGCACTTCCAGTCCCCGGCGCGGAAGGGGACGACACCACCGTTACCGCCCATGCCGCGACCGCCGTGGCCCATAGAGTGGCCGCCGTGGCCACCACCGCCCATGTGCGGGGGCACCATGGAGGGGGCGACGTAGCCGTAGGCTCCGTAGCCCATGGGATCGGGAGCGGCGGCGGCCATGGCGGGGAAGGAGCAGCGGAAACAGGCGGTGCGGCGCTGGAAGTTGGAGAAGCCGCAAGAGGGGCAGGTCCAGTCACCGGGACGAGGGCGATTCTTGGAGGGGGGGAAGGGGGTAAGGATCTCGGCGGCGCGGTCGAGGACGCGGCTGGAAGAGGGAGAGACCTCGATAGCCTTTTCATTCAGGGCGCGGCCATTCATGCAGAGACTCTCGGCGGCCTGATAGTCAGTAAAGAATAGAAAAAAAAAAAAGTGAGGGAGTGAGTAAAAGAATACCTCTTCATGGGACGAAAAAACGGCAAAGCCGGTGCCGGTAGGTTTGTGCTGGTCCGGGGTGCGCAGAGTCCAGAAGGCGATGGGACGACCACCGAACTGGGTGAACCAGGACTCGAGCTCGGACTGGGTGGTGTCGTGGGGCAAGCCGGAGAGGTGAAGGACCTTGGAGCGCTCTGCGAGGAAGGCGCGGACGTCGGCGCGGGCATCCATGGGGCGGGTGAGGATCTCCGGGTGCTCGTGCGGGGGCTGTGACTTGCGGATGAGGCCCTGGAGGACGCGGGCGAGGGTGACGGTCTCCTCCATGGCGCGGCGCGGGGAGGCCGGGGCGAGAGCCTGCAGATGGAAGGGCAGGTTGTGCTTGATGGGGGCGGAGGACTGGACGGGCTCGACCTCGAGGGCGGCGCAGATGTTGGCGAGCGAGGAGGGTCCAAAGGGCAGCGACTCTGGGTGATGGGTCTGCCAGCGCTGGTACTCGGTGCGCAGGTCAAAGGTGCGCGAGTGCTGCAGGTACGGGGGCAACACGACGGCCTTGTCGCGGGCCTCACGGGGCAGCTGGACGCGCAGGTCCCACGAGTCGAGGGTGACAAAGGCAAACTCGAGCTGTTTCGACACCAAGTGTTCCTGGGCAAAGGCGTCGAAGCGGTTGACGGCGTCGCGGAAGGTCCCGGCGGAGCGGACGTGTTCCCAGGTGAGAGTAGTCAGGCTTGCTAGGCATTATTAGACAAAGTCCGATATGATAATTAATTAATAAATATATATATATATATATATATATATATATATTTTTGACATACTGCACAATGGCGTGATGGGCGTGTTGACCGGCTTGACGAGGACACTCTCCCGGTGCAACTGCCAATTTGTTAGCCCCCTAAGCAGAGCCTGGACAGAGATCTCTCGCTCCTCTCCACCCTACCTCCTCGCACGACTGCGTGTCCAACAGTATCCATCCCAGCTCAATGACCTCGGCGGAATCCTTGGTGACATAGACGCCATGTTCGTCGCAGGTGGTCGCAACGTGGATGACGATGTAGCGATCCAGCTTCGGGGTGGGCGCTGCCACGGCGGCCATCTCGCACAGGAAGATTTGAGGACGGGAGGGGGGTAAAACAACAGGGAGAGCACGGAAGGAAAAGAGAGAAGAAAAAAAAAAGGGGGGGATGACAGAAGCCAGAAAAAAAAAGGAGGACGAGAAGAAAAAAAAAAAA